CAGAAAATATTCCTGTTGTCTTGAAAGGATGGGCCTGTCAACGCAAGTTTTGGGACGAACGTCGCTGTTTAACTGGGGTCGGTGGTGAAGTTTCCTTGCTACAAAACTTAACAAGAGAAGGTATTACGGTTGGCTTAGGATATCCAGAAGATCTGGATGTTAGGTTAGCACTTGACTATTGTGCCTCTGCTGCATCTTTTGGTGGTCTTTCTGAAAGTGAAGCTGTTAACTTGTTGTCGTACAATGTTGACAAAATTTTCAATTTGAAGTCCGAGAATCAGAGTTTTATTGTTCTTGAAGGTTCGCCAACAAACTATGACTCTAATATTGCTGTAATAGTGGAAAATGGTGTCATAACTAGAATGTATCCTGAGCTTGAGCCTCTATAAATTATATGTGTGATAGTGAACATTGTAGTAATTACTGTATTGGGAAGCTTCCGCTTTTAGTAATTCTTCAAAACTAGAAAAAAAAATTACCCAAGAATCAAATCTTATCAACTTTGTACATCACTAGAACGAAGAATATGGTGATATTATCTTTCCCCATTTAACACCATGGTATATATAAAAGATCACATCTAACTCTCTATCATCAATAGTCTTGTCTCAACAACCAAAGACGATGACAGATAAGTTGGAAGAAAAAGTTGATGAAAAATCTTTAAACAGTGGTGAAGTTCAAGAGGTTTCCGATACACCAGCTGGAGCTGATATTGCTCTGGAAATCGCAGCTAAGCATCAGGGTGTTGAAATAACTCCAAGTGAAGAGAAGAAACTGTTTAGAAATATTGATAGACATTTGATGCCGTTTTTGGTTCTTTCATATTTTTTACAATTTTTGGATAAAAGTGCACTTTCTCAAAGTTCAGTATTTGGTTTGGATAAAGATTTGAACTTACATGGTCAACAATATTCTTGGTGTGGATCTATCTTTTATTTCTCTTATTTGATTGGACAACCATTTGCTAGTTATATGTGCCAAAGATTCTCAATTTCAAAATACGTTGGTGGCTCATTAGTTTTATGGTCAATCATTTTGATATGTACTGTTGCAACCAAGAACTTTGCAGGTTTAGCTATTATTAGGTTTTTCTTGGGTTTATTTGAAGCAGCAGTTTCTCCTTCATGGGTTTTGCTGACAGGGTCTTGGTACACAAAGAAGGAACAACCTGTCAGAGTCGCCTATTGGTACTGTGGAAATGCTTTGGGTGTTTTTCTTGGTAGTATTATAGCTTATGGTTTAGGACATATTGTATCTTCAATTCCATCTTGGAAATGGTTTTACATCATTTATGGATTATTGACGTTTTTTTGGGGTATTGCCGTTTTTTTCTTTCTTCCTGATTCAATTCCAAATGCCAAATTCTTGAATGATAGAGAAAAATATATTGCGGTGGAAAGAATTAGAAGAAATAAAACTGGAGTTAAAAATGAAACTTTCAAGGTTGATCAAGTTAAAGAAGCTTTATTGGATTTCCAAATTATAATGCTAGCCATAATTGAGTTTGTTGGCTGTTTATCAGCATCAGGTATAAGTGTTTTCGGTACTTTAATTATAAAATCTTTCGGCTTTTCGTCATTAAATACTGTCCTGCTTCAATCTGTTTCTGGTATTATTCAGGGTATAACTTTGTTGGTTGGGGGTTGGATTGTGGCCACTGTTCCTGATTCTGCTTTATGGACACAGTCTGTGTTCATGATCCCATGTTTAATTGGAACATGCATTGTTAAATACTTGCCCAACCATCCAAACTCCAAACGTGCTGGAAGACTAGTTGCTTTTTGGATTCAATACTCAAACACAGTCTCAGATATTGGTATCTTCACATTGATGACTCGTAACTACTCCGGTTATACAAAAAGAACTACAGCTAATGCTATTGTTTTCATTGCGTATTGTGTTGGTATGATTGCTGGGCCTCAATTTTTTGTCTCTTCTCAAGCACCAAAACATCCAGATGAAACAGGTTATGATGAAGGTTTTAGAATGATGATTGTATGTTGGATTTTGCTAATGATCTTACCAATGATCTTAAGATTTTATTATCAATGGGTAAACAAGAAGAGGGATGCCAGTGATGCCAAAGACTTAGCAGAGGGAAAAGAGATATATGTTGAGAATGAAGAGTTTATGGATCTTACAGACAAACAACAACGAGGCTTTAGATACTCTTTATAAGATCCGATGACAAAGACTTGACGTAATCGAGGCGGGATGTATAAGTAATTGATTAATGTTTCAACATGAAAGTTGCAAGTTGTAGCATCCACAACAGCTCATGTCTTCAACTGATCAAACATATTACAGAGATGGGCATGACGCGTCCATCTCACTGACTCATTCTTGGAGAAATGTAAAGAATTCTTGTGCTTATATGTTGAATTTCATCAAACCAACAGACAAGATTTTAGATGTGGGTTGCGGTCCAGGGACAATTACTTATGATTTGGGTAAATATGTTCCAAAAGGTGAGATTATTGGTATTGAACCTACAAAAGAATTAATTGATGAAGCTTTGAGGGATGAAACTACAAAGAAATCACAACCAAACGTTTCATTTGAAGTGTGTTCCGTGTATTCTTTACCATATCCGGATAGCTGTTTTGATATTGTTCATGCTCATCAAGTGATTGTACATTTGGAAAATCCATTGAAAGCACTCCAAGAAATGAAGCGAGTATTGAAACCAGGTGGTTACATATGCTGTAGAGATGGAGACTTACAAGCTTGTATCTTCTATCCAGAAGTTTTTAAAGAGCCACTTTTCTATTATTTGGAAAAAGCAACTACTGAATTTACTTGTTGGTATGGTGGTTCAAGATTAAAAGAGCTATTTATTGGTGTTAAGTTTAAACCAGATAAAATCATACATACTACTTCAACTTGGTGCATTTCAAGCAGAGCTGATAGAGAATTATTTTCAAATATGTATATCAAAAGATTAGATTCCATAAAGTATAACAGTTCGGATAAATACACCAAATCTCAATTGAAGGAAGCATGGCTTCAATGGGCTAATGATGATAAGGCAAGTTGGGTTCAAATACATGGTGAAGTAATTGCTCAGAAATGATATAAATTAACAATAAACAGCTTATAGCTCTTTTGCATTTTCTTTTTCACCAATAGAACCTTCCCATCCATTTTCTTTTAAATATTGATTAAACTCTTCATCAAGGAAATCCAATGTACGATCACCATAATCTGGACACCCCCCACCAAACAACAATAGCACCTAAAAACGAAATACCACCACTTAAAAAGAAAGTGTATCTTTTCCCATAATTGACTTGTAATGGCGTGAAAACTTCAGTACCGACAGCAGCACCTGCTTTCCCAATACCTGCAGAGATACCATAAATTGTACCTCTAACGGCTGTTGGGAAAGATTCAGAACTAACCACAGATTGAAGACTAGCAGGACCAAAGTTAATAATCATATTTAAAAAAGCATAAAAGATGATTAATAAAGCCGGAATTTCTGAAAATTTCTCAAAAGCACCGCCAACAATAAAACTAATAATACCATATCCAATAAAACCAGAGATAATAGCTTGTCTTCTTGTAATAAATCTTAATCCAATACAACTTGCAAAGACTCCAAAAATTGAAAATGATGATAAAAACAATTGCCATTCACCAGTTCTTTTTAAAGTTGCTTTTGGAATTGCAACAGCCAAGATGGAAGTACTAAAGATGTTATTTGGATAAACAATCATATCCATGAAAAACCACATTGCAGCAGTAGAGACAAATTCTTTCCAATATTTTTTCCAAACCAATTTATACGGAACTTTTCTCTTGATAGCATTAGTTTTATAAGAATTTGCATGATCTAATTTCCAACGGAAATAGAAAATTGATATTGGAATTACTGCACCAATAGCAAAACATGTTCTCCAAATACCATTTAAATGATTTGGTCCCCAAATCTCATGAACAATTAAAAATACAATTGTAGCAATTGGAATACCTGCGGCAACAAAGAAATTTGTGGACATAATAAATGGAGTAACTCTATTTTTGATACTCATTTTCTCATTTGCTGTTTCAATACTTGCAGAAGCAGAAGTTGGATATTCACCACCAACACCACAACCCAAGATACCTCTCCCAATAATTAACATCCAAAATAAACGTTGTTCAGTGGATCCAGAAGCACAAGCACAAACAATAGCACCAACAATAATGAATACAGTGGTATAAATGAAAGCTTGTTTTCTACCCACACGATCTGTAATGAACCCAAAAGCAATTTGACCAATTATATTAGCCACCAAGATAGAATTTGAAACCATTGTTTTGTATTTGGTATTATATCCTTTAAAAGATTTTGATAAAACAGCATTAGCCATGGTCATAACACCCTGTTGATATCCATCACTCAAGAATGCAGCACCACAAGTAAAGATACCACCTAGCCTCTTGAAGATCCCTTCTTTTGGGACATCACCTTCTTGAGCCTCATTATCGCTGATTTGTTCAGAAGAATTACTTTTCTGAATTTCTGTAGAGTTGACTTCATATTCAACTTTTTCAATGTTATCGGTTTTTAATGTCATTTGTGAAAAATCTTCGCGAATGTGTTCTGTGATGGAGAATCAAGACCGTTTCACGAGATTTACAAGTTGACGGGCTATCTGGATCTTTTATATGTGATTTAAAAGGTATGAACGAGCTTGTAGATACATGAGATGAGGACATTGCCTTTTCCAGAGAATCATATATCTCTATCGCTACTTATTTATGAACGTGTGCTATGCTTAATTATAGCGTAAATCTGTCGTTTGTTGGGCTTTTTTCAGATCAATGCCTTGCACGTTCACTAATTATACACAAGGTATACCACGAAAGAAGTGAGAAGCGACAGTAAAGGTGTGCCATGTTTCATTTTCCAGTGTTCAGCTCACTCAATACTAATTGATTAGGCAAATTCGCGGGTACAAAAGAATGTGACAATTTTTTTTTTTTTAGCTTGATCGGACGTGATCGCCCATTGAAAACGTGTTTAGTGATGATGAGAAGGTGACAATGCTACACGTATATGGCACTGTATCAGACTATAAGTGCGATCCTATGCCTGACTAAAATACATTTCACCGTTCACATTAAATCGTCAGCTTAGACGGTCGCTTCCAGGAACCATGGTATACTAGCCTCTATTATTTGCAATCTCAACAATGACATATTCAATCTATTGTGAATTGAAGAAAAGTCTTGTGTCTACCAATGAAGTGGCTTAATGCCGGAGCACCATCAACGTGGAGCTTTTATGGTGTTCACTGCGCACATTGTTTACTGCTTTGGGTGGAAGCTAATAACCTGGCGGTGTTGACTCTATTTGGTTTCTCGTCTGACAATAACCTCAACGTTTATTTGATGAATTTATAAAGAAAATTTGAATATTCTCTTTCTTCTTTGTTTTATGGGCTTCATAAAATTGATACACTCAAGATGTTACTCAATTCAATCATTGTTGCCATACTATCCTATTTGTATTATATCAAAAGTTTCATATCTAATTCTGAGTTGATCAATCTCAACTTTGATCTTTTGTCAAGACAGGTTTTGGTTTTACCAGAAGATGATATCAATTTCAATATCTCCTCTGAAAATTTCATTCAAACCAGCTTCAGCAATTATACCTTTAATCATGGTGTTGCATCTGGTGATCCTACATTGGATTCCATCATTGTTTGGACAAGAATTACTCCTAATGAGTATTTAAAAGAAACACAATTAGTTCCAGTTGAATTTTCAATATCTGAAGATCAAAATTTTACCAAGATTTTAACAAAAGGTATCACTTTTACAAATGGGTTGATTGACTATACTGTAAAGTTGGACATCACTGGGTTAACTGCAAATCATACTTATTACTACAAGTTCAATACTCTTGGTGGTGTTCATGTTGAATCTGAAGTTGGAGAAACCAAGACTTTACCACACCCAAATCAAGAGGACAATGTTAAGTTGGCTGTTTACTCTTGTGCAAATTATGCAGGTGGTTATTACCATGCCTACAAGTTCCCAGTTTTAAAAAATTCTGTTGATTATGTTATTCATCTTGGGGATTATATTTATGAATTTGCTAACGGTGTTTATACAAATGGAACTTCATTGGGAAGAGACCATGTTCCAGAACATGAGTGTAAGACTTTACAGGATTATAGACTTCGTTATGCATCTTATAGAAGTGATGAAAATTTACAAAAATCACATTCAAAGTTCCCATGGATCTTGGTTTGGGATGATCATGAAGTTGCTGATAATTCATGGCTAAGAGGTAGTGTTGAAACAAACGGTTATGAATTTTTAAAAAGACGTGATGAAGCAACCCAGGCATATTTTGAATGGTTACCAATTAGACCACAAAAAAATCTATCCAAAATTTGGAGAAACTTCAAATTTGGTAAATTGTTTCAAATTAATATGTTGGATACAAGGCATTACTCTCGAGATATAACTGATTATTATCATAATCAAGAAATGATTAAAAATTTGGTTAATTTTGAAGATCGCACCATGCTAGGATATGATCAAGAAGAATGGTTAGAAAGAAGATTATTAGATAATGATACGGTTTGGAATTTCATTGCGAGTCAATGTGTTGTCAGAGATATTGATTTCACCTTACCAGAAACTGGTGGATTAGGATTCCCATTTGAAGAGTTCAATCAAGATGCTTGGGATGGTTATATTGCCAATAGAAATAGGATATTGAACTTTATCAAGGACAACAACTTATTAAATACCATTATTCTGAGTGGTGATTTTCATATTGCAATCACTAGCGAATTATCTTTACCAGATGGAGAATATAATATTGAGACTGGTGAAGGTACAATTGTTGTTGAGTTCACTACAAGTGCAGTTAGCTCCCCAACCACTTTCCCAAAGCATTTTGATGAGTCTCAAAGTCTTTTGATGTCAAAAGAATTAGTTGGAAATAATGATTTAATTTGGAATGATGGGTTCTGGAGAGGTTATATTGAACTAAACATTGGAATGGAAAATGTAACTACTGATTATTATGGAGTTGATATCAAAGATGCTAGTTCTAAGCAAGAAATCCACATGGCACGCTTCGTTGTCAAGAAGGATATCAGTCATATCGACAGAGAAAGCATTGAAACCAATAGTGGGGCCTTAAATGACAAATTGGGTAAATAGATTATAAAATTATGGATTTAGCACCTTCTCGTGCGAGAGCCGGGCTTATGTCATCAGTGTAATCATGTCATTTTCGAATACCTTCAGATTATTTAAAGCAACTAGGAATTCTTAATTATATTTCAGTTTGAATATAATGCGGTTCATTCAATGATGAGCTTCTTGAGTACCACTACGCGTTTCATGGTTAGTTCCAGGGTGGTTTTGGCAACCTCGTTATTAGCATCAACTGCTACTATTGCCTATTATGCTGCTTCAACAAGAACCATCGCCAGCGATTCGGGAAAAAAAAACATATTCCCTAGCTATTTGTTTGGAAACAGATTGAAACTCGCATCAATTAGTCAAGAGTCGCCGGATACAAAGTATTTTAAATTCAGACTACCAGATCATTCAATCACAGGAGTTCAACCTGGGAAGGCAGTTTTAGCTTTTGTCAACGACAATGAAAGTGGAAAGCTAAAAGTCAGACCATATTCACTATTGTACATTCCAGATGAGAAAGAGTTTTTACATCTGGCTGTGAAATTGTTGAATGGGGATGGTACAAGTGGAGCATTTCATAGATTGAAAGTTGGGGATGAAGTTACATTTAGAGGTCCATTACCTATCCATACAATTGATTACCAAAAATTATCTAAAAATGTCAATTTCATTGCTGGTGGCTCTGGTATCACCCCTGTGTTTTCCACCATTCAAAATATCTTGCTGAACCATGACCAGAACGTTTCCTTAATATATGCCAATAAGGACCAGAACGATATCCCATTGAAGAGTAAAATTGATCAATTGAAGAGAAAATATGGTGACAGGTTTCAATTGATTTACGTTGTTGACAAACAACACAACTTTGAGAACTTTGTTTCCCAAGGGAGAATCAACCCATCACTTTTGAAACAACATTTGTACTCAAAGGATGCTCAACTGTTTGTATGTGGTCCTGATGGATTAACCAAAGCTATTAAGCAAAAATATCTGAAGGAAGCTGAATTAAATATGAAGCTTTACATATTTTAATATAGTATCAGCCTGTCTTTGAATTAAAATGTAATTATTCGAATGCTATTCGACATTATAAGAAATTTCGCGAAATTCTCGGTTTTAAGTAGCTTAAATCCGATGATTAGAAACCATATTTTTTTTTGTATCTTCGTGAAAAAAAAAAGCATAAGCAACAACATCAACAACTCAAACCTCATTTCAAAGCTTTGATAAATCAATTGTCCTTTTGGGAAAAAAACAACTCAAGATGCCAGCCATTTCAAAGAAACCGGCAACAAGACCGAAGAAGTACCACTGCGATTTTGAAGGGTGTCTCAAGGCGTACTCAAGACCATGTCTATTGGAACAACACATCAGAACTCACTCAAATGAAAGACCTTTCAAATGTGGTCAATGTGGCAAGGCGTTCTTTCGTGATTCACACCTCAAAGTACATCTGTGGACCCACTCATCTGATAAACCTTTGAGGTGTGAAATTTGTTCAAAAGGCTTTGTAACAAGTCAACAGTTGGGCCGTCATGTAAAGACACACTCAATTGATGAATTTAAATGTCCATATGAATGTGATGAATCATTTCCTACAAACGATAAATTGAGTGAGCATATGTTATCAACACATATTATGAGTGATTTTGTTGATGCAAACACCCATCAAATGAAGACTGATGAAACTTTAAACATGTTAAGAGACCAGCTAGATTACTCAGGTATAAGAGGAATACCCACGTTTGAGGTCTACACTAGTCCAACACCAAAAGCTGGTGATATTGATGATGGATCGAACGGATACAAAACTGTGAGCAGTACTAGTACAGATGCCTATGATAATCTCAACCTATCTAAGGGGAAAACGTTTTGGGACAATTGGGATGATCATCATTGTAAAGAACCAAATTGTAAAGGTTACCCAAAATACAACTCTTTCCAGGATTTGATTTATCATTATGATGAATATCACAGTTTCATTCCTGAATCATTATTTGAAGCATTTGAGTCCAACCCCGAAGAATCATCAACTGGTAGGTTTTCAAATGAGTGGAATCTATAACTAAAGCTGCAATCAGTACTTCACAGCAATGTCTAGAACAAATCTGCAATGGGATTTGACTATGATGGGGTGTTACAAGCCTCATAACTGCATCAGATACGCTTTTACCTTAGATCCCGAGTTAAATTATTAAAGCCGCAAAAGTGAATGAGATCAAAAGAATTTCAAGACCCTTATTTTTCTGAGCCTTGAGAAATTAATACGTATGGCTAAAGGAGAATATTTCAACACAAACACACAACACAAATGTCCAATAAATTGAAGAGGTTGCAAATCATCTGCCCCTCTACACCCCTCAAATCAAGAGATGATGGTGAGGATGAAGTTTTGAGGTTAATGGGTTCATCTATATAAACCATAGAAAAGCCATTGGTTTTCCAAAACGAATCAAACATGGCTTTGAATTATCAACACAAAATGTCAATCCAATCAATCTTACTGCTAGTTTTTGCTTGCTTGGTTATTTCACACCCTGTGATGAAAAGAGATGATTTATCATCGTCCCCAATTGTTCATGTTAAGAATGGTTCAATTCAAGGTCAAGTTATTGAACGTTTCAACCAGGATGCTTATTTAGGTATTCCATATGCTCAACCTCCATTAGGTTCTTTAAGATTTGTTAGCCCTCAATCTTTAAATCAATCTTGGTCAGATGTTAAAACTTTTGATACTTATGGACCTTCATGTTTTGCTAGTGGAAGTAACCAAAGCTCTCAATTACCTCAATCTGAGGATTGTTTGAAGTTGAATGTTGTCAAACCAAGAGGTTATGACAATTCTTCTGTAAAATTACCTGTTGCTGTTTGGATTCATGGTGGCTCTTTTATGGATGGTTCAAGTACTAGACCTTCCTATAACTTGTCATATATTGTGGAAAATTCCGTGGATATCGGTAAACCATTTATTGGTGTTTCACTCAATTATAGATTGACTGGGTTTGGATTTTTGAGATCTCGTGAAGTTGAGTACAAAGGTTATACAAATGTTGGATTACGTGATCAAATCAAGGCTATTCAATGGGTTCATGAAAATATTGAAGCTTTTGGTGGTGATCCTAATCATTTAGTTATTTGGGGTGAAAGTGCAGGTGGTTACTCTGTTGGTAAATTGTTAAACTCTGGCCAATTGGGTGATTATGTTAAAGGTGCCATTATGGAGAGTGGTACAAGTATGTTTGCAGATTATTTTGCTGATACCTTAGTTACTGCTGAAGATGATTTTGCCAAATTGTCAAATCACTTTAATTGTTCAGAAGCACCAAGCTCATTTGAATGCTTACAACATGTTGATGCTCATGAATTGAATCATGTTTTTAATGAAACCAATAAAATCATTAAAGGTGGATTTCATCAAGCTTATGTTGATGGTGATATCATTCCGAAATCAAGTTATTTATCCTTACAAGCTGGGGAATATAAAAAGATTCCATTGTTATTGGGCTCAAATTCTGATGAAGGTTACGATTTTATCAATACCACTTTGAACACAACTGAAGAATTCAAAGCGGCATTGGCTAAAGACTTTCCATATCTAACAAACTCTTCAATCGATAAATTGGATGAATTATATCCTTTAGGGGATGCGTCAGTTTCTTCTCCGTTAGATCCAACTTATAACAATACTCCAATTGAATATCCTTCATCTTATGGGAAACAAGCTCCAAGAATGAGTGTCCTTTGGGGTGATCTTTTGTTTATAGCAGGTGCTAGAAAAACTGCTGAAATATTTTCTAGAGATGGTGTTCCAGTTCATAAATATAGACATAATATTCCAGACAATGAGACTTTTAATGAACCTTTTATTGGGGCTAAACATTTCACAGAGATTGTTTACGTGTTTGATAATTCAGATGAACCTGAACATTCAACATTGGGCGAAATTATGTTTGATGATCCAAGAATTCCAAATGTTTCAAAAAGTATTTCCAAAATGTGGGCAAGTTTCATTACAGATTTAGATCCAAATTTGAATCAAGATCAATTGAACATTGATGATGTTCCAAAGTGGCCTGAATATAGAGATGGTGCTCAAAACATTGTTTTCGATATCAATGGGTTTTACTTGGAGGACGATACATGGAGAAAAGAACAATTCAAATTTATTGAATCTATTGAAGTTGAGCAATTAGAAATGAGATAGATAACTTTTTTTATAAGTGACTCTTTGATACATGATTATATATTTCATTTTTGTAAGCATGTCCCTTTTTAGTCAATCTCTTTGAAGAAAAATAATAACATTCGGGGATACCACCAACTTCTTGAATCGACTTTCCATTCAAAGCACATTTCGCAATAGCTTTTGCACTCAAGTAGACTCTAGGCATACCATGTCCAGAAAACCCAGCCACAATATAGGCATTATTCAAACCTAAAGAGTCTAATTCACCAACGTATGGAAAACGATCTTTTGAAAACCCCATTATACCTGACCATATATAGTCATTGACGGTCTTGAAATCTTTCCAAGTGGTAAAATTTTTGTTCATGTAGTTTTGGAAATAATTTTCAACATTTTTGGGAACTTTGGAATCATCAACATCATCAAAAATTTCAGAATCATCGCCGTTCGATTTGACCATCAAGACACTTGCTCCACCAACAACTACACCACCATCGGCACGGTTTATTAAATAATCACTGTCCAACATTGCGCGGGAGAATAAACCATAAGTGTTTGGAAGCTGAGGAGCGATTTCAAAAGAATTGGGTTTTATATGAGTTGCAACTCCTCGAACAGGAATAATTGCTTCCTCAAATGGTTTCAAGATGGACTTTGTGTAACCATTGGTGCAAAATATAATTTTTTCAGCAATGATTGTACCAGTTAGAGTCACCACCTTATAATTCACAGCATCTTGAACAACTTCTAAAACTGGTGTATTAGCATAAAGTTTCAAGCCTTTTTTGACACTTTTTTTCAATAAAGCTGTCATTAGTTTCCAAGGCCAAATATGAGCAGCTGGATAAGTGAAACAAATCTTTGCATCTGGAACTTTAGATAAATTAGCAACATGATCACCTTGGACTAGCTGAATACTATTTTTAACCTCATCCTTAATGTAGGGGTTTTTCAAGAGCTTTTCAAAGGCAATCAAATCATTTTCGACCCTTTTCGAGTCTCTATAAACATCACATGCTCTTGTCAAGACGAAATCACAATCAATATTTTCCTTTTCAACTAAATTTTTAATTTCATACAAATGTTCAAATTCTGAGTTGACAACTTGACCAGCAACGTATTGGCCATGTTCTTTTTCATATTCAGAATATAATCTATGGAAATATGGTTTTAAATGACCACCGTTTCTGCCTGTAGCACCTGAACAAAGGGTTCTAGCCTCTAAAAGGGTTACATCAAGACCTGGATTGTCATTCATGAGATGGAAGGCAGTTGCAGAGCCAGCATACCCTGAGCCAATGATCAATATATCAGTCCTTTCAGGAACCTTTTCAGATGACTTATAGCTTGAGAATGAATCATTTTTCTCCAGACTCAGCCAGTAAGATGGAGTTGGATTTGGAACAGGGAGGTATGACTTGGACATAATGGCTGGTGATGTTATTGGAAAATCAAACTCAACAGCGCACCATTTGGTAACATTATATAGTTGAAAACTAGTAAATCTAATTGTATCATTCTCAGCTGATTCTTGGTTTCCAGATTGTGTCTGTTTGGGCGTTGAAACACTCGAAAGAGTAACTTGGGCGAAAGTCAGAACAACAACAGTCCTTACGCTAGGCGATAGTTGAGCCTTCCTTGCTTGTGTAGTGCACAGTTCTTTCCAAAGCTCATCTCGTACAACTCAATCCCAACTGAACTAGCACCTTTCACAGGCTTTTGAAATTCAGGGCTCTTCACCCTTGATCAGTGTTCGCGAACTCGTTCTGTGGATTCTTCGTCGTCGGTTATTTGTTCGTTTTGGGCCTTGACTCCATAACTCACTTTCAAATTATACTTAAGCTGTCCAAAAAGCTCATCAAAATGTGCTACAAGTTGTACCACCAAAATGCTCTTTGCCTCTCTTATTGTGACCTGCTTTAGCTTGCTAGCTGCTGGCTCACCACTGCAGTTCCCATTGTTATCTGAACTCTATCAATATTCTCCAGACCATGATCTCTCAAAACCAAAAATTGATCAATTGTTTGAGCTTCATAAGCTATTGGTGCAAATCCCGTCGGTTTCTTATAGTGAATATGAAGTTTCCACTAAATTAGCCGATTACCTCAGATCTCATCAATTGAGTGTTGATCTTCAAAGAGTTGCTGAGAACAGATACAATGTATTTGCTTATAAGGGTTATCAAAATGACACAAAAGTGCTTTTAACAAGTCACATCGATACTGTACCTCCATTTTTCCCTTATAAAATTTCAAAATATGGGAAAAGAATTTATGGGCGTGGATCTACTGACGCTAAAGGATCTGTTGCTGCACAAGTTATTTCATTCCTAGATCTACTTGAAAATGGTGATATTAAAGAAGGGGACTTATCTTTGTTATTTGTTGTTGGTGAAGAAAATGGTGGTCATGGTATGCAATATGTAAATTCAAATATTGATTACCACTGGGAAACCGTTATATTTGGTGAACCTACTGAAAACAAATTAGGTGTTGGTCATAAAGGTGGTTATGGTGGTGTCTTGAATGTCACTGGACTTGCTTCTCACTCTGGCTATCCAGAATTGGGGATCAATGCAAATACTATTCTTGTTGAATTTTTATCAACCTTGTTGAGCCAAAAGTTACCTTTCGATGATTTATTAGGTAATTCAAGCTTGAATATTGGAGAAATAAATGGAGGTGTTGCTGCAAATGTCATTCCAGATCATGCACAAGCTATTCTTTCATTTAGAGTTGCTTCTCATTTGAAATTTTTCCAAGATTTGATACCTGGTTTGATCAAAGAAAGTAAATATAGAGATAGAATTGAATTCTTCTCAACTATTGGCAAAGGACGTGGCCCTGTTTTCTTTGATTATAAAATTGATGGGTTTGAATCGATTGTCTTGGGTTATGGAACTGACGCTTTTTCACTTTCTAGGAAACAATTAAAAAATAAGATTCTTTACGGTCCAGGTTCAATTCATGTTGCGCATGGGGCAAATGAATTCGTCTCAACAGATGATCTTATAAAAGCTGTGGAAGACTACAAAAAATTAGTAAAATATGGATTGAAATAACTGTATAATATTAATTTTTCAACTCGTTGATATTATGTGTTATGGATTCCACACTACTATTTTGATCTTGAAGCTTTTCTTTTGCACCTTCAGGTATTTCATCACCTTTTGATGTGTTGTATAAAACAATACCATTATCATAAGAATGCTCGCGTTCTTCTTTTTTATAGACCCATAATAACCAGAACGATGCAATAATCATAGTGAATGCAAAAACACCTGTAACTGTGTAGCCAACTAAATAACGAGGAGCATCAACTGTAGGCCAAATCAATCTGTTTATCCAAATAGTTGTGGATTGTGCAACAGCAAATTGGAAAACAAAAATAATTGCACGATCTTGAGGATCATGTCTCAATATATCATTGATCCAACTATATCTTACACTGGCAGTTGACCATCCAGCATATTGAACCATGAAAGCAAACCATTTGGCGCTTCCAGGTACATTCCAAGTGGCTAATATAACATTTCCAATAACGTTTAACACTTGTGATAATACAATAGCACCATATCTTGATCTGAAAACATCAGCCCCTCCACAAAACACTAACACTAATATGAACCCGATACCGGCTGAAGTTGCACTCAAATCATTGATTTTGGGAGTAGAATACCTATTCAATGCTTTCAACCACAATATAAACCCATTACCTTGAGTATTTGATCCATTCCAACCAGAAACATCAAAAATTGTTAAACCCCAAATTTTCCAATTACTTAAAATTCTTTTCCAAAGTTTTTTACTAAAGAACCCATCCAATTTTTGTTTATGAGATGGAGCAGCAATGTTGGCTTCTTTTAATCTCCGTCTTGCTAACCTAATCTCATCATCTGTTAACCAAATTGAGTAACAATTATATGGTGACCCTGGCAATATGAAAAATCCAGCAATACCAACAACTATTGTGATTATACCATCAACTACAAACAACCATCTCCAGCCAGCTAATCCACCATTACCATTGAAATTTTTGTAAATAGAAGCTTGGAAGAGTCCAGAACTAATAGCACCAAGCATATTTCCAAAATAATAAATACCGGCTCTTCTTGATATTTCTTGAGGTTTATACCAAGATCCAAATATGTAATGAGCTTTTTTTAAAAAGTTAGTATAAAGACGTGATAATAACAACATGATACTCACCTGCTGGATAAAACCCTGCTTCTAGCGCACCAACGAAAAACCTCAACACTTGCAATTGTGGAACTGTATTGACAGCATGTAAACCAATAGTGAAAATACCCCAACAGAGATCTAGTCCAGGGACAAGGTAATGAGTGGAGACTCTAGGGAACAAATACATGAATGGAAATTGTAAGACAACAAGACCCACATTGAAGGCCGTGGTGGTATTGATCAAATCATTACCTTTCATACCGATATCATTCTTCAATCCAGAAACATAAGCATTTGACACATTTGATTGATCTAAGGATTTAACCCAAAATACCACAAGGACATAAAACGCAATCAAGAAATCTAATTTGATTAATAATTTCTTTTCTTCCTTGGAAGTCCCTTCTTCAAACCAGTAATACCATTTGTGTCTGCTTCTTTCATATTTGTTCAATCTATATTCATATTCATCGAAAAACTTCCACCAAGGTCTGTTAGATTCATCTCGATATTCCAAAATTTTAACATCAGTGGATGCCTTTTCATGATGTGTCTTTGATTCATCTAAATATTCAACATTATTTTCAAAATCATTATCATCAATATCCCTGTAATGGGGGATATATTTCCAAATAGCTGAAGTACCCATTCTTCCAAGAAATTACAGCACTGAAATAACAATAATAAAGAACATGCTTGGGTAAAAAAAAAAGCTTTTGTACTTGAGCTATTGTTGTCAGCTTGTCAACTGTGGATACTCTTATTCACCGGTTGAAAAGTCCGATTTAGAATAAGAAGCCACTGATCAAAACGCCATAGTAAAGAAACACCAAAAAAAAACGTTTGATACGTTTATAAAAAAAAGTTAACAACATCACAAAGCTTATCTTTGTTGACTGTAGTTTTTCATTCCCAATCCAGATGTATATATCTGTGGTGGCTGAAGATTATTGCAATAAGCTACCTTCGGCTCAACTGTGGTTGAATTATCAGCCTATGATAATAACTGAGTATAAGAAGCTGTTGATCTCTCTTTGATCCCAATGCACTTGCCAATTTTCAACACAATTATCAAGATCTCATCATGTCCAGAGAGGTCAAGACAGAAGTCAGCCATAATCTTGAATCAATCCATGACTCACTCGATCTAGAAGATGCCATTCCCACCACCATTCCTTTCAAAAAATCACTGAAGCTGTTCTTCTCCACCAAGTCTCCAGAGAAGGAACCACGCTCAAAGTTCTTCTTCTGGTCACCTCCAGGCCAAACCAAGTTCGAAAAGAAGCTGGTGTTCAAGCTGGACACCGCCATTCTGAGCTACGTGTGTCTCTCGTACTTCATCCGGTACCTGGACGCCACCAACATTGCCAGCGCATACGTGACTGGGATGAAAGAGGACCTCAGCATCACTGGGGAGCAGTATGTTTGGCTGGGTCAATTGTTTTCCAGTGCCTATTGCTTCTCGGGTTTTTTCGCCACCATCGTCCTCACCAGGGTCAGGTTTTCGCGAATGCTGCCTGTGCTCGAGATCTTTTGGGGCATAATGACTCTGGCCATCTACAAGAGTGAGAACTTCAAGACCGTTGCTGTGCTCAGGTTCTTCCAGGGTCTGGCCGAAGGTGCTGCCTGGCCCTCTATTCATTACATACTGGGGAGCTGGTACACCAAGCGTGAGCTGGGGAAAAGAGTGTCCATCTTCACTGCGAGTGGTATTGCTGGGGTCTTATTGTCTGGGTTGATTCAATCAGGTTTACAAAGAAATTTGAATGGACGTCATGGTTTAGCAGGTTGGAGATGGCTTTTCATTGTGGATGCTTGCTTAACTTTTCCTGTGGCCTTTCTTGGGTTCTTTATATTCCCAGATTCTCCTGAAAATGCAAAAGTGAAATTTTATCTTTCTGAGGAGGAAATTCAATTTGCAAAAAATCGTATCAAAGTCAATGGTAAAGATAGAGTTGATAATTTGGATTTTTCAACTTTTAAGAGAGTGTTTACGGGCTATCAATGGTATTTATTTGTTCTATGCTGGATCTTTTGGGGGTTTGCAGGTCAACTTTCAAATTATATGGGGATTGTCTTGAAGGCTTTGGGCTATAACGTTTACGACAGAAATAATATTCCAAGTGGTATTAGTGGTGTTGGTATTGTTTTGGCTATTGCAACAGGTTTTGCAGTTGATATCATTGGAGCAAGAATCCATGTGGCACTTTCTTTGACCACTATCTGGATTGTTGGACTTGCAATAATAAAAGCCTGGGATGTTCCTCGCGGTGCTTTAATTTTTGGCTATATGTGTCTTGGTGCTTATACAGCTGTCAGTCCAGTTATTGTTGGTTGGTGTAATGAATTATGCAAAGAAGATAACCAACTTAGAGCTGCCACTATAGGTTCCTTAAATTTATTCTCTGGTTTGTTGGGAATTCCGTTCAGTATTGAGCTCTTGAACACAGATTATGCTCCAAAATATACCAGAGCTGTTACAGCTAGTTTGATCCTGGCTGTCATGCTATTTTTCTACTTTTTCCTTGTGCTTGCTTTCGATAGATATCAGGGTAGAAAGAGAGATTACATTAAGTCTACTACTAGCTCTGATGCGAAGTCGGCAGCTTGATGGTAATTAATTGATATGATATTAATATAATTTGAAAACTATTCTACCAGATAATCAAATTATAAATTTGGGTGCTCTAATGACGTACTAGCGCTTAATTTCGATATATATTCGTATAATTATTAATTAAATATAAATATGGCTCGAATATAATTATAATCATACAGCTAGCTGTTATAATATTTTAATTTTTTAATGTTATAAATGTATTTAAAAATTATAGCTCCAAAATATTTATAATCTCCGCATATAATATTATTGAGCAGTACGTCAGCTAAATATTGTAAGTTTATAATGTTTGTAACCGCTAGCTTATATATTTTTTGGCCTGGGTTGATATGGTATAGCTAGCTGCAGTGATAGTTTCCGCAGTACGTCTGGCATTCTAGTCGACGTCAAGAAAAAATTGGTTCAGCTGACCCCTGAGCTGAAATTATGCCACCGAAAATACTGGTTAGATTAAGTCTCAATGACTGGTACGTGTTCATTTTATATGAGCCTGGAATATACACTAGTAGAAAGTTGAAACACCTGAAACAATTTTCACGTATAAGTAAAGAAAATCCACGATTGTACGTCTATGATTCAGTACGCGCATCGAAAACCCTGCAGCTTGAATATCATCTATTTAGCCAGCTCAGCCACATGGGAGGCTAATTAACTTGGATTCATGTAGAATTCTTTTGGCTCAACATCTTGGTTCCACACACCACACCCATAGTAATTAATAATTGTGTAGGCTGTATATTATTAGTGCCTCCGTTTATGCCAAGTTCTGACGGGCATTTATCAAAGATGCCGATATGCATACTCTAACTCCATCTGTGAAATTACTTAAGCACCAACCAGTAAAGCCATTTGAAACTGGTATAGTATTTCCTTTGAGTTCCAGGAACGAAGATTAGGATGAATTGCAACTCATGGTTCTCGTAAGGAGCGTGTACACTAGTGATACACCTAGTTGAGATCAATTGTGTATCATGAGATGATGGTAATTTGGCGATTTTCTATACATATTCAACGAAACATGTACATCGACAAAGGTGTATTCCGCTTACAATCGATGTTGGATGTACTACAGATGCTAGTCAATTTATGTTTTAACTGATAAACATAGGGTATAAATCTTGTTGGCTAGATCTGCTTTCAATAACCATCCAACATTCCCAAACTAGACCCACTTGCTCATTTCAAAGATTATATATAAATGGCAGTTATACTCCAGTTCTTCAAAAAAGAATTATAAAGTCGAAACTTGATACACCAAATTAACAGTTAATATGGTCGCAATCACTAAACTTGCATTCATTTCAGCCAGTTTATACTCTCAATTCATTCTATCTGCCCCGGTCAACCAAACCAGTATTCCAGAAAATGGAAGCAAACTTTCAATTGATGATATTCTTGGAGTTGGATCAATTGATTTAGAGCAATTCTCAGTGAATGAAACTACTGGTTTGGATTATGGTGAAATTCGTCATGATGGTTCTTCATTGCCTAAGAGAGAAGATGCACATGTTTGTTTAGCCAAGAAAAACCTCAAGGATTGTGTCAGTGGTGGTAATGATATTAGATCTGTTGGTGATGGTATTGCTACTGTGATTTCTTCAAGAGATGGTATTTGTGGTAATACAGGTATTCAATCTGTCCCTGGTGTCACCGGTGATATCTATATGAAATATCAATCCACAGGTAAAGGCTGTCATACTACAGCAAAACCAAGAACTATTAGTGGAGCCATTAAAAAATGGATCAGTACTCAAAGTGAAGGTCAAGTTTGCAAAAGTCAATGCATTAAAATTACTCACGGTGGATATTGGACTGGTTATGTTGCTTTTGGTAACAATAAAGATGCTGTTAAGGACGTCAAATGTGACTCAAGCATCGGTCGTGTTTCTCGTTGCTCCAAAGGTGGTGTTAACCAGAACTGATTTATGGTCAAACAGTGTATAAATCTATGTATATGCTATTATCCCACAATGTTGAACTGACTTTGTTGTGTAAAACTTTTCGCGTATTTTTTTTTTTGCAAAACACATTCGCGAATGAAAGGGAAAAAGGTTCGAAGTTTTCGAATCTATTTCTTTTCAAAAAAACACTCACGACACATGGGTTTTACAACTGTGAGGATCTTGGAAATGTTGGATGGTTACCTTTGCTGGGCTAGGAATATCATCCCAAGTTTTATTTTGCGGGCTCGGGTTATAAGCACAGATGAACATGATCTCATACCTGTGACTTGAAGGATCTAGCGAAAAAAATTTTGATCAACCTTTGATTGATTTTCAAAGGATCTCACTTATTTTGATTCGTTTGGGTATGGTAAATGTGCTAACTAGAACAATTGCACATCTTGTTAAAGAAGATCAGGATATAGACGGTATTCATGAATTGAATCACAAGTATAAAGATGCTCACTTTTCACTCAACTCTTCAAAATCCAGATATGCCTTTTATTCCATAAAATCAAACTTTCAAGTCGAGAAAAATTAACAATGGTTCTTTTATCCAAAATCACACTCATTCAATCTATTGCTTCATTGGTTTTAACTGCTCCAGTTTCAAATACCAACACTACTGGAAATGCTTTGGGTAAAAGTAAACTTGGATCATCACCTTTCAGCTTTGGAAGTGTTGATTTAGACAAATTTTCAGCTAATTCTACTGATGCATTCTTCTTTGGAGAAGTTTCACCAGGCTCAAAAGAAGTCAAAAGAGAAGATGTGAAAGCTTGTTACACAGCAGGTGATAGAGCTGATGACTGTATGGTTAGTGTTGCTGCTGTTTTGAACACCGCAGCAAGCTTTGCTGATTTGATTTTTAAAGCTAAAGGAGGTTGTAAAGGTACCAATGGCCATGTTGAAGAAATTGATGCTGATGGACGTCAAGTTTACTTGAAATATGAAGCTGCAGGCGAAAGTTGCAAAACTACTGCACGTCGTTCTACTATTGAAGGGGCTGTTGAAAAATGGATTAACAAACAAAATGATGGTAAAATTTGTCAGTTCCAATGTATTGAGTTGTCTCATGGTGGTCATTGGAGAGGTTATGTTGGTTTTGGTACAAACCAAAATGCGGTCAAGTATACCAAATGTGACTCAAGTACTGGTGGATATGCTTATGCTTGTGAAAAGGGTGGTGTTAATGATCGTTCGAAAAGAAGTGCTATCATTGACTTGATCTAGTTTAATAATATTTAAAATGCAAGTTTGTTCTTGTCGATAATATATTTGTAGCTGGTGAAACCCCCTGTCACCGTTGACAAAGCCAAGACGAGATCTTACAATATTTCGAACGGACATTAGCTAAAAAATGCACGATCTTGATAGAGTTATGATTATATCAAAAACTAACCCTGATAGACCTCAAAACAATTTTTACCCAAATAGAAGCTATTATCGTAAAAAGTGATTTACAAGATGCACATACAGTGTTTGATCCAAAGTTGTGTAGACCTTTTGGGTTGCAACATGGGTGCACATGTTATACTACAAATTGGAATCTATTCATGATTAGAGCTGGGAATAAAAGGGATGCAATAGCTTTTTCTCTTTTAACACAAACAGTACAATTACAATGATTTTCATAAGTGCTTGTGAGGCTATGAGTATATCATTGTACCATCTGATTTCATCAAGCACCATTTTCATCGGAATTTTGTACCTGGTTATTTGATATCGTTTTACTGGAAGCCATATTAAAAATTTCAATGCGAAACCAAGTTATAAAACTATAAATTGAGTCAAAAATCCATTCTAAAGCTTTTGTATATTTAGTTTCCCGAATACTAATTTCCAACAACTCAAAGATGTTCAAGATATTATTCCAACTATTAGCTATTTCAGCAGCTTTCGTTCTTACAGCACCAGTCAACAATTCAACTACTGGGATTTCCAAGCTCAACTCACAGCAATACAATGTTGTTCCATTTGGTCATGTTGACTTGGACGATTATCTTTCAAACTCAACAACTTTTGCTAACCACACCTATTTGAGTGCACCAGGTTCTCAAAATGGTTTAGAACGTCGTGGTAGTGTTCATGCTTGTCAGGGCAGTTTTACCAAAAAGCTATGTATCACTGGGTCAAATGCTGCTAACCTTGTTGGTGCTCTTTGTCATTCAATCAGTGTCGCCTTGGAAATTCAAAGTGGGAATCATAACTGTGCTGATACTGGAGTTCATTCTGTCAGTGACCAGACTCAAGGAACCGTCTATTACAAGTACAAGACCACTGGGAAAGGATGCACTACTACTGCTGAACCAGGGACCATTGAAGGGGCTCTTCACAAGTTCATTAAAGAGAAAAACCAGGACAAGATTTGTGATTTCGTGTGTATCAGGTTGACCCATGGGGGTAACTGGAGTGGGTATGTTGGATTGGGAACTAGCCAGGACGCTGTCAAGTACTCACGCTGTGACCATGAGATTGGCTCGTGGAGTGCCTGTGTTAACGGTGACAAAGGCGACCGTTGAAGCTAAATGTTATAGATTCAAATTCAAATTGTTTATTTGTAGTTCGCGAAGCCGTTTATGTCCGTTCTATTTTCCGAATGATTAAAAGCTTCTTTGTAATCGCTTCAGCTACAAAGCTCGCAGATCTCGAGAACTGGTATAAAGCGATGGATGGATCCCCTGAGAATTATCAATGATTTGTTGAAATGCCTGTCCATTGAGAAAGAGTATGAGTGCTGGTGATTGGAAGCAAATTGCAAAGGCAAAGAAAGAATCTGTTGACAAGTTGATCCCTAAAGAATGGAGGCTACCGGAAGATATAAAATTGACATACAATGAAACTACCCCAGTTAGTGTCATTGGCTTGCACAAGACTTTTGGGATATTGAATGACAAAGAAGTTGAGATTACTGAAGGATACACTGCTAATGAATTGTTGAAGCATATTGCTGATAAAAAATTCACCTCATTAGAAGTTGCAACTGCTTTTTGTAAAAGGGCAGCCATTTCAACCCAATTGACAAATTGCTGTACCGAGTTATTGTTTCAAGAAACTTTAGCTAGGGCTAAATGGCTTGATGATTATCTTGAAGAGAACGGGAATACTATTGGTCCCTTACATGGTTTACCAATCTCAATCAAGGATGCGTTAAATATTAAAGGGTTTGACTCCACTGCTGGTTATGTTTCATTTATTGGCAACAGGAAGGATATCAACGAGGATGCTGCTATCGTTAAATTGCTTTTCGAGCTTGGTGCTATCGTCCATGTAAAGACAAACATCCCAACAACAATGATGTCTGCTGATTCTGAAAATAACATTTTTGGAAGAACTTTGAATCCATTGAATTTGACTTTGACAGCTGGTGGAAGTTCTGGGGGTGAAGCAAGTTTGATTAAACAAAGAGGTTCATTGATTGGTATTGGAACTGATATTGGTGGCTCCCTTCGTATTCCAGCTGTATGTTGTGGTGTCTATGGGTTTAGACCAAGTAATTTTAGATATCCACAAGAAGGCCAAGTTGAAAAGGAAAGAATAAATTATTCCACTCCGGTAGTTGCTGTTACTGGTCCAATGGCCTTTGATCTGGAAAGTTTGAATCAAATGATGAAATTGGTTTTGAGTAATCCCAATGCTCCCAAATATGACCCAACTTTCCTGGATTTACCTTGGAATAATAATCTAGTATTACCTCAAAAGATAAGAGTTGGTGTTGTGTTAGAGTGTGATTCTGTTCCTTTACAACCACCAATGAAAAGAATCATTAAGGAAGCGGTGAAAAAGCTTGCTGATTCTTCATCGTTTGAAATTGTCTACTTGCAAGATTTTCCTTCTTTTGAATATTGTTGGGGTTTATTATATGGTTACATGACGTCTGATCCAAAGAAAGAAATTATGACAAACTTGACAAAATCCGGTGAGGAAATTATTAAATCATTACTTTTATTATTTGAAGGTAATAAATCTTTCAAGACACCAATTACTTTTGAAGATTTCTATGAACTGGGTGAGTCAAGAAGTCAAGTTAAAAAACATTGGTTGAGACTTATCAATGATGAGAACTTGGATATTATTTTGTCGCCAGGTAGTTCACATACTGCCCCAAAACATGATACTTATGGTAACTCTCCATACACTGGGATGTGGAATCTGGTTGATTTCCCATCGCTTATTATCCCATTTGGTAAAGCCGATGCAAGTATTGATTTGGACGATAAGTCGATCAAATACTGCTACGGAACGCTACAGAATTATGATAAAGATGTACATGAGGGAAGTCCAGGTCATATTCAGCTGTGCTACAAGACATTGAAAGACGAAAATGTATTGAGAATTGGTGAAATTGCTGACAGAGTATTGAATGAGCCCAGGGGCTAGAACAATCTAAGAATTCAACAACTTTTGGAAGCATCTAATCGCAAATTGCTATACTCCTCATTGCAAACTTCAATTTCATTCGTTATCAGTAATATATATGCCACTACTCTACAATTAAACACAGCTAACAAGTTTATTGTCAAGAGCCTTACCGCGAATTGAAATTCGCGAAGTCCTTGTATTTCCGCGGATGTGATCTTTTCAAAAACTAAACCCGAATTACAACTTCCTACAAATTACAAACAATTGTACCATTGTAAGAGGATGCTGATGTTTGTATTACCTATGCTACACATCTTTCATATTTATTTCTCCGTTGAGGAGAGTTCCCCCTTCCCCGTCTTATCTGTTTTTTTGACTCTGGTACAAGTGCTTTGAATCTGTTGAGCTTTTATCGGCTAACATTTAGGTCAGGACCAATTAACCAAAAGCTATAAATGGAGAAGACAATCCCTTGATTATAAGATATCGTGCTTCTTCCAGTAAATCAAAAAAGATACTTACAAATATGAGTACTGGTGATTGGAAGCAAATTGCAAAGGCAAAGAAAGAATCTGTTGACAAGCTGATCCCTAAAGAATGGAGGCTACCAGATGATATAAAGTCAAAATACAATGAAACTACCCCAGTTAGCGTCATTGGCTTGCATAAAACATTTGGGATATTAAATGACAAAGAAGTTGAGATTACTGAAGCATACACTGCTAATGAATTGTTGAAGCATATTGCTGATAAAAAATTCACCTCATTAGAAGTTGCAACTGCTTTTTGTAAAAGGGCAGCCATTTCAACCCAATTGACAAATTGCTGTACCGAGTTATTGTTTCAAGAGGCTTTAGCTAGGGCTAAATGGCTTGATGAATATCTTGAAGAGAATGGGAAAACTGTTGGCCCCTTACATGGCTTACCAATCTCTGTTAAAGATGCAATGAACATTAAAGGTTTTGATTCCACTATTGGGTATGTTTCATTTATTGGGAATAAAAAGGATATCAAAGAAGATGCAGCTCTTGTCAAGATCCTCTTGGAATTAGGTGCTGTCATCCATGTTAAGACAAACATCCCAACAACAATGATGTCTGCTGATTCTGAAAATAACATTTTTGGAAGAACTTTGAATCCATTGAATTTGACTTTGACAGCTGGTGGAAGTTCTGGGGGTGAAGCAAGTTTGATTAAACAAAGAGGTTCATTGGTTGGTATTGGTACAGATATTGGAGGCTCTGCTCGTATTCCTTCTTTATGCTGTGGTGTTTATGGGTTCAGAACAAGTAATTTCAGATATCCTCAAGAGGGAAAAGTTTTGAAGAGCAGAAACAACTACTCAAGTCCAGTTTCCGCTATTGTTGGTCCAATGGCTTATGATTTTGAAAACTTGAATCAAATGATGGATTTAGTTTTGAATTACCCAAAGGCTTCAAAATATGACCCAGACCTTATTGCTATCCCTTGGAATAATAATCTTTCATTACCTAAAAAGATTAGAGTCGGTGTTATCTTGGAGTGTGGTTCTGTCCCATTAAATCCACCAATGGAAAGAATCATCAGAGATGCAGTTGATAAACTTTCTAAATCACCTTTAATTGAAATCGTTAACTTGACTGATTTCCCTTCTTTCCAATATGGTTGGGAGTTGTTGCATGGATATTTTACATCTGATCCAAAGAGTGAAATCATAACAAATCTAACTAAATCTGGTGAAAAAATGATAAAATCTTTAATTTTTTTAGTTGAGGCTAATAATTCTTTTAAAACTCCTAAAGCATTTGAGGATTTTTATGAATTGGGTGAAGCAAGATATCAAGTTAAAAGACATTGGCTGAAGATAATCAATGATATGAGTTTAGATATCATATTATGTCCAGGTGCTTCACATACTGCTCCAAAGCATGATACGTTTGGTAATTGCCCTTACACAGGTATGTGGAATCTTGTTGATTTTCCTTCACTTATTATTCCTTTTGGTAAAGTGGATAAAGATATTGATTTGGATGATCCATCAATTAAATATTGTGAAGGAACTCTACAAACTTATGATAAAGATGTACATCATGGAAGTCCAGGCCACATTCAACTAGTCTATAGAACATTACAAGATGAGAATGTTTTGAAAGTTGGTGAGATCATTGACAGGGTTTTGAATAAATCATGAGAAATCTTCAACTAGTTTGTCTTTATCAGTATCTAGTTTATAACCTTTTATGTTATCTTTTTATTCCTAAATATTATTCAAAAATTGATATGATCAGTCGTGTAAAATACTCCTCGATGGATATTGGCGCCATTCTACATCTTTGTAATTTTATTCATAACATAAATAATTCATTTTCGTATTCTTAATTTGAATATTTAAACCAGTTAAAGATCCATCAAAGCTGTTTTCATTAAAATTATTAATCCAATTTGATTCTAACAGCTTTAACTTGGGTATAGTTATCCAAAGCTTCAGTACCCAATTCTCTACCAATACCAGATTGTTTGAAACCACCAAATGGAACTTGATGATGGAAATCATTGTAAGTATTAATCCAGATGGTACCAGCTTCAATTCTGTTTGAAACATCAATAGCAGTGTTCAAGTTGGTAGTATGAATACCAGCAGCTAAACCATATGAAGAATTGTTAGCCTTTTCAACAATTTCATCAACAGTTGAGAATTTAGTGATTGTAACAACAGGACCGAAAATTTCTTCTTTAACAATTCTAAAAGATTCTTCAACGTCAGCGAAAACTGTTGGTTTAACAAAGAAACCTTTAGTGCCTAATCTTTCACCACCAGTGATAACTCTAGCACCTTCTTCTTTACCTAATTTAACATATTGTAAAATTTTGTCAATTTGATTTTGGGAAGTTTGAGCACCTTGGAAAGTATCTTCTTGGAATGGATCACCAACTTTAACAGCTTCAGCAGCAGTCTTGAATTCGTTCAATAATTCTTCATAGATACCTTCTTGGACATATAATCTTGAACCTGCGCAACAAACTTCACCAGAGTTGTAGTAAATACCTAAAATGATGTTTTGAACAGTTTTGGAGACATCAGCATCGTTGAAAACAATGTTTGGTGATTTACCACCCAATTCCAAAGTGACTTTTTTCAAGTTAGAATCAGCAGCAGCTTTCAAAATATGACGACCAGTAGCAGTAGAACCGGTAAATGCAACTTTTTTAATTTTATCATGAGTAGCAATGGCTTCACCAACAATCTTACCAAAACCAGAAACAATGTTTAAAACACCAGCTGGGATACCAGCTTGTTCAACATATTGAGAGACATAAAGAGCAGATAAAGGAGTAGATTCAGCAGATTTCAAGACAATGGTGTTACCAGTAGCTAAGGCAGGACCAACTTTCCATGACCACATTAATAATGGGAAATTCCATGGGATGATTTGACCAACAACACCAATTGGTTCTCTTCTAGTGTAAGAGAAATGACCATCACCAGAGTTAATAGTACGACCATCAACTTTATCGGCCCAACCAGCACAAGATCTTAGATAATTGACAGCAAGAGCGACATCACCACGAGCAGATGAGATGGCTTTACCATTATCCAAAGATTCAATAGAAGCAATGGTTTCAGCATCTTGTTCAATCAAATCAGCCAATTTGTTGATAGCATTACCTCTAACTAAAGGATCAACACGAGACCAAACACCAGATTTAAAGGCCTTTTCAGCAACTTCAACGGCGTGGTTAACATCATCTTCGCGACCTTCATAGATATGAGTAATTTCATCTTCAGTAGCTGGGTTTATAACTTCAAAAGTTTTCCCTTGTCTTGAAGGGACAAACTTGTTGTCAATAAATAACCCAGTTGGTTGGTTATAAGACTTCCCATTTGGCAAGTTGACATTGACAGAAAGAGGAAGTTTTGAAGAGTAGAATCTAGTGAAAAGGATGGAAGCCTGAGCGGCAGAGGCTTTAGAAGCCAATCTTTTTGTAGTTGTTGAGGTGATCATCCTGGCTTGAATAATTTTAGGGATTGAGCACAAAGGAGAAAACATTCGAGGATGGGAGATGGGTTTATATAGAGGCTCTGGCGACCCCACAATTGGCCAACAAATTGCAATTCCCACGAGATGGCCATACTAAAACAGGTGCTAAACTCCTTTCCACCTTTCCTGAATGTCATCGTTCAAGTGTCGCTTACTCCACTTCCATAAGAAATATGTGCCACTTGGAAAAAGGCTCAAGGATAAGAATATCATGATCAATTAAGCTATATCATGGTCGCGAATTAAGCATTATAGTACCATTGGAGTATCAGAGATTAAAGATTAAAGACGTAATTGGTTTCTAATCAAGTGCCTTTAGCCAATTGAGCCATCCATACCTTATACCACACATGGCTGAACCCATTCCTTTAGCCTACGCTTGCCCCATTCACAGATCAATAACGCAGCGAACACTCCCCGGACTCCCTCTGTTCCAATCTGCGGCAATCGGACTCCCTTGTTGTAGAAAGATTATGTAATGTCAATGAGTATCACGTGAATCGTGCTAAGATCACGTGAACAGACACAACAAGCCCTATTACTACAACTATTCTAAAACAAAATCAACAAATTCAATATTCTAATATACATCTATGCAAATACGAGTCATTAACAATCATTAATTCACACTATTGGTGTCCTTGGCCTTAAGAACTGAAGACCCATGACTTTCTCCTTCATCAAGCTCAACAGTTTGATGTTCAGCTTGAACTTCACGAACATATGATTGATATTCATCAATTGGGATTTTTTTAATCTCTTTTCTCCAGAATCCATCCTCCGCCACAATTTCTTCAATGTATAATTTATAACCGAAAGCTTTTGGTAAAATCTTGGCCCAGAAAATCCAATAAACAAATCCAATAAAGAAAATACCCCATGTAGTAACACAATGAACATAATATGGTAAATCTTTATAAACTGATTGATCACCAGTTGGTGGAACATATGGTGCAACAATTAAATATAATGAACTTAATCCGAAAAAGATAGTAACTGGAACTGATGCTTTTAATGGAGGTTCCCATTTCAATTCACCTTTATGGGCTTTATAATTAACCCATAATAAACCAACTGCAACCAAGAAATTTATAACATTTAATGGATAAGAAATCAAATTCATAATGAAATTATAAGCATCACCTGGTGGAGGAGCTAAAATTGTAATAATACAAACAATCCAATGTTGCATTAAACCAACAAGTGGTGAATTAAAAGGTCTTGAACTTGCAAAAAATTTTGGAAATGGTAAAATACCTTCACGACCCAATTGAGTAATGATACGACCTTGAGAGAAAATAACACTCATAACATTACCTAATGCACTTAGAGCAACAAAGACTGATGAAGCTTTTTTAGCATTATCACCAAATGCAATTTGGAAGAAATCAGCAGCTAAAATAGTTGATGAAGTTTTCAACAATTCTTTTGGAACAATAGCAAAATATGCAATATTAACAAATAAATAAATAATGGCCACAATGATTAAAGCTGATGGTGCAGCAAATTTTAATGTTTTAACAGGATTTCTAACTTCACCTAAAGCATAATTAACATTTGAATAACCAATAAATGACCAAATAACATTATATAATGCATTAACAACACCATAAGCACTTGCATCCTTGGTACCTTCAAATGAATTATGGAAATTATCAGTTTTTTTCCAACCACCAAGGGCAACCCAACCTGTAACGGTAATAAATAAAATAACACCAATTTTGAAAACACCTAAAACATTTTGAATATAAGCACCCACTTTAATATTTGTTGAATGGACAATAAATGCAAAAGTAATAGCTGCAACACCAATACCACGTTCACCCCATCTTGTTGGTTCTTTACCAGCTGCAGTTAAAATATATTGACCAAAGATAATTGAGTTACCAGCTGCCCAACCTAATAAAAATGCATAAGCAGCATACATTGCAGTAATTAAGAATTTTGGTTTTGAATAGACAAATTCCAAATAATTCTTCTCACCACCATTTCTTGGGATTGCAGATCCAAATTCCATATAAACATATAACCCAGCTAAAGCAATAATAGCACCAATAACCCACATGATTAAAGCTAAACCAACTGAACCACCACATAAATTATAAATAGTTGCAGGAGTTGCAAAGATACCAGTACCAATCATACGATTACAGACTAACCCAATTGCTGTAATGTAACCGATATCTTTGTAACCTTTATCCAAAGGCTTAGCATAAGCTTCATCAGTGGAATTCAAATCTGAAGCATTTGGTTCCACTATATCAATTGTATCTAATTTACCCATTGTTAGTTGATTGGAATGAATGAATGAATGAGTGGTAAAGAGAAAGAAATCAGAGAAGTTTTTATACGAGTTTAAATGGAAAATATTTTAATGATGTTCAAATAGCCACAGTTTTGTTCATTATAACGACTCATCGAAACTTTGTGCAAGATGAAAAATTTTCGAGATGTTGATATTGGCTATTGCCGTTTCTTTTTCTCTAACGGCATCTAGGGCACCATGCATCTGTCAAGGGTCTGTAGGCATTTGAAGAGGTATTCTTATGGTGGTTATGGAAGTGTATGTTCTTGTGTTTGTGTTTGGCTGTTTAAAAGATGATAACCTCCACAAATGATGAATCCATTATCTTTATATCTGCGTTGTACTGAGTGTGCTTGGTTTGTACTGCTCATTCGTTGAAATTGTGTCAAGTTTATTGCCACTCAGCGACACGGAAAAAAGAAATTTCTGTGGTGATTAGGTAAGGATTAGATAATAGTCACGTGAATAATAAATTACGTAATATATTATGTAATATTCATAAGTAATATTGGTTGTATACTTAAAGCCACAATTATCAAACCATCTTTTTACATACAGACATGTATTGTCTACTTCGATCTCCGTACATACGCACGGACAGTGGTGGCACCTTATCATAGGATCATCAGGAGCCATAATGGTGATGTATCCCCAGTTCATTCGAGTCATCTACAATCATGAATCATTCTAGAAACCTTCAATTAAATCAAACATCAACCTCTTTCTTTTCCTCATAATCATCTGGTCTATCCTCATTCACAGGGATAAAGCCACAACCAACATTGATAGCTATACAGCACACCCCAATGATCCAAAAACTTCTCATATAATCACTAACTCCTGAAGAATTAATGTTATATCTAAACACCAACGAGAATAAAATACCACCTAAATTACCCATGGCCCCAGTTGTACCAGCAACTATACCTGTGTGTTTCTTATTAATATGTGGAACTAATGAAAAATTGGCCCCATTACCAGCTTCCATGAAGATACACATCACCCCTAATGCTCCAATTAATCCATGAATTGATAACTTTGAAGCTGGAACTAATCCAATCCATAAAAGGAAAATCCCCTCCATTAATCCACAGAATAGTAACCAGAATTTTTTAACTCTGGTGCTTTTATATCTAGCATATAATAAATCACTAATATAACCACCTAATGGTCTTGTTACAACATTTAATAATCCCAACATTGAACCCCATGATCCTGCATAGCTTTCACTCCATAAATGATTGGATCTTTGAACATATAAAGCACTTAAAACTGATTCAACTGCTAATTCACCACCAAATGTTGTAATATATGGTAATGCTGTCAACATTGTTCTATAATGGAAAGTAATTTTCAAAAATTCTTTAAAAGATGGATCTTCAATAATTTCATCCAAATTAACAACTTCACCAACTCTTGTTTGAACAACATCCAATGATTTATTTGTATTATCTGAAGATTCTCCTAATTTATCATCCACAATAACATCATCAATTTTATCTTGATGATGACTATGATGTTCACGGATACGACTCATTTGATTTGAAAGTGCAGGATGATTTGAAGAAATTGAAACAATATCGACTTTTCTAACATCAACACCAATATTCAAGACATCACTTCTCTTATTCCATGAGCCTTCTGGACAATCATCACCAAGGAAAAAAATTGCAATAGCAACAACCATTAGAATGATTAAAGGACCAATTAAAAATGAATAAGTCCAACGTTCATGAATTGAATAGCCTCTTCTCTCTAAATCATTAACTAAAGCTGGCATTATAAAAAAGGCAACACCAGCACCAGCGTTACCCCATCCCCCAGCTAAGGCATTAGCTCTACCAACAATTTTTTTATCAAAAAATGCAGTAGTCCACATTTGACATGGAATAAAACTACCACCTAATAAACCAATGAAAAACCTAATTGCATGTAGACCTGCAACATTTTTAACTAAAGGAATTAAAGCAGTTGGAACTGAACCGACAACCAAGACAATACACATTGTATAACGTGGACCAATCTTATCTACCACTGGGCCTAATAACACCCTTGCAATCAATGTAGCTGATAACCCACTAATATTATTATTTGCAATATCAATTGAGGTTAAATGTAAATCTTTTTTAACACTATGAGCTAATAATGGAGGGAAAGCAAACCATGATAAAAAAGATACAAAGAATCCTAACCAAGCGAAATTAAAATTTCTACCATAAATATTGAATGGATTTAAAATTGGAATTGATAGTGCCTTATTGTTTTTTGGATTAACTTGAGGTGCTTGGAAAAGCTCTTTAATTAATCTCGACATGATTTATAATCTTGTAGTATATTATACTGTACTTCCATCCTTACAATTCCACAATCTTTCTCAAAAGACAATCTTCCTTCTTTATATGTTAATCATACAATACCTCTTGACTTCATCAACTGAGAAAAAAAGATCTTGAAGTAGTGGCCGGTGTCAAAAATGGGTTGATAACAGACGGAGAATACTGACTAAAGAGGCTTTGGGACTTTGTTAATTAGGCTTATCAAGGTTTTTATAGCAATGAAGATTGTGTAAGAAGCTTATGCTTGTGAAGTGATTTATTTCGCTTGGAATAAAAAAATTTCCATATGATGGTTTTTGTAGGTGGAAAATACTTTGAGGCCCGATAAGGACCCTGAAGGTCTAGATATTGGGACTTTGCGAGACTGAGGTAGACAATTAGAGACTAGCTTACATTCACTTTAACCTGGCATACCTCATCGTATTCTAATCATATACACTTCCTTATCATGTTCGTGACACCTCCAAACTCTTCGTTATCTGGGTTTGTAACACCATCGACAATCTCATATCTTGACTCCAGCACTCCACAACTCCACCCAACAACTAATAAACCTGGAGGTCTTGATCCCAATTGTGTCATGACTCCAACAATATCTTTCAATTGACTTCTCACTATCCTTTGGTCAGCACTTGATGCTTTTTCAATAACACAACATGGAACATTACAATCCCACTTCTTGTTCAACATTTCTCCAACTAAATTTTCTAATCTATGAATGGCCATAAGGAAAATTGTAGTTCTTTTAGAATCATAATCAGGAACATCACTCGTAGAACCTTTTGAGCCAGTACCTGTACATAGCAACACTTTATCTGTAACACCACGATGTGTAGCTGGGATACCACCAAATAATGGAGCTGTTAAAGCAGATGTTAGACCTGGTAAAACATCAGCTTTTATACCTTTTGACTTAAAATATAAAACTTCTTCACCACCACGACCATAAATAAAAGGATCACCTTGTTTTAATCTAACAACTTTCAAACCTTTTTGGAAACCATCCATTGCTAAATCATATAGTTCTTGTTGAGCAGCTTCAGCATTACCAGGAAATTTCTTTGCAATGAATTGTTGAGTTGAATTTGGTATTAGATCCAATATTTCCTGGGGTATTAATTTATCCAATAATATCAAATCACAAGTCTTTATTGCATTCAATGCACCAATTGTTAAACATGATATTGAACCAGGACCTGAACCAACAAGTGTTATTGAACCTTTCTTTGTAAATTTGGAATAATTAGTTATTTTTTTCTGTTGATGGAAATCTGATATAGAGATTGAAGATAATTTAGATAATGGATAATATTCAATCATTTGAGTTAACCATCTTGATCTTCTCAAGAATTTATCCTCTTTAGTCATTGCAAATTCATAAACCATTTCATTTGAATATTCAAAATCTTCACCATCTTCCTTAATCAATTCTCTTCTGAGACTACCAATATTTGAGACAATTTCATCAATGTTTGAAGGTAATGATTTTACAATTTCTCTTTTGATTCTTGAGGATAAGTTACACCCCATTCCTGAAGTGGTGACACCAATTTGTAAATCATTTGAGTTATAAGTAGATAATAGAGTAAATGTTGATAGGTTTTGAGATTGATAAGTATTGATTGGGATTCTTAATTTCTTGCAAACTTGATATATTTCTTGTTTGATATTTGATTCAATAACAAAGACTTTATCCACAACACTATCAACTTCTAATCTTCCCAGTTTTTGCAAATCATCCATTTCAAACTTCTTTTGGATCCATTGTAGCTTTCCCTGTTCCACCAAGTTTTGTAAATTAGCATCAATCACATCAGCATCATGAACTAACAATGGTTCAGCACCAACCTGGATCGATTTCAATGCTCTTTGATAGGTGATGTTGCCACCCAACGCACCAATAATGAGATGGATCTCTTCCTCACAGTCAACAGCACTCAACAGCTTCATCTTTAGCCTACCACCACCATCATTATTCACTTCAACGACATTGACACTCCATAACGTTTATATAGAATAGGTGTTAATCAAGGACTGGCTCTGATCTAGTCCTCGAGTCCCTTGAAATCTTCCGTTGACGTGTTGCGGAAAATAAATATTTCTTTTATCGTGGAAAACGTAAACAACCGTCAGATATGGCCATCGGAAAATAGAGTGCTATCTGGATCTTTTATCAGAGGCAGATGTGTTTGCTGATGTTGGCTATTGTGTGATGGAGTCTGACAATTGGCTGGTGTCTGAGTGGGCTCTTTTTTAAAGCTGTGTATTCCCAGAATGATTCAAGTGATGGATTCATGACAACATCAACATCATCATCATCATGAGCTCAGAATCCCCAAGCAGTGTTTTTAGTGAGACGTCCAGTATTCAGATCAGTGAGACTGATGTGGAGCCTGAACTCAACTTTCCTTTAAGAAAAGATGTCCCAAAGTCAAAAGTGCTGGAGTTGGATATAAACACCAAAGATTATAGAGTTCCAAGAGACCCTCGTCTGTTGAGATTGACTGGTTCTCATCCTTTCAATTGTGAAGCTCCATTGACTACATTGTTTGAGGATGGCTTTATAACTTCATCAGACTTACATTTTGTTAGAAATCATGGGCCTGTTCCTCATGTTGAAGATGAAGAAATTATGAATTGGACATTCTCTGTGGAAGGTTTAGTTGATGAACCATTTGAAATGAAGTTATCTGATATGATCCAAGAGTTTCCTCAATACACTAATCCAATAACCTTATGTTGTGCAGGAAATCGTCGTAAGGAACAAAATCAAGTTAAAAAAGGGAAAGGTTTCAATTGGGGTGCTGCTGGTGTTTCAACCTCTTTATGGACTGGTGCATTTTTATGGGATGTTATATCAAAAGCTAAACCTTCTAAAAAGGCAAGATATGTTTGGATGGAAGGTTGTGATGATCCTGCAAAAGGTGCTTATGGTACATGTGTCCCTTTACCTATGGTTAAAGACCCTGAAAGAAATATAATGTTGTGTTATAAACAGAATGGGATCTATTTGGAACCTGATCATGGTAAACCCCTAAGAATCGTTATACCAGGTGTTATTGGTGGTAGATCTGTTAAATGGCTAAAGAAATTAGTTGTTAGTGATAAACCAAGTGATAACTGGTATCATTTCTTTGATAATAGAGTTTTACCAACTATGGTTACACCTGAAATGGCTGCATCTGATGAATCATGGTGGAAAGATGAAAGATATGCAATTTATGATTTAAATTTACAAAGTATTACGGTTTATCCTGAAAATGATGAAACTTTAATTGTTGATTCTTCAAATGAAGATGAATTATACAATGTTAAAGGTTTTGCTTATAATGGTGGTGGTAAAAGAGTTGGTAGAGTAGAAATCTCATTAGATGGTGGGAAAACTTGGAAATTATGTGAAATAGATTATCCAGAAGATTCATATCGTGATGCAGGCTATATTGAATTATATGGTGGGACTATAAATGTTTGTGATAGAATGTCTTGTTTATGTTGGTGTTTTTGGAGTTTACAAATACCTAAAAGGGAACTGAAATGTGCAAAAGATCTAGTTGTTAGAGCTATGGATATCTCAATGACCGTTCAACCAAGAAATATGTATTGGAATGTTACTTCAATGTTGAATAATTGGTGGTATAGAATTGCTATTCAACCAGGTTCACAAGATGATGAAATTAGATTTGAACATCCAACTTTAGCTAATAAACCTGGTGGATGGATGGATAGAGTTAAAAAGGAAGGTGGTGATTTGTTAAATCCAAATTATGGTGAAAGAGTTGCAAATGGGGAACAAGAAGAAGAACGTAAACCATATGTTGATGAAGAATTACAAATGATTTTAAACCCAGATAAAGTCAACATTATCATCACAAAAGAACAATTAGCTCAACATTCAAATGAACAGGAACCATGGTTTATTGTTAAAGGTCATGTTTTCGATGGTACTCCATTTTTACAAGAACATCCAGGTGGTGCTCAATCGATTACTATGGTTGCAGGTGAAGATGCTACTGAAGATTTTATGGCTATTCATTCAGATAATTCTAAGAGAATGTTACAAAAATTCCATCTGGGTAAATTGGAAGATCAGTCTTCTACAACAACATCAGTCCCAATTGTTGAAATAGTTGAAAAAACACCAACTTTATTAAATCCAAAGAAATGGAAAAAGATTAAACTTGTCAATAAAGAAATCATTTCTCATGATTCAAGAATTTTCCATTTTGAATTAGAACATCCAGAGCAAACCACTGGATTACCTGTTGGTAAACATTTCTTCATTCGTTCAAAAGATTCAACTGGTTCATTAGTTATGAGAGCTTATACACCTAAATCAAATCATAAGATCATGGGGAAATTAGAAGTCTTGGTGAAAGTGTATTTTGCTAAAGAAGGTATTCCTGGTGGTAAAATGACAAATATTTTAGAAAACATGGATATTGGATCATTCATTGAAATTAAAGGTCCAACTGGTGAATTTGAATATTTGAGTAATGGTGAATATTTGTTGGATAATAAACCTGGCAAAGTTGATTCATTCTTGATGATTGCTGGTGGATCTGGTATTACTCCTTGCTATCAAGTGATTAAAGAGATTGTTGATAATGAACAAGATAACACAAAGATGAAGTTATTTTATGGGAATAGGAAACCTGAAGATATTTTGTGTCTCCAAGATCTTGATAATTTTGTTGCTACAAAAAATTCAAACTTATCTGTGGTGCATTGTCTATCTGATTATCGTGCTGTTCCAAATGAATGGGAAGGGCTAACTGGTCGTATGAGTAAGTTGTTGTGGAATCAATACGTTGAAGAGCAAAACAAGATTGGTGAGTTCTTGGTTCTTGTTTGTGGTCCTCCTGGAATGGTTGAAGGTGTCAAAACCATTGTGAAGGAGACAGGCTTTGATCCATCCAGAGTTGTGTATTTCTGATAAAGATAATGTATAGAGTCTAATATTATTTATTACGTATCCAAATTTCCTGTATTATCCGTTATCTGATTATACTGTTTCTGCCCCAACCACTATCAATTCGCGAATTCACGAAAAGCGGATTTTAAAAGTCTGAAATCTGAAATCTGTTGATAAGAGCCAAAGCCTTGAGCCAAACGAGCCTAGTCTCTGCTGACGTTGACCACGATGGCCATTGGCTATGAAGTGCTGGTATTCCACTGGCTGCATTATCAGAGAGCTCATCGCAGGCCCAACTGGAAAATGGAAGGCCCTAATTAGCGGATGTTAATGAGAGGAACAATGTATCAACAACAAATAATCCGCTGATATCTCATGAGTCGATATAACATCAAAAGGGAAGATGAGCTCGTGAATAAAAACATTGAATTATAATGATTCTTTCTCTTCTTTCAACTCTTCCTCTGTTCATTCATACAATCAATAATGAAGGTTGAAGAACATATTGGTGGTGTGCCACCATTGCCTGGGAAGACTGATGGTGTCAAACAATACAGTGATATGAAAAACATGGTGATTGTTGGCCTTGGTATGACTGGTATTGCATTCTTAGAAAAAATGTTAAACAATGATACTGCTCAAGAATATTTCTACACAGTTATTGGTGAGGAACCATATTTGGCATATAATAGAGTCGGCTTAACTGAATATTTTGAACACAAGAACTTTGACAAGTTACTTTTATCACCAAAGACTTTTTATGAGGAAAGAAATAAAAACAGATGGAATTTCAAGGTTGATGAAGCAGTTGTTGAAGTTGATAGAGATCACAAAGTTGCTAAAACTTCAAAGGGAAACTCTTATGATTATGATACATTGGTATTTGCAACTGGTTCTAATGGTGTTTTACCTCTTCATTTGTTACCAGATCCAGTAAATGGTCAATCCAAACAAGATTATAGAAATTATAGAGAAATGGGATGTTTTGTCTACCGTACAATTGATGATTTGAATTCAATGCTTTCATTCAGTGAAGAATTATCAATACCAAAAGATTCAACTAAAAGAGCCATCGTTGTTGGTGGTGGTCTATTAGGTTTAGAAGCTGGTAAAGCTTTATTAGACATGAAAACTTTTGATAATGTCACCGTGGTTCATAGATCAAAATGGTTATTATCCCAACAGATGGATGAAAAAGGTGGTGCTTTATTAACTGAAAAGGTTCGTGATTTAGGTGTTACTGCTAGAACTGGAACCACTGTTGATGAACTACTTTTTGATAGTAATGGTAAATTGAAAGCAGTTAAATATAATGACGGTGAAATTGAAGAATGTCAATTGCTTTGTTACACAATCGGTATTCAACCAAGAGATGAAGTGGCTGCTGAATCTGGTCTAGTGTGCTCCAAGAGAGGTGGTGTGGCGATCAATAACTTTATGCAAACCTCTGATCCAAATATTTATGCTATTGGTGAATGTGCTTCATGGAACGATAAAACATTTGGTTTAATTGCTCCAGGTATTACTATGGCCGATATTTTATCATTCAATTTAATCCAATCAAAATTTCATTCTCCAAAAGAGTTTTCCGAACCAGATATTGGTACAAGACTGAAATTAATGGGTGTTGAAGTAGCTTCATTTGGTGATTATTTTGCCGATAAAAATGGTCCAAAATGGCTTCCAAAAGGTTATACTTTGAAAAAAGTTAGATCATTAGTCTATGAAGATCCAATTGAAGGTATCTATACAAAATTGATCTTGACACAAGATGGGAAATATTTATTAGGTGGTATTCTTGTGGGTAATACAAAACAATTTACCAAATTTACTTCAATTGCTAAACAAAGAAAACCATTACCTTGTCCTGCTTCTGAATTTATATTAGGTAAAGGTGGTGATGATGAAGATGCTGATATGTTATCAGATGATACTCAAGTTTGTTCTTGTCAAAACATTTCCAAAGGTACATTGGTGGAAAACATTAGAAATGGTAAATGTGCTTCATTAGGTGAGTTGAAATCCGTCACTAAAGCTGGTACTTCTTGTGGTGGTTGTGAGCCTACAATGAAGGCTATTTTTGAATCTGAAATGAAAAAAATGGGTAAACAATTATCAAATGCCTTGTGTGCTCATTTCAAACAATCAAGAGCTGATTTGTTTTCGATAATTATGGTTAAACAGTACAAATCTTTTAAAGAAATTATGCAGAATGTTGGTTTGAAACCTGAGGCTGCTGGTTGTGAAATCTGTAAACCAACAATTGGTTCAATTTTGTCAACTTTATACAATAGACATATTTTAGATAGTGATGTCCATGGGTTACAAGAAACAAATGATAGATACTTGGGTAACATTCAAAGAAATGGTACTTACTCAGTTATTCCAAGAATGTCTGCAGGTGAAATAACACCTGAAAAATTGATTGCAATTGGTAATATTGCTCAAAAGTATGATTTATATACAAAGATTACTGGTGCTCAAAGAGTTGATCTATTTGGTGCCTTGAAACAAGATTTACCAAAGATTTGGGAAGAATTATATGAACATGGATTTGAATCAGGCCAAGGTTATGGTAAATCCTTAAGAAATGTTAAATCTTGTGTCGGTTCCACATGGTGTCGTTATGGTATTGGTGACTCTGTTGGTTTAGCATTAAGATTGGAAGAAAGATATAAAGGTATAAGATCCCCACATAAAATGAAAGGTGGTGTTTCAGGTTGTGTTAGAGATTGTGCTGAATTCCATTCTAAAGATTTTGGTCTTTGTGCAGTTCAAAATGGGTTTAACGTCTATGTTGGAGGTAATGGTGGTATGAAGCCTGCTCATGCCCAACTTTTGAAAAGTGATGTTCCACCTGATCAAGTTATTCCTTTATTGGATAGATATCTGATGTTTTATTTCAGAACTGCTGATAGATTACAAAGAACAGCAAGGTGGTTAGAAAATTTGGAAGGTGGTATTGAATATCTGAGAGATGTTGTTGTTTTCGACAAATTGGGTATTTGCAAAGAATTAGAAGATCAAATGAATGAATTGGTTGGCCATTATTTCGATGAATGGAGAGAATCTGTTATTAGAAAAGAAGATCAAATTTTCAAACAATTTGCAAACACTGATAAATCACAAGAAACTGTTGAAATAATAAGAGAAAGAGGTCAAAGACGTCCAGCTGATTGGCCAGAGAAAGAAACTGTGGAAAAGAAAGACTTCAAAAACATTAAATGGTCATCAACTTCATGGAGATCAGTTTGTCCATCAACAGAATTACCTGAAAAAGAGGCAGGTTCATCAACAACTATTTTAATTTCAGATACTCAAATTGCATTATTTAGACTCAATGGTAAACTTTATGCTTCACAAAATATGTGTGGTCATAAACGTGCATTTGTTCTTTCTCAGGGTATTATTTCTACTGATGAAAATGATAATGTTTACATTTCATGTCCATTACACAAGAGAAACTATGTTATTGATGCTGATAAGCCAAATGCAGGTGCTTGTAAAAATGATGATAGTTTATCTGTTGCATTGTTTGATATTAAGGAAGATGATGGTATGATTTTGGTTAAGCTACCTCCAGAAGATGAATTAGATGAGGTTTTAGGAACCACTAAATGGAAAGTTAAGAAATCAGAAACTGTTAGTGAAGGTATTGCAACTTTTAAGAAGCTTGATGCTAAATTCAACATTAAAGTTCCAGTCAGAACTCCTGTGCCCTCTGTTGGTGGCTCTGAACTAGACTGGTAGACTCTGTATATTATCGATATTTATTGAAGGATTAATTAATAGTTTTTATGATGATGTAGTTGATCCAGTTGACTTTGGTGCTCATTTTTACGCTAAAGTGAGTGTCTGTTCTGACATTTACTCTTCTGCTTTTTGAACCTTCAAAATTGACATGAATGAACTTTTATAATAATCTTCAACTTCTTCAACTATTCAAAACCACTAGCCCATTATGAGTTCTTCTATTCGAGTTTGTGAGTCTTGTTCTCGTTCAATGACTATGTCTGACAACTAACCCTTATATCAGCAAATCTACCCAAGGATGTAACTGAAGAAACTATTCATTCATTGTTTTTATCGTTTGGTAATATACTATCAATAACGTCTCAAAAGAACTATATAGATATACAGTTTCAAGAAATCAGTGATGCACAAGCTGCACTTGATAATATGACAGGGTTTAAGTTGTTTGACAGTTATTTACAAGTCAGCAAAATCAGTGAATACAATCCGTTGGATTCATTAGAAGAGAAGAAACCAATTTGGGAACAAAATCATGTTCTGAACCAAGAATAATGATGAAACTACATATAATCAGCTAACTATCCCTTGGTATCATTATTAAAATTACATAAATGGGTTTGAAAAAGAGGGAAATTGAACATTTAAAACTCATCAAATCTTGAGATTTTTCAGGTTATTTTTTGTTTTGTTTAAAGGGTATCTAAATAATATTGGGAATCAAAAAAAAGAAAAAAAGAACAGCACCTAATGTACAAGCCTAATATATTACACACAATCCTCTTGAGCTCATCACTTCTTTTCAGATGGAGGCAGCACCACTTTTAACTAGATCTTTTGCCCATTGTCTCGATATTATGGAAGCTTTCATGAATCTTTTTGAAGCATACTTCTTGAAGAATTCTTCATGAATAACAGGACCAACTAGATATTGAATGTATAATTGAACGACTGGTTGTAAATCAGTTTCAAAAACTTCACCTGAATAATGTATTAAATTACCATTCCAATCATTTTTACCCAACATTTTTCTTGCTAAAAACATTGAAGCAGCAGCACATAAAGAAGGTTTAACACCAATGAAATGATGATCCATTATTGAAATTTCCATAAAATATTTACCGATTGTTCTTGAATGGATATCGTAATCATCAGCTTTGGAAATTCTTCTCAAGAAATTCATTGGATTTGGATAACTTATATCAAAATTTAAAATTTCTAAAACGAATTTTTCAGCAGCTAAAATTTCATCAACACTTGAACCACTTTCACTTGCAAAGTTTGAAACACTTGGTGAATAGATCTCTTCATATTTAGAAGAAATAAATAAACATGCAGTACCCAATAATTGTAATCTATTAACTTGAACAATTTCTCTTGATAAAAATCTATCCATTAAATTCATAGCAACGAATAAAGTTTCTGGTAATAATCTAAATTTTAAATGAACTTCATTCATCCAGTCAACTAATTGATCTCTCATATTAGCATTTATGAAAGTTTGTTTTGATAAATAATCAGACATTGGTAAAGTTTTAATTTCCAATTCATAAAGATAATTGAAAATTTCAACAACATATTCACTAACCATTAATGGATCGTCAAAATCTTCTTCATCTAAGTCTTCCCATTGATAATCAGCAGTTTTAGACTTTTTGAAGCTTGTTTCATTATTATTATGTATACTATTTGAGCTGGCTTGTCTTTTCATAGCAGATCTTGTAGTTATTTGTTGATGTTCCTCTTCAATTCTTTCTTTAGGTATTATAGGTTGAGGTTTTTTCAAGCCACTTGGTTTAGCAGCTGTAGCAGCACCTCCTAGCTTTGTATTGGTGACATTTGATAAAGCACTTCTTCTCACAGGAATATTAGATTTTGATTGGACATTATTTGAGGTTGTTGAAGTTATATTTGTTTTGGATCTAGTGATTCTAGCATGAGATTCAAGTTTATTTTCATCATGAATTTGGATTTGATTAGTGAAGTGATCCATTGTGGTTAATATGTATTAACTTAATCAATAGAACGAAATGTGGTTGTGGGAAATGGGTATTAATTGATTGATGAAGCCAATGGAGAATAAAAGATGGATGAACAAGAGAGAAAGGGATAAGAGCAAGTATTTAAAAAAAATTAAAGTGAAAGTAAGGTCAAGGGTATAAATTTCACAAAGTAAGGTATCAATATGAGGTTTTCCTCTCTTTGATTCATGTTTGGAAAAAAAGTTGACAATTTCCACTTAAAACGGGAAAATCAAAACAAACACTACCTTATCGGGAATTTGCGCGAAAGGCTACCAAAACATTGGCCGAATCGGGTAATTGTTAAAAAAGTGTAAAAAGAGGATTAAACACTCCTCCAAACTACGATAAATGATTAGTCAGTTATTTCATTATTCTTGGCTAAACCTATTGCACTATTTTAGTTTTTCTCTTCATGTGTTTTTAGTTATCTATTTTGCGCTTACTTATTCTCTTTTGTGCCGATTTGCGAAATCATCACTCGCAATTTCGCGAGCATTGTTATCACCTGGGCAAATTTATGCCATTATTTCTGTATACGGTAATTGTTGATGTCTTTCCCAACACAGAACTTATGTAATTTATAGCCGTTTATTATTAGTCCATACTAAGCTCAGGAGAGCGTCAATATCCGACATCTGTATACAAATACATTTTGATTACTGAGTTTAGAAGCTACTTCATTAACTTTTTGCACTTTTCATTCACTAAATGATAAAAAGAACACTATGGTACATCATTAAAAGTAGAAGATCATCTAGATCTCTGAATCTTTTTGGGGGTATTAAGTGAAAAAAATAAATAAAAGAGTTAAAACAACATCTTTTTTTTCTTTGTATTTCTTCTTTCATTCTTGATCATCATCATTATTACTATTATTATTACTATTATCATCATTATCCTCCATAATATCAATACATTCAGCTTCGATTTTCTTTGCCCATTGTCTTGCTAAGATTGAGGATTTCATAAATTTCTTGGAGGCATATTTTTTAAAGAATTCTTCATGAATAACAGGTTGAGTTAAATAATCCAATAATAATTCCACAACATGTTTGAAGTCATTTTTCTTATAACCACCTGAATAATGAACTAAAGTTCCATTCCAATCTGATCTTCCCAACATTTTTCTTGAAACATACATTGCAGCAGCAGCACATAATGAAGGTTTTAAACCAATAAATCTATGATCCATTATAGAGATTTCTAGTAAATATTTCCCTATTGTTCTAGTTTGAATATCATATTCATCAGCTTTTGATATTCTTCTTAGGAAATTCATTGGATTTGGATAACTCAGATCAAAATCTAAAGCTGATAAGATGAATTTTTCAGCTTCTAAAATTTCTTCCTCTGTATAACCACCATCAGTAACATAAGAATAATTTTTAACACTTGGGGAGTAAACTTCTTCATATTTGGCAGCAATAAATAAAGATCCAGTGGCTAATAATTGTAATTTATCAACTTGAATTGTTTCCTTTGACATGAATCTATCCATTAAATTTATAGCCAAAAATAAAGTTTCAGGTAATAATCTAAATCTTAGATGAACTTCAACAATCCAATCAACTAATATTGATCTCATTTTAGGTTTTAAATTCTTTTGCCATGATAGATAAGTTGAGTCTGGTAAAGTTTTCAATTCTAGTTCATGTAAATAATCAAAGATTTCATTAACGTATTCACTAACCATTAATGGATCATCTGAATCTTCTGCATCTAAATCTTCCCATTCATAATCTATTCTAGGTTTCTTTAGATCTGGAGCACTTGAGCGAGCTTGGTCAGCTAGTGTAGATGATGATTCAGTTGCTGGTCTTTTCAACGGTAGTCTTTTCTCTTCTTTGATTGTTGTTATTTGTTGTTGTTGTTTTGATTTCAAATTCTTCGTTATAGCAGCCTGAGATGAAGTATTTGTCAAATTTGATAATGCAGGTCTCCTCTGGGTATTTGAAGACTCTTTGGTGTTTGTAGTATTGGATTGTTTGTTATCATGGACAGTTGAAGTCTTTGATCTAGTTAAGCGAACATTTTGATGTATAGCATTCTCATCTTGAATGAGCGGTATGTTTTCAGTGGGCATTGTAAAGATGGTTGAGAGGTGTAATTGAGATGAGTTGGAGAATGCAGATACTGAGAATACCTATATGATAATGATAATATATGGATGCGATCTAAGATGATGATGATGGTGGAATGAATCCCCTATAAAGACGTGTAAATGGATAGCCCTGATAGCCTGGAATGATAGAACTGGTGGAGCTTGAGCAGCAGTGCTTGTGAGACGTGAGTGACGATGGGGAACCAGAGCATACAACAGGCAGCGTGAGAACAAAAGTGACAATTGGTGGTGATTTGGAGCTGAGATTCTGAATTTTGTTGTTGTTTTGTGTAAACGCGTTTGGGCAAAAGAAAAAATTTGGAAAAGGACGGTGGTACGCGCCACACGACCAATACAGCAAAACAAAAACAAAGAGGTGAATAATGCGGGATATGGTGGTGTACATGGAGGAAATATTTGAATTGAAAGGGGTGGTTGTATTCAATCAAGGTCTAGCTATCCAATGAATGTCTTTTCATGGCTCTGACACGACTATAGCCCGAGGAAATGTCGATTAGTGTTAGTGTTGTCCTGGAGATTCAATATCCAACACGCTGAAATTTTTAATAATGAACGTGGATTCAAGGAAAACCACTTGGATTTTGGGGAAAGAAGAGTGGAAGAGTGAGTTGAAAGTAATTAAAGAGGTATTGAGTGGTTAGGTAGATATTATTAGGGTGGGAGGATTGGTTTAGGTGCTTTTTTGTAGGTTTTTGACACCTTCATTTGATCGTTTGATAGGTTTTCATGTTCTCGAGCAATTGAAGCTCTAGCAAACAATAAGTTGGAGTAGCTACAACTCTTTTACACTTAAGATTCCAGAACCACCCCCAGCCAATTGCAGTTGTTATGAAATGAAACTAGAATAACTCTTTATTCTTTAATGAATTAATACTCTACTCTTGATGCTCTCCGACTAAGACCGAATCGTTGGTACAATTCAGTTTATCTGAAACTACACAAACAACCCATATTTCTATTCCCATCAGATGTCCATATTACTTCCACATAACTCCCTCAATACTATCCATCTCCCATTAATCTACGCTTTACGCACTCATTTCATGTCAAACTTCTATACTTTTCGTTTGGCTCAAAGATGCAAATTTGTATCGGCTTTAAAATTTGAAGAGATGAAAAAAAACCCTTAACGAACAAATGAACCAGGTACGATTATAATCCACATTTGAACAACAATCAACGTCTGTTGCTAATAGAGAATCAAATATAATCCAACCATGGCTGAAGTAAGAATCCTAAGTCACATGAACAAAGACCATAGACTGGCTATCAAGGATTACCTAAACGTCTATGGAAACGTCATAATCAACAGCAAGATTGATAACATCAAAATGACACACATATCAACTGATCACATGGTTATCCAATTCACTCATGATGACCTAGACTTCCAAATTGAAAAACCAATCCAATTTGAGCCTCCAATGAAGGATCTAAGTGAAGCTCGTGTAAGATTGGTGGAAATGGCTAAATTTGCTGCTAATAAAAGGGGCTATTCTCATGTTCAAATTTCAGACTATAGATATCCAGCTATTTATCAATGGATTCTTATCTTTGTGATTTATCTCCCACTATTATCATACTTTATCCCTTCAATTCTTCAAAATCAATATGTTTCAACTTATTTATCAAATTCGAAAATTGATTGGTTATTACAAAATTCTTTAAACATCACTTATTTGACTTTATTTTTACATTCACTGGAATGTATATTTGTCTTCAGACCAAAACTAAACTATTATAGAGTCCCAACTGATTATCTTATTGAATGGTATATTGCTGGATTAGTTGAAGGATATCCTGCTATTAAAAGATTCAAAAAATTGATTGCTGAAAAGGCACATTAGTTAAAAGTTGAAGGTAAATATATCTGCTTAAATATCTGTTGAACCTCTTGAAGTTGGTAGATTAATTATATGTTGAATCTTATCTGTTTTTCAAACTCTTTCAATGATATTACTTTCACTATCAACATCAAAACTCTCTTGCCTCATACTTCCGCTTTCTTTATTAGCTCCACCCATGTTTACCACTCAACGATCGTATCAAGCACCACAAATATCCAAAAACAAAAGGTGTTAATTCATTCCTATCTTCTTTATGGCCGCTTATACCCGTGATAAAAAAGGGTAACCTCTTCGCATTTTTCCGCGAATTTTTTTAAATTTTTCTTCTACAAAAAAAAATATGGCATAAAGAAAACTGTTACAATACAAGTTTTATCAATAGATACTAGATATTGAAGAGAAAAAAAGTTACAATAATGGCACCAAGACAATCAAAAACAGCTAAAAGAACAGCTACACAGAATAAAACAAGAAGTATCGAATCCGAAGTGTTTAAGGATTCTCAAGCAAGAAATAGATTAGGCTTCACTTCAAATCAAACTGAAAAATCAAGAGTTAGAAAACCAAGTAAAAAAGATGTTAAAAAGGAACAATCCAAGATAAGGCTTTATGGTAAAAAAAAAGAACAAAAAATATATGATGAAAAAGATTTGGATTTACCTGTACTAAATAGAGCTATTGTTCCAGGTGTTAAAAGATCAAGAGGTAAAAAAGGTAAAAAATTTGTTAATGAAAATCCAGAAGATTCAACACAATTAAATAGAATTATTAATGAAGTTATATTGAAAGATGAAAAAAGAGATTATTCTAAATTAGAAAAAGCTCAAAAATTAGAAGAAATTAGAGAATTGAAAAAAAAAGAAATTGAACAAAAAGAAGCTGCTAAAAGAGATAAATTAGAAGATAAAAAACAAGAAATTAAAAATAAAGCAACAAAAGCTAGAACTGATAGAAGAAAAAGAGCTAAATTACAAACTCAATTAGCTGAAGAAGAAGCTTCAAAACCTAAAAAGAAGAAGGTTGCATTTGCATAGCTCTACAATGAAATGAAATAAATTAAATTAATCATGATAATCATTACACACTGTTTTGTATTCATTCTTGGGAAGGTTCAGTGCACTTATAAACACTTATATATGGATCATGTGTATTATTAGCAGCAAACATCATTCTATGAGGATGTAATGAAAGTGATGAAATATATGGGGTTCTGTTTTGTAAACTATACCCATTTGGATTTTTAACATTTGAAATTAAATCACCATTTGTAGTCCAGATTCTAATCATTCTTGATCCTGTTGCAATAATTGGTGCATGTTCATGAATTTGAAGATTTGTCATTGTCTTTTCATGCCCTCTAAATGAGACAACTGGTTCATTTAATCTAATATCCCATAAATTAACTTCACTATTAGATGATCCACTAACTAATTCTCTATACCCACCTCTTTGCATATGAACATTTGTTATAGATGTTGGTCTTTCTTCATCTTTAACCTTCCATAATTTAACCATAGAATCTCTTGGATCCAAACGACGATCATAAACTCTTATGGTACCATCTGCAAACCCACTAACAAATATATTACCTGCAACTTGATCAGATGTTAATGAAGTTATCGAACTTGATGAGCGTGCAGGAACATCAACAACACATAGTTCTCTTGGTGCATCCCATATTCTAATAACTTTAACATCACCTGTAACTAATAATGACCCTCTACTCTGTTGCCATTCCATTAATAACCCTGTTGATCTTGGTGTTAACAACAAATCAGTCAGAGCTCTCCATGATGAAACCAAACGAGACTCTTCCCCTGAATGGAAATCCTTATAAATCTTCACAATACCATCTGATGAACCTGTCAATAATAATGGTAAATCATCTTCATTCAGTAATTTCAAGTCAGTAATTTTAGTACCAAATGGATTACCATTTGAAAATCTTGATAGATGATTTTTTTGCTCCCAATCGAAAACTGTAATGTTATCACGATCATCTGAACTAATCAAATAATTCTCAAATTGTGAAAATTTCAATATTCTTGGTTGTGTCTTATTATTGAAAAATGCAATATTTGTTTTCCAATCACCACGTAATGACAGATTTTTTTGTGGTTGAGTTTCATTAATAATAGCTTCATTTCTATTTCTTCTCCAAATTCTTTGAGTATATTCTAATGAACCTGGTTCATCAACTTCACTTTTACGCATTTGTGGCTCTTGGAAATACTCCATACTGTAATCGAAAAACTTTGAAGTTAATGGTAATTCAACATTTTCTTCTTTATATTCATCAGCACTAAATCTCATAGTTCTTGGGCTTGGAGAAACACCATATGGAGTTGACAGAAATTGAGAAGACGTAGTCCTTGTATGACGTTCATTATTGTTCAAATCTTCATCATCTTGGTTCCAGCCCAAAGATTTCCAAATATTTGATAATGATATTGTTCTTTTCAAAAAAGATGATGGCTCAGATTTATTATTGCTCTCGACTTTTGTTGAGATTGATCTTTGTTGAGCAGAATTGTTCAAAGCAGCATTACCATTCAGTTTAATGGGTTTTGGTAAGATTCTTTGTTGTTGATTAGATGGAGAAAATTTTTGAAGATTTGATGGGAATGAAGTACTGTTACTTTGCAGCAACACAGTTTCCACTTCTTCCACAGACTCTTGTAATGGACTTTCTTTCAACTTTATAACAACATAATCAATAATCTTTTCAGCATCAAGTTTCAATTCACCATGACCATCACATGCAAACAATAATAAAGTTTTCCAGACAATATGATAGCTACTACCATAACCAATTTGTTTATGGTCATCATGATGATCATTATCTTGCTCCAAGATCAGATGCACTTCATTGTATAATTCATAAAAGGCCAAAACAATAAAATTATTGATATGTCTCTTGACAATTTTTGATATAAATATGATGATTTCTTTTCTCACTAATGGACTTGCATCATTTGACAAAGATAAAACAGTCATTATGATGTTGATTTCATCTTTAATCTCCTCTTCTTCAGGTTCATCTGGTAAGAAATTCGTGAAAGCAGTAATAACTGAAGCTCTAACTTCTGGAATTGGATCATTAACTAGTTTTGATAATCTTGTTAGGAAACCTTCTTTGTAACTTATCCACTTGGCATCAAAATTATGATCCCAGAGTTGTGAAATCAATAAAACACACCACTGGCGTAATAAAGGATTATCTGAAGTTTCAACATATTGCAATAATTTATTTACCAAATCAGGACTAAAACAAAGCTTTTGACCATTCTTGAAACCTCTGACAAATAAGCTTAAGATCAAAGCACATAAAGCTTTGTGGTCATTATTTGTATTATTTGCATTATCTTTTGGATTCAACATTTGTAAAAAATAGTTGAACCCTTTATCTTTAACCAGCTCTTGTTGAGTGTTTTTGTAATCAACAGCCATTATTCTTGCCCATATGAAAACTAAAACAGGTTTCAGATCAGGTGCCGGACTTTGTAATAATTTCAAGACATATGGGAAAATACCAATTGATAAAGCCAGATAAACAGCCCAAGGACCTAAATCTAAAAATCTTGATAATAAGACCAATGCTCTTACACGATGTACTTGAGATAGCAGAACTTGTAACACAATAGGCAATTGCTCAGGTGGTTGCCTTGTGGATGATCCATATTTTAACCATAACTCAAACGCTGTCAAATGCTGTTCGAAAAAAGTTGAATGTTGATAATTATTCATATTGTTGGTATCATTTGGGGCTGGAGTACTAACTGAAGTTAGTATTGTATTTGTAGGAGCAGGTGTGGATCCGGTATTGGTACCATTGACCATGGAGTTATTATTGTTGTTGTGATTAATATTTGAAGTTGTTGCTGTCCCATTAGTATCTGGTGAAGAAACGGTGGTAGCTGTAGCACTTTGAGTTGCAGAGCCTGGTGAAGTTGGTTGTGGTAATAGTGATGATGGCTCATTATTCAAATTTTTCAAAAGTTGAGTTAAAACTTGATCAATTGCCAAGTCCCAAGACTCCCACATTGAATGGTTTTGAATATCAGGTAATGGAGGATCTGAAATTGGATGACATGAATATGAAGGCATGATTCTTTTAGCCAAAAGGAAATTTCTGAATAATGCAGCAACCATTAAATCTTGTCTAAATAATCTTTTAAATAAAGGTCTTGGTAATGAGGTCCATGCAATAGTATCCGTTATAGCTGTAAAGATCCAATTCAATTCACCTAATGGGGTACGACGATCTGTTAATTTTCCAGGTATCACTATATTACCATTTGGACTATTTTTTGCAATATCTAGTAATGGGCCATAGTATGATTTTTTGATAGGAGATTGCATTATAAACCATTTGATACTTGTTTCAATTGGACAGGTTAAACAACAAGTGAATAAATCTGCAGGTAAATCAGGATCCATTGGCAATAATTCATTTGACCGACAAGCAGCCAATTGGATGCAATCAATGTAAGCAGAAGTTGGAGATGGAGCTAAGTTATCATGATTGCCTTCATTATCATCATCAATTCTTTTTTGAACAAATTTCTTGAAATTTGTAACAATATTTCCAGCACTATTACAATCATAAACATAAATACAAGGAGCACCTAACCAAGTTTGTAAATCATATAAAGAAACTGGGATATATTGAGTGTAACCTCTATTAAAGACCCAAATTTCACCACTCTGTGTAGGTTGTGGAACACCGTGACCGTTGTAATGAAACAGTATACGTTCATCTCTAGCATTTCTTCTCAGAGAGTTACAAAACCTTTTGACATCCTCCACGCATGGATCTAATGATTGTTTATACCTCGTTCTCAGCGACAAGGTTTCATATTGAGTTTGCAAGTTTTTCCCTATGGCTTCCAGAGCCTTCTTGGATTCATTGAAGCCTACCGGGTCTATCCAAGCCTCAGTTTTAGCACAAGGGTGAGTCTTTACAACATCAGGAGGATCCACACCAATGTTCAAGCAGAGCACTATAGCAGCACTCACTGTTTTCTGTCTATCTCTCATGATTTTCCAGTCTGCAATTGGTTGGTAGTAATCATATTTCTGCTGTTTCTCCTCAGGTGTAATAGGATTCCCGTTTGTATGGTGTCTCTTGTCATCAAAGTACAGGAAGAAGTTGTTTGCCAGGAGCTCCATATATTGTTGGTCCACCTCGAAGCCATGCCTTATCTCGGTGTTCATTGGGCTCAGCGGGTGCTGTGTTGTTGGTGCGCCAGCTGCTGGCCCCTGCTCCATGCCATTGGCAGTACCGTTCTGGTTGGTGACGATGGGCATGATGCTGTGTGTATTTTTGGTGAATGGAAAGTGTTGATGTCTTTGATTATACTGTCTTTTGGCTATCATCGTCGCTTCCCAAAAACAAAAAAAATCCAGTCGAAGTTCGCGAAAATGACAGGGCTACAAACCGCCTGGTCACGGGGACACACCATAATAGAGGTATTAAATAAATATAACACATGACTGGATCATCTTCTAAGGCTCTTGAACAATTTAGCAGCTCCAAGGAGTGCAAGCCCAACAACAGCTGTTTGTATGTATCCCAAGATCTTATTCTGTCTTTGGTGGGTCTTGACAGCTTTGGAGTAGCTAATATCACTTCTGAATGATATCATGGTGTATAATGGTAGCCATCTATCTTTTAGAATACGGGTCAACATGAAATCAATTTGTTTCTTTAGTAGGAAAAGCTTGGAATTCACCTTATGAGACATTTCTTTATAGTTTTCTTTAGCTAGTTCAATGATTGCATGTAAATCTTCGTGTCTTGTTGATGAGTATTTACTCAATGCATCGCCTACTGATGGTTCTGATTCTAGGAGTTTTAGTAGCACAAACACATCTTCAAACCCACAATTCATGCCTTGGCCATAGAATGGAACCATTGAGTGTGCAGCATCCCCGATAATGATGGCCTTGTCTTGGTAATGATAAGGATTACAATTCAATGATAGCAATTTACCTTTAGGGTGGTTTTTAAAAGCAAACAACAATTTTTCTTCGCCAATCAATCCAACAGCATCTTTGAAATATTTCTTGAAGAATTGTAAGACAGATTCATCATCATCTAATGATTCAATTAAATCCCAAGGAGCGAAAAAAGTTGAAGTGAATGAACCATCCAAGTTTGGTAATGCAATCAACATAAATTTATCTCTAGGCCATATATGCAGATGATTTTTATCCAATAAAAACTTGTTATCATTGTTGGAACCTGGTGGTATAGACAATTCTAGATATGCACAATCAATAAATTCTTGAGTATAGCTCATTCTTGCAAATTTTTGTAAGTTTTGACGAACTTTGGAGAAACAGCCATCAGCACCAACAATTAAATCAACTGAAACTTCTTCATTATTTTGAAATATTAACTTTGGTTGTTCTTTCAAATCCATTTTCTCCAGTTTATGATTAAATTTTAATGAAATTCCGGATTTTTCAACTTCATTCAGTAACAATTCATTTAAATAAGATCTATCAATGGAATTGATAGCTTCAATACCATTTAATCCATATTTTTGACTTTGTAAATTCCCATCAAGGTCATGAATCATTCTCCCAGTCATTGGAATAACTTTTGATAAAACGATTTGAGCCAATTCCTCATCAATATATTTCAAAGCATTTATACCACGATCTGACACAGCCAAGTTTATACTTCTTAGTTCTCTATTGATAGACTTTCTAGGATCTTTTGATCAAAGTGTCAGTTTTATATAATTAGTACCGTAAGTGAATAGTACACTTACCATCTCTCAGTTCGAAAAGAGTGACGTTGTAGCCCTTTTTAGAAAGACCCAAAGCAGCAAGACATCCAACTAATCCAGCACCAACAACAGCAACAGACGTCATTTGTATGTAAAAAGCTTTTCGAATCGTTAATGCTCCTGTCAAAAGTATTTGTAACCGTTTAAAACTATTTGATTTTCTAATCAGACGATGGCCCTTTTTAAAAAAAACCGTGTGCGGATTTAAACGGTCAATATTCCGAATTGGGATGATGACACGGTATAACTGACAGAAATCATCATGATGTTATTTACGTTTAGTTTCAAAAATCGATATAAGCAGGACTTCCACATATGTATATAGTCTGTTTAGTTTGATGTTGAGGTTTATTTATCGCTGTCGTACTCTTCTCTGTCTCCTTTCGATGAGTAAACAATTGTATAAGAAATCAGTGTATTTTGGCACATTTATTTGAGGTGTCTGTATAAAGAAATAATAAAAAAAGAGGATAGATCAATTACGTAGATAGTCTCGTAAGTATCCTGATAGTTTGTTTGCACCAGTTTCTAAAGCATCTTTTAAAACAGCTAAATCATCATTTGTTGTGCTTGCAAAACTTGCAAATTCATTATTGTTACTATTATTACCACCTCTATTTGGACCTTGTTGAGATTCTTCATCTTCACCGAAATAACTTGATGATGAAATTGCAGTAGAGCTGTTGAAAGCTTGTAATTTTGAATGAGCTTCTTGTTGAGCATTTACATCATATGAGCCTTTACCAAAGAATTGATCAGATGAAATAGCTTTTTGGCCACCATATTTCGAAGCAACTTCACCAGTATATTTTGGCGCATTTGCTGTTTTTTGCTTTTGAGCTTGTTGAGCTGCATCATTTTCAGTCATACCAAAACCTAATTTAGCAAAACTTGGAGTAACTTTATCAACTGAAGATTGTTTTGGTTTTTCAATGGTTGAAAAACTTGATTGTGCTTGATAAGTTGGTTCCACAAAACTTGATGAAGTCTTTGGTTTAATAGTTGTTGAACTTGGAGTTGTTTCGTCATCATCTTTATTTGGATTATAACCTAATTTAGCAGTTTCTTCAGCTTCTCTTTTGGCTTCTCTTTCAGCAGCATCAAAATCAATATCATTAACAACTTTCTTTGCACCTAATTTAGATTTTCTTGGACCAGACAAGATACTTGTTTTCTTTTGTGAAGAAGTTGATTTTCTTAATGTTGTTGTAGGTTTTTTAGCTGTTGTTGTAGAGGATGAAAGACTTGAAGTTGAATTGTTTATGTTATTTGATGGTGTTAAAGGTCTTGAAATTGAAGGAGATGGGGTTTGATTCAATGGTTTTTTCTCCCAATTAGCGAAAAAATCATCAGTACTATTAGTTTTGGAATTATTTAATGAAGAAGTTGAAGATGCAGCATCAATATTATCCAAATTAACAGATTCTGGGAATAAAACTTCATCTTTCTTAACTTTATGATCTAAATGTTCTTTATAGTTTAATGCAATTTTGGAATTGTATTTAGCATTTGAATCACTTGGTTTTGCTAAATATCTTGAACCACCATTCTTTAAGAAATATTCTCTAGCTTTTTGGTTCCCACCCAATTTAAATCTTCGTAATTGCTTTTGGGTCCATTTATCCAAGTTTGAAGATTTAACAAAAGTGATATGAACACCCAAATTTCTATGAGTAGCTGAACATTCAAGACATAACATCACACCAAAGGGGACAGAGGTCCATGTTGGGTTCTTGGTGTCACAATCAAAACACACCTTGTTGGCAGGGTCCTTCTGCAGATTTGAGAAGACTGACTGGATCTCTTCTTTGGAGGCTAACACTTCAGACATTTTTCGTTGTTTATCTTTCCAATGTGTTTATCAACTTCAACTGACACGAATCGAGTTGATTTCTTTGATTTCAGAAAAAAGAGTCTGGTGATTAGGTAATGAATTATGTAATTGGATTGGCAGAACACCGGGTAAGTACAGCGGCCACAAGCGGCCTTTAATTAGTATATCACTTCATAACATTTACCTTCAGATTAATAATTAATATATCATTCATTTCTCTTTCCATTCATTAAGCGTAATTAATCTGATTTTGGCAAGATAGATCTTCACAATTGTTTGATGTAACAATTCTAAAGAATGAGCTTGAGATTCTAGACTTTCAAGGTCAGATGTAAGTCCAATATTTCTTTGTAAGGTATGGACTCTTTGCTTATATAGCCTATTGAATTCAGCAGTTTCAATTTTAAGCCTCTCTTGAATTTCACAAAGTTTTTGTTGATCTCTTGTCAATTTTAGGACAGAATCACATGACACAGAAATACCCTCTTTTTCCACGTTGTCCAAGAAGGAATTTAGCGATTCAACTTGGGTAATATCATAATCGTCTAATGCTCTTTTGAGTTTAGGAAGCATTTCTTTTGATAAATCTAACATTGATTCAGATTGAAAGTCAGATAAATATAATAATCCCAAGTCATCAAAGCTTTTTTTTCCTTTCTAAAGTTTTTTTCAGAATAAAAGAGTCGTTCAACTAGAAATTGATGCATTCTTTCCTTCAACTTGACCCATTCCTCTGGGAACACTTTTTTGAAAATTGGGTTGGAAATATTGAAAGCTAAAGTATCTGAAGCGTGAGAAAATTTCTCCATTTTCGTGGATGAGATATAACCAGCAATATTACCAGCGAATAATGGTTCCGTTGATTCAATTTCAGCATCTATCAACATAAAATCTAACAACATTTGCAAAAGTTGTATCACGTTCAAAGGGGTTTTCCAATCACCGTTTTCTTTTGAAATGCCCATTAATTGTTTTAAATCAGTATTTGGTTCAAAAATTCCACTTGGAGTAATCATTTTGATGGTTGGAGGTTTGAAAGGATATTCAATTGGGAAAAACAAAACACCATGATATTGAGCTTGTCCATATAGAGCAGAGTTTGATGGACCCAAGTTGATAATGAAATGCCAATTAAGTGGTCCACCAACAGAAGGAGTAACGTTGAAAGATGGATCTTCTTGTTTCAAAATGGATTGAAGTTCTTTTTTAAGGAAATGCTCCGTAATGAAAAGTTTCTCTGCAGACATTGCCAAGGAAATGGGTAATTTCTTGTGATATGTTTATTTCCTCATTTGCATCGTGTAGCTTCATTTTCAATATAACGAATCCTTCAGCTTTTGACTGGTTTTCCTATGAAGTTTATCAAGTGAAAATTTGATTTTGTGTATAATTTTTTTTTTCGAGATCTCGTAAATCCGCTAAAATCCGCTGGAACAATATAGGATCTTCAACAGCCAATAGAAGCGAAGAATGGTCAGTTGAACGGTTTAACATGGAGAATTGGCTTTCATTAAATACCTTCTTCATATTTTACAAGCAAAATACTATACTGTTCCTCCAATCGATGACTCTTTGGACCTGAATTCGCTAGTTGTAATTCGTCATCTGATTCTTGATATTTTTGTTAATTTATGATGCCGATGAAAAACTTGGCTCTCTCTTAATCTCTTTAAACACCGATAAAACTAGGCTGTTAACCCATGATCAACAATGCTAAAGAGATTCAGTGTCCTCGTATTTATCTTGGCCATTGCCCAATTGTGTCAATGCTACGAGAACTACACTCTTTCCAAAGATAATTCTCGTATGTGCTTTCCTGTCTATGTCAATAAGGGGCAAAAGGTTTCATTAGATCTTTCATTATTGGAATATGAACCATTACCAGGATTATCAGCTGAAGAAAACAAAACAAATGTTGCTGTTATATTATATAGGCATCAAGAGCTAAACCATGAGAAAGTGTTTGTTGGTGATTCTAATGTTCATCAACTTTGTAATGATGAAGCTATTGAAAGGGGCTACTGTGAACCGAAACATAAGGGCAAAATCTTGTTTGAGTATAAAGAAGATGGTGATTATCAAGGGAATGCATTTAATGAAATATTTCATGAACTTGACATATATCAAGATGCTCATCAGTTTGGTGAAACTGGGTTTTATTGTGCTCGTGCCTTGGGGTTCAAGGCAAAGAAATTTAAATTGGAAATTTTAATTAATGATGGACTTTCAACAACAGGAACTCAAAGAAGAGACTTGTTGACTACTTTCTTCAAGTTTTTTGGGTTGGTTTCACTTGGTGTGTTTTATTATTCCAAATGGTTCAAGTGGTCAAGATTGAATGATCATCAAAAAATTCCTTATCTTGTCAAGTTGTTATTGATCAATATTGTATTACAAACAACTTACTTGATGCTGGATATAATAATGATAATTCTGGGGGAAAATTCACGTAAAACGGTAATTTATAGCTGTTTCCATTATCTTCACACTCTCATTTCAGATTTTGATGAAGTTGCCCTAGTGTTTTATTTGTATCAATATAGTGGGAACTTCACTTATGACAGCTTTCAATTTGAATACAAGAAAGTGTTTACATTCATTTACCTCATTGAAATTGCACCAGATTTTTTGGATCCATTCGTTACAAAGTTTTTCGAATCTCAAAAGAATCCAGATGGAACAGATGGTGATTTTCCTCAACTTGGTGGTGTTATATTCCTAATCATTGGAGTGTTACTAGGTATTTTTTATCTTATTCTCAAGATCAGAACATTTATTAGATACTACAGAAGTTCCAAAGAGTATACTGATTTTGGGAAAGGTGATGATCCAAAATTCATACAGTTTAAATGGTTAATTTTGACAAGATTATTCATGAATTACTTTGGATTCATCTGTGGTGCCACGATGACCATCACTTTTGGTATATTACACCTGATACCATTCTATAAGTCAAACTTCATGTTTGATGAGGGAAAGTTTGCAGGTCCACAAGAGTTTTATTTCGAGACTTTCTTGAAACATATAATAGTTCTCAGTGTCAAATATTTCGTCTTGTTGAGATTCTGGACACCTGAATATTTCGTAAAAGCGAAGAATTATAAGCCTATTGAATAGTTATAAGCCCATTGGATAGACCTGTATATAGTGAATGAATTCATAGTACTTTATTACAAAAACTAGTGTATTTTTCAGCCCTACACCAGGGCGAAGCATTAAAATAGAAATAAAAAGTGACAAATTTTTAACACCGACTTCTTTACATTTCATCAAAACAAGCTTCAAAAGGTCAGAAAATGCTTAAATCACTGGTGTTTCTAATAGCACTCATTCAACTGTGTCTCTGTGATAGCAACTACACGATCTCGGACAGCTACGAGCTGTGCTTTTCAATCGACCGTGCTGACGAGAATCAGCCGATTTTATTGGATGTTGCATTGCTGGAGTATGAGCCTTTACCAGGCCTAACACCTGAGGAAAGCAAGACAAGTGTCCCAATTATAATCTATAACGAAAATGAGATCAACCATGAGAAGCAGTTTGCTGGTGTCGACTCTAGTACCCTCAATCTTTGTAATGACGATGCTATCAAAAGAGGTTATTGTCAAAAGAAACACAAGGGGAAAATCTTGTTTGAGTATAATGAAGGTGCTGGTTTCAAGGGAAACACTTACAATGAGATTTTAAATGAGTTGGGTACTTTTAAGGATGTTTTCCAATTCAATAAAACTGGGTTTTATTGTGCTCGTGCCTTGGGAACTAATGCAAAGAATTTCAAGGTTCAATTGTTCATTAAAGGTGATTCATCAACTGACCATATCATAAAAAAGAATAGATTTGTTAACTTATTCAGTGTTTTCATCTTGGTAGGTTTTGGTGGCCTTTACTTGTCTAAATGGCTTGATTACTCAAAGACTTTTGACACTAAAATTCCATACCTAGTCAAGGTGTTATTGGCTTATATTGCTACACAATTGACAATTTCAGTGCTCAAATCAGTTTCTGCTTACATTTACGATCATCCATTTGAAAGTTCCAATGGCCATAAAGTGCTCTCTGCCATTAGTTCATCTATATCAAAGTTTCAAAATGCTGCCATGTTGTTTTATTTGTATCAATATAGTGGGAACTTCACCACTAATAAAATTGAATTTGAGTATAAAAAAGTCTTTGGAACCTTTTGCTTTGTTGATATGAGTGCAATAGTATTTTATAAACTTGTTAGAGATCACTATTATGAACGTTATCATGAACCAGGTGCTTTCAGTCTTATTTATGGGAGTTATGAACTCATATTAATACTACTCTTCCTTTTCCAATTGGTCATCAAAGTCAGAATATTCTTAAGATATTATAGAACCGCTAAAGGGTTTTATGGATTCCAGCAAAATCCAGACCATCCAAAGCTAGATCAATTCAAATGGTTAATTTTGACAAACCTTTTCTGGGAACTTTTCGAGCATATGTTCCATTCAATGTTTGAGGAAATGATGCATAAAGTATTCCGTTTTGGTAGTCATAATTTGACAAATTTTATGTTCAATGTGATAGATGGAGACTATTCACAAGCTTTTCTGGATACAATCGTTCTTGGTGTTGAGTTTTATGTCTTGTTAAACTTCTGGACTCCAGATTACTTTTTGATAGTTGAAGATTATAATAAAGATGGTGAATAGAGTTTATTAATATATAAGAATCTATGATGATGGTTCCTTTTTTTCTTAATCTAATCCTAAAGCTTCTCGTTGAGACTTTGACCCCTCTATGTAGACTAGTGGATCGGAAAGTGATACAACCCTTGTACCATGTCTTTGATCTTGTTGATCATCATAATCCGCAATTGCATAATGATTACAGACTCTATTATCCCATATTGCACTAGCACCTAACATTCTATCTTGTTGAGGAACAGTCCAATTAAATCTAACTTGAATATCTAAATTTTTCTCTAAAACATCAAATAAATAATTTAAAATCATTTGTGACTCCGCTGGTTCCAGGCCCATAATTTTTGTTGTATTTGATCTATTCACAAACAATGCCTTCCAACCAGTTATTGGATGTGTAATCACAATAGGATGGTCTCTTTCAACATGTTTTGGTCCACTTAAAATATCATCACGATCAAACAATCTTTGGTTTGATCTATGAATAGCATATTTACCTTCAAGGAATTTTTGGAGCGGTGTACTTAATTTATCAAAAGCAGCATATCCTGAAACCCAAGCAGTATCACCACCTGCACCGTTCTGTAGTGGGATTGTATCAAGATGTAAATGTGAAAAACTTGTTGCTCTAAATTCGAAATCTAAATCTGTATGCCAAATCCCAAACACTTTTTTAAAATTTGGTACTCTTTTTTGTCTTAAAAATTTCCCCCAAATGGTGGTTATACCAGGATATCCAGGAACTTGAGCTGCTACTGGATTTTTCTCCACTGTACCAAAGAATTCACCAATTTCCAATTGAGTCTGAGGTGATAAATCTTGATTTCTAAAGAAAACAACAATACGTTCACTAACCAACAATGCTAATTCATCTAGCTCTTGTTCATTCAAATCAGATAATTGTAAGCCAACTATTTCAGTTCCAATGTGCTTGGTTAAATTATTAACTTCTTGAGCTTTAGCAAAAAGTGCTTTTTTATCTGGATCAGCATCAATACCACGAAGAACAAAATTTGGATCTTTAGCATCTCTAATCATGTAAGCTTCATCTAAGAAAATAGGGATCTTTGAAGGACGTTCAGGATACCCTTTTGAAATATCTATTCCATATTTAGCAAATCTTGTCTTTGTAGGTTCAGGTAAATGTGCTGAATAATCATCACCAAAGCCTTCTTTAGCCTTACTGGCATTTGTCAGTTGGATTTCTATTGTGGATTCAGTCATTGTTGTCACTTTATTTCGATAAGTTTGAGGTAACTTTAGTTCTTAATACTTTCAGTATACTATCCAACGTCTTGAAAGCTAAATTTAGCTCATGCTTCCTTATCGTTGAGATTTCTCAAAGTTGAGCTAAAGTTCGCCGACGACGCGTCAAACTGTATACGGCTTTATCATCATGGGTTCCGCGACATGGATTCTTTGTTTTGGTAAATTTTTTAAATTTGGCTCAGTTCAGGGAAATTTTATTCCGAATATACTTTTTAAGAGATAACCCCTGCCTGAACCCATCTTTTTTTGGTATTAGAATTCATTTTGGCCTTCATTCATGTTTTTGAAGTGTTCTCAGAAGATTACAAATCACATTCGCGGAGAGTTTTCGCGGATTCGCGAATTGCTGATAAGTTTTGTGTCAAACTTTTAAAAGTGAAATTTCACAAAAATGCGGTTGAATAGACGTTTTTGAAGCTACAAGTTATGAGCAGTTAATTCAACATGGAAAGGTAATCTTAGATGCTTTCACTAAGTCAGAAGTATTGAGCACACCAGAAATGCAAGTATCATCACGGCTTTCTGAGGATCCAATACTGAATAGTTTTGAAACGCAAGTGCAATCACGGCTTTCTTTACTGCTTTCCCAAGTTCATAAGGGATTGGTTGGTTCTACTAGGCTGCTTACTTATTTGTTGTGTTCTTATTCATATCATCCTTTGTCAAGTCTTATACATCAAATTGAAGAAGAAAAACAGATCCATTCATACCATCTAGTTATCAAGACCCAATGCTTCACGTTGACTTTTGGAATTTTCCTTGAAAACAGGTGGAGCCCCTAAAGAAGTTACTCTGGTACCATGACGTGGGTCTTCTTTGTCATCATAGTCATCAATGGCATAATGATTACTAACTCTGTTATCCCAAATAGCACTGGCACCCAATGATCTATCTTGATCAGGGACAGCCCAAGTGAATCTGGCTTGAATGTCCAAATTCTTTTCCAAAACATCATAAAGATAGTTTAACACAACCTGGGATTCTTCTGGCTCTAAATCTTTGATTCTAACAGTATGGGATCTGTTAACAAACAAAGCTTTCCAACCAGTAACAGGATGAGTAACAACTAATGGGTGTTCCCTTTCAATATGTTTTGATCCACCAAGAATATTATCACGCTCATAATACTTGTGAGCAGATCTATGAATTGCAACTTTTCCTTCAAGGAATTTTTGGAATTCAGGACTCAACTTATCAAAAGCACCATAACCTGAAGTCCAAGCTGTATCACCAGAGCTTTCTGGAATTGCATCAAGATGTAAATGAGTTAAGGATGGACCTTGGAATTCATGATCCAAATCTGTGTGCCATGCTCTTCCACCTTTTTTCTTGAAGCTTTTATCAGCATTTTTTCTGTTATATTTCCCCCAAATAGTGGTGATACCAGGATGACCAGGAACTTGAGCAGCAAGTGGATGTCTTTCAATTGTACCAAAGAATTCACCAATTCTCAATTGATTCTGAGGTGATAAATCCTGGTTTCTAAAGAAGACAACAATACGTTCACTAACTAACAATGCCAATTCATCCAACTCTTGCTCATTCAAATCAGACAATTGAACGCCAACTAATTCAGTACCAACATATTTAGTTAAATTTCTAACTTCTTTAGCTTTAGCAAATAATGCCTTCTTTTCAAGATCAGCATTAACACCACGTTCGATATAATCAGGGTTAGCAGAATCACGAATTTTGTAAGCATCCTCTAAAAAAGTTATTATATTTTCAGGACGTTCTGGATAACCTTTTGAAATATCAATTCCATATTTAGCAAATCTTTTCTTTGTTGATTCTGGTAACTCTGAAGAGTATTCATCACCAAAACCTGATTGAAATCCATTTGCATTTTTCAATTCAACTTGGATTGTAGCATTTTGGGTTGATTTAGTTAAATCTAACTTGTTATATTTGGTAACGATATCGTTAACTTGGGATTCAGTTGTTGAAGTAGTCATTTTGCTGATTTGATGATGAACACATAGAATTTATAAAAGACTTTGCTAGAGAAAAAGTTTCATATTTATAGATCTCTTGAATAAAACCACCACCACAGTTTGAGTTCCTTTCAAACTTAGTAATCTAACCTTTTATCACAATCAATCTTGGGATGTTTTATGTCAAACTGTGGCACGTCTGATGGGATCCGGGGAATAACCTCAATTAGGAAAACAAATGACAATTGACAAGTAAGCATTTGGTAGAAAACTTGAATTAGTAATTGAGATCAGATCATTTTGGTTATTATGTGAAGAGAATGATGATATCTGTGGTAATGTTGTGGTACAATTAGTCTAATCTTTAAGGGGTCCTTTTGTCAATCAATCAACGTGAAGATATGGCTCATGGACAAGCTTGAGAGCACCTTTTAAACGGATCATGGATTCAGACTTTGACATATCAACTCCGAGAACTGGCGTGGATTGTTTCGTTATCATCATCAATGGCACTCAATTTGTGATGACGAGCTCATCAACAATATTATGATACTCTGTCATTTCGATGCGTGTCGATAAGTCATGTGATCTAGCTGAGTGATACGCTTTACATTACAATTATTAGGAGTTATCTTTAATAACTACCTTTCAGGTATAGCTCAAAGTGACATGTAACTTACCATATAAAATATTCATATTCAAATCAACCAGCTTGGTTTACAAAGGATAAATAAATTTCTTATTCTCCAAATCAGTCAAATCCAACATGGCAACATCAACTCTTTCTAGTACACCTTCATCAGTTTGAACATAATAGTCTTTGTCATCATCATCTTGTAATCTTTGCTTATTTCTTTTACTCAAAATCAATCTTATAATCAACAAGATAACACCATTCAAGAAAAAAGCAACAACAATTTGTACAATCCATGAAGAATAATATCTTGGAGCATCTTTTGGATTCCATAATTGTGGTGAAATCATATTAGCAACACTATATGCAATCATAAACATCACATTTCTATAAAGTTTCTTTGTATAACCTGCTGCTGAAGATGTAGTCCAACCCAATTCCACAATATAGGCAACACCTTTTGTTGATCCTGCTAAAATCATATTTGCTAATAACGCCTTTTTATTTTCCCATGGTATTGTAACCATGGCTATACTTGATGCAATTGGAATTATCAAACAAATTGAACCAATATAACCATTTTGATTTGGAAATTTCTTAATGATAATTGTGAATACAAGATACATCAATATATCGAATCCTGCACCAGTAGCTGAAACTAAAGATGAGCCTAAATTATTAACACCAATATCCAAATACAATTGATTTTGTTGGTAATGTAAAGAATTTGAAAGCATTAATGTAAAAGATTGAAGGGCAAATAACCATGAAATTGGATCTTTGAAAGTCTCAATGATTTGATGTTTTTTAATTGTCTTTTGTTCAATTGAAGACTTTGTAGAATTTTGAATTTTTTTAATTAAATGAACTTTTTCATCAACTGTTAAGAATTTAGCATTTGATGGATTATCAGGATAGAAAATCCAAACAATTAAAGCTAAAATCAATGATAATCCTGCATTTAAAGACATGAATATTCTCCAAGGGAAAGTTGAAACGTTTTCAACATGTAATAATCCATAAGCAACAAATGATGAAATTAAAGGTGCAATTGCAGTAGCCATCCAAAAGATTGGTTGAGCAACTTCACGTTGTTCAGTATCTAAAAACATACCCAATGTGATTTCACAAGCTGGAGTAACCACTGATTCAGTAGCACCTAATAGAAACCGACATGCCATTAATTGTGAATAATTTTTACAAGCAGCAGTACCACCAAGTATAACAGCCCATAAAAAGATGGAAATTGATAAATATTTACCAATTGGGAATTTTTGCATCAAGATATGACATGGCCATTGAGCAATTAGATATCCAGCATAAAAAATTGAATTCAAATTATTGAAACCCTTTTTAGTTAAATCTGTATCTTTGTAAATTCCCAATATAGTGGTATAGCCAATAGTTGCTTTATCCATGAATAAAATCAATGTAACTAGCGTAACAAGCAATAAAGTAATTGAGAAATTTTTCTTATCTAAATGTTTAGATTCCTCTGGTGTCAACTCTTTTGAAGTTGGTTCATATTGTTCCATGAATTTCAACAACTCATCAGCTTCTTTATATGTAACTTTTTCACCATCTGCTAAATCAGTTTGTTTGAACTCAGTACTGCTTGCACCATCGCCATTTTTCAACTCTTGAACATTTATAGAGTCAGCCTCTTTCTTTATTGGTGACATAGTTGATGAACGCAACAAATTGTGTAAATGAAAGTTTAAGGGTTTTCGATTCAATTTAAATAAGAATCACAACATAGTTAACAAGGACACATCTTGCGAAGCAGCACTTTTAGTTGATCGCAAGAGGTAAACACATCCCACTGTTTCATTCCATAGACATCAAAAGATAAGATAACCCTTCATCAGCTCCAGATCCTGACTCATCTATTCAACTCATGAAGCTATCCAATACAGCTTAAATCAGCAGTAATTACTCAACCAAACCATTATCCAGTACACCCACTCTCTCTGAAATATCTTTACACAATGCTTAACCCATTTGTTTGACGTTTGACATCTCATCGATCCCATCCACACTTTTATACCGAAGCCACAGTTTTTAGCTTAATTTCTTATCAACTTTTATTGGTAAAAACGCACAAACTCTTGTGAATTATTGTACTGTTATTAATTAATGGATACAATGTATATCTTACTATTTAGTTTTATTGAGGATTTAAATGTTCAATTGAATCAATTCCCAATTTTTCGGATCTAAGCGGCCATTTGTGATGTCACGTGACACTTTTTCAGAATACAAATGAATCTCCTGTGATTTTTCTACAATTCATGGCAGCTGCTCTTGAAATTTCAATCTCAGCTCCATGGGTTCTTCAATCACCTTCACAGAAAATGGCTTGTTCTGGTTTTCAAATGAAAATCACGATTTTGATCAATGACATTAATTTCCCGAGGAATTTTCTTCAAGGAACATTTTTCTTTGGCAGATGTATCAACGTTTTTACTTAAATGTTTATATTTAAAGCGTAAAAGATTGGAAATATGGTGGTTGCTTCAATAAGAGTGTCAATTCAATGGCCACCAGCTGAGGAGTATGAAAATACAGAGACGTTGGTACTCCTTTCAAATGAACAACATTTTGTTGATATCAGATTTCGTGATGATATTGATCGTATCGATTGGATCTTAACTGGTAAGGAATATGATATCCCAAATACAAATAAGATTGAGTTCCAACATGAAATAAACACTAATGTTCCAGGTTTCCATGGTGGTGAATTTGATGTTGGTAATTTCAATAGTATTCCAAACACTAATGATCGTGAGGAAACTGGTGAAATGATAAATCCTCAAACTCGTAAAGTTCAACCATATCGTGAAGTATGGAGAAGTATTGATCCTTTAAAGTCAACATTTGAAAACTTTGTGAGAGAAGATTCAAATAGTGATGTCAAAGTCCCTTGTGTTGTATTAAAAGTTGTTCAAAAACCTGGTGTTAATTACATTGGTACTGTTGTTAGACTTGGTAATTTTTTGCAAGGTGCATTGTTGAATAAAGATACTGAAACTTATAATTGTGCTCAGTATTACTTGGAAGATGGGAAATGGGAACATCATCTCGATGCCACAGAGGTTGGAAAAGATGGTAGTGATGATGATATTGTCCCTAGTATCCCTTTTGAGATCAATGAAAATTTGATTGAACTTGATGGTGTTGAATGGGAAGTTGTTGAAAGTAATTTGTGAACAAGGTTAATTTCAATTTTCAAGTAATGTACAACTTATTGAGTCTAACTAGATGTTGTAAAGGCAGATTGCGCCGATGTGTTTTGGAGATGATGTTTTTATCATATAACAGCTGGACAATTACGTACAATTAAGTCCTCAGATTCACGTCACCACTTTTATTCATATACATATTTGTTACATATCATCACTTGTTTACTACTTTTTCTAGCCTTTAACATTAACACTACCTTCAATATACCAGCACTTGCGTCAAAACCAACAAACTTCATAAACAAGCCCAACCCCTAGTAACCCAAATAACGGATTATTAGCAGTAAGTCATAAGTCATGGGGCTCACATTTTCATATATCCAGCTTTAAATATTCATAAAATTTATTGAATTTTTTTTCATCTGTGGACTGTCTCAATATATCATCAAGTGTTTCTTCTTCAGTCTCATTAACGTTATCAGCAATCATACCTGCCCATTTTCTTTCTCTAGGATCTAGTTTCCTATCCCATGATCTAATTAAATGACTCAATTTACGACCTTTTGCACATTTACGTTCCCATCTAAGGACCCTAATTTCATCTAGTTCATCTTTGTGTTTCTCACTTATTGATTTATATTTGATCTCTAGTTCCTTGATTTTTTCCTTATTTTCTTTGGTCTTTTTCTTTTTGGATTCAAGTTTAGCAATTTCAAACATTAAAGTATTTATCTCTTCTAACTTAGTTTTCAACTTCTTTTCCAAAAATTTAGGTCTTTTAGGTGATTGAACTTCTAAATCTTCAACAAACCCATTCAAATTTCTAACATAATCAAATCTTCTTTCAACGAGCTCATCAAATTCTTGTTTATCCAGTTTCCCCAATTTGGCAATACCCCAATTTTTCTTTGATGCATAGTTTTGTTGAACTGTATTCCATCTGTTTTTGTATTCATCAATATTAAATTCATCAGATAATGGTAAATAATAGAATAGATAAAGCTTGACAATATAGTCTAATTGTATCTTTAGATTTTTTATAGTAAAACTTTCTGAATAAAGACGGAAACTTTTAGTTAAAAAATCTTGAATCTTGAAAAGAGCATCTGGTGATAAAGTGTTTAATTCTTCGTAACGTTCTTCACGATATTCACGAACCAGTCTAGTGAAACAAGTGATAACATCAACTGGCCATTTTAAACCTGGATGACCAATTGTTGGTGGTTGATAATAAAAACTGATGATCTCTGTAGTTTTCACGGTTTCGAGATCAGTTGATTTTAGTGCCTTTGAAGTTTGTTCTGAGAGCCTTAATGAATCGTTTTGTTTGGATGATGGTTTTGTAACCTTGTTTGTGGCAGCTACAACAGCATTAGCTGGGCTTCTGGTTCGAGTACCGATTGATGGCATTGTGTCTTTATGTAATTGTGGTTCAAGATGGGAAATATATTCGAAACGTAAACAGATACTAATTTTTTTTTTCGTGTTTACGCGTTTTCGCGAACAAAGCTCATTATTAGCCAAATTCATTTATTCAAGATTAATCATATAAATAGCATTTAAACAAACAATTGGACTTCACATAAATTCACCCAAAATCCTACGGAAAGTTTCAAACTTCTTCTTATTGGTTTTCTCGCTCAAAATCTCATCGAAGTATTCCTCTTCAAAGTCATCATTAAAAATCATATCAGCCCAATCGATCTCTCTATTTGTGAGCTTACTTCTCCAACTTGGAGAATCTATCAATTTTATGACAGCTTCGACTTTCGCCTTGAACAATGCCCTTTTAGAGTCATCTATCTCTTTGAATTCATCTTTATACTTCATTTCAATCACCTTGATTTGCTCATTTATGTCCTTATGATTTTGTTCATCTTCCTCTGTTTTATCATCAGGTTTCTTAAGGATAAGTCTTAAGCTTTTCATTCTTAATTTTCCAGCCTCACTGATGGGATCTGCAAATTTCTTCTCTAAATATTTGACCCTTTTAGCAGCTTGAGTTTGTAAATCATCAACAAAATCTTTCAAGGTATAAACATATTCAACATCTGCCTCAAAGAACAATTTGAACTCATCTCTGCTTTCCTTCCCCAATTTTCTGATACCAAACTTTCTTGAATGAATGTAAAGATTATTGGTAATGGCGTCCCAATAGAAATCATCATATGACATATATTTAGCGCTTGCCTTATCTTTAAAACGACAATTCCATTCAAGATGATGTGATTCCATCAAACTTCAAACCGATAGAAGGAAGATAGTAAAACAAATAAAGCTTCACAATGTAATTCAATTGTTTCTCCAAGTCAACAACACTAAACAATTTAGCATGATTTGGGAACTCTTGAGTCATAGCGGCGCTTATCTTTGAGAGAGCTACTGGAGTCAATTTGTTCAACTCTTGATATTTCTCATTACGATGCTCATGGACCAATTTGGAGAAGCGCTTGATGATGGTTAAAGGCCATTGAATATCTGGATGTCCAGCTGTTGCCTCCTTGGGGTTGGAATCTTGACCTAAAGCTGATTTCAGTAACTCAGTGTTCAACTTGGGTGCGTTGTGCTTTGAAGAGGGCTTCAAGACTTTGCTGGTGGTGGCTTTCTTTGGCATTTCAGTAATTTAATTTGGATGTGGATTGAATCTGGAGAATGGTGATGTTTCTTTAATCGAATTGAATTAGCGTGTTCTCCACCGGACATACACGCCCTCGCTTTGACACATACATCTGCCAATTGACGATAAGATAAAGAGTTAAACTGACATGATGGAGTCCTAGTGAGTACTTCTTCCAATGAATAGCCATATTATACGCTACTTAATATAATTAACCACTCTTTGGAATTTCCCAATCAGGAATCCTCAATATTACGCGACTGAAAATGTTTTTTTTGGCAGAAATAGTTCATGTTGTATTGTATTGATCCAAAAAACCCTAATAATGTCAGCATTTGCTAGAGTATCAGTCCAATGGTCCTCATAAGAGGCCAGTGAGAAGCAGAGAGCATTATTCTTACTTTCAAATGGAAACCATTACGTTGATCTTCGAATCCCTTCTGATCCAGATGCAGATGACGATGTTGAAAATGTCATTATGACTGGTAAAGCTAAACCAATTCCAAATACAAACAAGGTCAAATATCAACAAGAGATAAACTCTGTATCACCTTGGATTCCAGGATCACTTGCTGCAAGTTTCAATAGTGTTCCAAACAATGATTTCGTTTATGAAAAAATAGGTGAAATGCAAAATCCTGATACACATAAAATTCAACCTTATCGTGAAATATGGAGAGATATTGATCCATTGAAATCAGATGCATATGATTTTATTGGGAAAGATCCACAGAATAATAATCATGGTGCAAAAATTCCTTGTTTTGTTTTGAAAGTTGTGAAAAGAGATAATGTCGAAGGTACCGTTATAAGAGTTGGAAATCTTATTCAAGGTGCATTATTTAATACTCGAAGTGGAGAAACTAAAGCAGCTAGATATAGTTTGATAGAAGGGGAATGGAGACGTTGCTGTTCAATTAATTCATACCGATATATGGAAGATGAACCAAAGATTTTTAAACATGTGAGATTACCTACTGGTGTTGAAGCTGGTGTAAATATAATTAATCGTGATGGGTTCGAATGGGAAATGATCGAAACTAATTTATAAAAGGCTTGAGAACGTGCTTTTTTTCATAATTGACTTATTAAAATATTTAAATGAATTATTTAGTGTTATTAAGTATTTAGAGCTGAATTATCGAGATGGCTCAATTCTATCTTTGTAACTGCATCATGATGATTAACATAGATGCTTTACCATGATATTATAGACTTCTCCTCTCTTAATCATGGTGATCATAATAAAATACAAGCGAGTGAGTTTAGCCTTCGGCTTATGTAGACTTAGGCGAGATTTGGAGGAAAAGCATCAAAATGCAATCTGTCTCTATAAATTCAATTCAATGGGATCACTGTGAAGACAAAACAATTGACGTATCAAGAATTTCCAACAATATCTGCATTTATCATATTTACGTGATATCCATGATACATTGAGATATGAGCTTTTGAGTTGTCTGAGTCCACTATAGTCAACACTTCTTTATCCCAGTCCACCAGTACACCCTACACCACTCAGTTAATTAGATTTATCTATTCCACTTAGTTAAGCTTGAACTCCTTTAATGAAGCATTCTCAACTTTCTATAATACCCAACACCATAGTCGACATTTGTTCAGTATTCCCCCAATCCACCAGTACACCCTGTAGCATGATCATGGTACCAAGACACTCAGTAAAGCCAGTATAGTACCTAAACACCCTGAAGCACCATTAATGTGCCCAACACTATAGTCAACACTTCTTCAGTATTCTCAATTCACCTGCACACCAGACACCCTACACAACACCAGCCGAAGCTTCATTTATTAAAGTATTCTGTTGAAGCATGAATGTGGAATACTCTATAATAACTTTCGTCATTAATTATCGACATTTCCCAAACCTCAGCGTATGAAACTCTGAAGCAACACCATAGACATCACATCTTTAGCATTTTCAATTCCAAATTCAGCGTCTGTGAGACTTTACTACCCTAAGGCTATGAGCTTGAAAAATAGCTTGACACTTCTTGAAGCCATGATTGTGTAGTAATGAGAGTAACTGGTAAACCATCTTGAAATCCCCCCAAGAAAATTAACATTGAGTCTGATTAAATTTCAAATCATCAAATTGCAGGTTTGGTTAAAAAAGCATTCAATCTTTGGGCACACACCATGTCTCCATATACAGTCAAAAGAATATTATTCACTGTGAAGTATTAAGAGCGTCTCAGTTTGTTCAACTTGATTCTATTTGTTTTTCATAGACTTTGATGTAGAAAAAGGTCAATGTTTACATTTGTTTTTCTCACGCCATCTCGAATGGAGGTCGGAAGCACTAAAACGCCAACTTTGAACAGCAATAACTCGAGTTACAAATAATCAGTCGCACTCATACTACAGCACGTTCATATTGACGTCGAACCGATTCGTTCCATGTAGGTGTCATGTTCACTGTATTTTTTTGCCCCTGCTTTTAAAATTTAAATAATAATATTTAGATTTGACATCCATGATAGTTTTTTTTAGATAATAATATGTATAATTTGATGAACTTGGATGAGGAATACTTTGATAATTACACAGTAAGAACCGCTTGGGTTGTAGGCTTCTGCTTATAACTTGGAATTTAGATTTATATTTATTTAATGTACATACTAATAATTTTCATGCAGCAGCCGCATGTACTATTAATTGTAATATTATTATAATTCTAATTATATGATCCGTCGACGTCGTGATACTCAATATGTACCAGCTGGATAATTAGTGAAAATTTTATATTGGTTTAATTCATCCTTATATATAAATTAAATATTATTAGTACCTCGTACGACGCCGACGTCCAATGTATAATTTATTTTGTTTAATAACTATGTATCTAGTGATGTGTATTTAATATAAAATGCTAAAATAATGTACAAAATCACTAGGGACTAAGTCTATATTGACTGATTTATACAAGTTTATAAAGGGATTCAGAATATATAATTAATAATATTTAATAAATTATATAATTATATATTTTTTTTTTTTTTTTAGTTGATGTATTTGATGAACTTGGATGAGGAATGCAAATATTACGCACGAACCGCTTGGATTGTAGGCTTCTGGTACTAGTTATATAATATAATTAAATTATTAAGTGAAAGTACTAATCATATATAAAATATTGAGTAATTTTTAGTTGACGATGTCGACAAAAATGAAAATGATATTCATGGATCATATATTATAAATAATTCAGGACGTACATATAATGTACGAATTATTATATTATTGCAGGAAAAATGGCTTAGCCTTGTAATCAAATGATTTCAAAATCGATTATACATTGCAAAATTCCATTATATGACACAAACCTAATAGAATTCTACAAAAGATGTCTATACCATTTAATGATTACATAAGCAAGCCGTTTCTAGTCAAAAAGACCCGTAAAAATTGAAATTTTGTATACACGGTCCCTTGGCCCAGTTGGTTAAGGCGTGGTGCTAATAACGCCAAGATCAGCAGTTCGATCCTGCTAGGGACCAGTTAACTTTTTCCGGTCGGATAACCCCATCGGTTTTTTTCCTTTTTCCGGCCCGGTACAGGACTAGATCTACAAAGACATAACGTTAAACTTTTTAGTACACAACTTCTACAAATTACATTGAATTCAATTAAAATCTAATAAACGACGTAATAAATATATATGTAAAAAAAGAAATAAATGAACTGAAAAGGAAATGGGGCATAATTTAGAATGAATAATTGAATAAAAAAAGAAGGAGAAATCAAAAAAATCTAATCAACTCTAGTGTCATCTAATTTTAGTTGAAACAAGGTTTTAATTTTTTAAATGCAATGTGATAATAAGGAACATAACTTCGTGAAAAAATGAATTAATGATAAACTGAGAAACTTATACTGATAATTTTTCATTTTGTGATAATTTTTCACTTGTTAAATGATTATTATTATTATTATCACTTTCAGCAGTATCTTGATCCATTTGAGCATCAATATGTTGATGATTTGAAATATGATCATCATCAACTCTTGTAATATTATGATCATGTTCACCATTGCCCCAACTTAAGAAATCTCTTCTAACTTCAACATAATCATAAGCAAATTCACCAATTTGATCTTCATCCATACCAGCAGCTTCAGCAGCTTCAGAAGCTCTTAATTGTAATCCAGGTATTTTATCAATAAAAAAGCAAATTATAGCAGTAACAACAAAACAATAACCTGTACATGCGGCAATGTATGCAATCTGTTTATAAATTTGTTTATAATTATGAGAAATAAATCCACCAGGATGATCAGTAACACCATCCATTCCAATAACCCAATCTGCACCAAATAATGCATTGAAAAACAATCCAACAATACCGGCCATACCGTGTTCAGCTAAAATATCAAGTGAATCATCAACTCCAACTAAATATTTTAAACCAGTGGAAAAATTACAAACAACACCAGTAACAATTCCCAAGATAACAGAACCATATAAAGTAATAATGGAACTTGATGGAGTTGCAGCAACTAAACCTGAAATAAAACCTGAACACATACCAACAGTTGACCATTTTTTCTCCAATCTATAATCTAAAAGACACCAAGTCATTGCAGCAACAGCAGCAGTTAAATTAGTACCCATTATAGCATACATTGCCTTCATTGAAGGGATTAAACAAGAACCACCATTAAAACCTAACCAACCAAACCATAAAAGGGCAGTCCCCAAAGTGATTAAAGAGACATTATGAGGTCTAAAATTTATCAATAATTTTTCTTTACGTCTTCCTAAAAACCAAGAATAAACAAAACCTGAAACACCAGAACCAATCTCTACGGGACCACCACCAGCATAATCTAAAACCCCCCATTTAGCAGCCCAACCTTCACCACTCCAAATCCAACAAACAATTGGACAATAAACTAAAGTTGCCCAAAACCAAAGAAACACCATATGAGGTAATAATCTACCTCTTTCAGCAGTAGCACCTGCAATAATAGCTAAAGTGACACATAAAAACATATTTTGATAAACAGCAAATACAAATTCTGGATAAGTTTTATCATCACTTGATTTCCCATAAACATTTCTAAATCCAAAAGAATCCATATTACCAATGAAACCATTATTTGCAGTTGTTGATAAAGCTAGAGAATAACCCCAGAAATACCATTGAACCATCCCCACGGAACATGCCATAAGGACAGCCCATATTAAAGATAGGGCAGATTTTCTTCTAGCTAAACCTGAATATAAAAACCCCAAACCTGGCACCATGATGAACACTAGTGCAGTACATATTATGATGAAAGCGACGGTTGCATTGTCATAAGTTTCAGACCAAACAGCACCCATGGTAATGACTATGATGAGGGTATAAGATGATGACAGTAGCTAGAGGATATGAAGTTGATGATATTTTATTTTCAAGTCAAGAAATTTCATGAATTCGAGTCAGTTTTTTTTTAAATTTAATTTTTTTTTTAATTTTTGTTATGATGTTTTTTTTCTTGACAGCGAATTCAACGGTTTTGGATGTTGGAATAATTTATGGAAATGATAATGAATTGGGATAGCTAGAGATTGATAGATTAAAGAGGATATGGTTATTATGACGATGAATATATAGACTAGTAGTAGTATAGTAGATTATATAGTACTCATTGATCACTCTATAGTGCTAACTCCGTTCTGTGCTGTGATTGGTGGATTAAGACTCGCTCTTATCAGTTGGAAACTGGAAAGTGCCGTTTTGAGATTTGATCCGGTGATGAGGATTAGTAAGAGATTAGGTAACAGTCATGTGATGTGTCATGTGATTGATTATGTAATATTTATATTTTAAAGTGTATAAGGATTTCACCTGGGTATTAATTAAAACTAGACTGTTATTAACTACAACAGACAAATGATACAACTACCAAATACCCCATTCAACCCTACAACAATACAGTCAGGTGCTAATACTGTCAGTGAGCCCTGGATTAACCAAATCATAAACAAGAGAGTGTCCTTGGATACAAGTTCAAATTATTCATCCAGAATATCAACTCTAGAGAATTATTTAAACTTCATTTATGGTCAAGCTTTAAATCAAGATGGTATAACTAATTATCAGCAAGTGATTGAATATTCTAAAAAATATATCATTAGTTGCTCAATTCCTTGGAATTTACCTATAACTAAGCATCATCAACATCAATGGACCCTTGAAGATGAAATCATTATAGTTGTAATTAATTTATCAATATCTTATAATTCAAGAAGTTCAGAATTGATTGGTGGATTATTGAGTAGCAATTCAGAGATTGAATCAGAAAAAATTTGGTTAAGTTGTTTTAAAATGTTGAAAAAAGCATTACAATTTATAAATTTTCTCAAGACTATTGATAATGACAATGGGATAATTTTTGAAACTTCAAATTCATTTATAAATTTTATAAGTTGTTTGATTCAAAGTTCATCACAATTGAATTTTCTAATAAAAACTATATGGAGTTTAAAGAAATTAGAATATGATATCACATTAAATGATTCAATAAATTATTCAACTTTATCAAGAATTTCAATATCAATTAAAGATGAAATTAAACAGATGATTAATATTTTGAAAATAAATAATATTGAATATAATCAATGGCAAAGCTGCTTAGATGGGTTGATTAAATATATCAATGGATATATTGGGGTACTATTATCAATTGAGAATTATAAACAAGATAAAATTGGAATTAGTATTGGTTTTTTAGAATTTTCTAAAGAGAATATAACAAGGAAATCATCAAATGAAGAAGATGAAGATGATGATGAAGAAGATTCTAAATTTAAGAAAAAGATGTCAATGTTTAAGAAAAAGATAAAATCATCAGAAAAATTGAAAAAATTGAAGACTAAATCAAAATTCAAATTAAATAAACAAATACAATCATGTTTATCATCAACTTTAGAGCAAAATTTAATTGATTTATTTGAATTATTGAAAGTTCTTGATTTAAAATATACTATTGAAAATGATAATTTAAAATTTGACGAAATTCCTTCAATTCAATCATTATTAAATAATTATTTACCAAGTGCAAGATCTATACCTATTGAATCAACATCATGGATTCCAAATATGATTGAGTCAACCCCAACAACAAATTCAACTGGGTATTATTAATTCATCTTCTTCCAACATAAGATTCAATGAATTTTTGCTTTTTATTAAAATCCAATTCATTTGAAATTAATTTAAATTTACCATTATTTGTAAATGAATTTCTTAATTTCAATAAATTTGAATCTTTTGAATCCAACTCATTTGGAGAATTTATTCTAATTTTAATTTCAAATGATAATAAAGTTAATAGTTTATATAAATATGATTGAATTGAATAATTTAATGGTGTTGTTAATGTAGATGGATATAATTTTATACCTAAAGTTTTAATTTTCAATGGGTTGAAATTTGAAATGAAATTGTTTAGTGAATCTTGGGTTAATAAGAAAGGTAATATTGCCTTACCATTTGAAGTTGTCCCCTCTGGGAAAATATAAATAATTTTATTGGTGATTTTATTATAATCAATTTTTTCAATTTTATCCAAAACATCACCTTTTAAACTTTGTTGAATGAATTCTAAGTAGGAAATTTCAACTAAATCACCTTTTGAATTTGGAATCAATATAACAAAATCATCATTTGATATTAGTTTCAAAACACAAAGATCCAATGGACTTGTAAAATTAACTAAAAACACTTCATTTTTACTTGGATAGAAGTTCTTGCTTATATTGGTTCTAGATTTTAGATTTTGTATTGATAACTCATAAGAGTATAGTCCCATAACAAATAACAGACATCTATTCAAGTAATGAACTTGTCCAAGAGTGATCAAACACAATATCAATATTGGAATAACAAACACCAATTTCACGATAAAGATTAGAAACGATAAAGCAACATCCAACTTCAATGTTTTGAGCAAATCGTCACGCTTGTTCACGCCAATGACATTAGTCTGTAGCACCGGCAAGAACGGTGATATCCCAGTGGCCTTGTCTCTGAACTGAGTGTATCTCTCCATAATAAAATCAATCTCTTAATTTTCCATTATGTTAATTCTCTGGTATAAAACAAATCTCGAAATGAAAATACAAAAAAAAAGTAGTGGCCGAAACAATAAAAAAATGATGAATTTGATTTTAATTGAATTTAATTTTAATTTAATCAATTTTACTCATTAAATTTTAATACTGCCAGGCTGAACTAAACTAATTCCAAAATGTCTCTCCAGGCAGTGCTCGAACGAGGCGACGATATCCTGGGCCAGTTCCCCAGAGACTCGTCCTTCTGGAACTACGCGAGCCAGGCAACCTGTGTGCTCGCTGTTGGATGGTCCAAGCTCGTGCTCCAGACATGTTACAGGCCCAGGATCACGGGCGTAGAGAAGCTGGACAGGGCTCTGGAGCGAAGCCAGAGGGAGAATAGAGGGCTGATGACGGTGATGAACCACATGTCGGTGGTGGACGACCCCTTTGTTTGGGGGTTCTTGCCCTGGAGGTTTTACAGAGACGTTGATGCTATCAGATGGGGGTTGGGGGCCCATAACGTGTGTTTCCAGAATAAGTTCTTGACGTGTTTCTTCAGTTTGGGAAAGATACTGGCCACCGAGAGGTTTGGCGTGGGTCCCTTCCAAGGATCAATCGATGCTGCTATCAGAATCATGTCTCCTGATGATACCCTGGATTTGGTTTATAATGGTGATGATGATGAGACAAATTCAAATTGGTTGGACCCAAACCATTATAAGTCAGAATTAAATAAATTAACTCCACTGGCTCAGAAGATTAACAATGATTACATCCCTCCAATTAAAAGATCAAGACCTTCTTGGATCCATGTCTTCCCAGAAGCTTTTGTGTTACAATTACATCCACCACATGCCAACTCAATGAGATATTTCAAATGGGGGATAACAAGAATAATATTAGAATCAACAAGACAACCAATCATTGTACCGATCTTTGCCACTGGGTTTGAAAAAATTGCTCCTGAAACTGCTGCTGGTGGTAGTTTAATTGAAAGATTCTTACCTGCTAATTTCGGTTGTGAAATTAATGTTACAATTGGTGATCCAATAGATGATTCAATAATGGAAAACTTTAGAAAAGAATGGTTAGATTTAGTTAAATCTCAAAAAACCTCAATGGATTTAAATGATGAATTAAAATTTGGTGAAAAAGCTCAATTATTAAGAAGTAAAGTAGCTTCAGAATTAAGAAAAGCAGTCGCTGATATTCGTCATCAAATTGGATTCCCTGATGAAGATCCAAGATTTAAAGATCATAAATTTTGGCATGAATTTACTAAAACTGAAGGGAAATCTGATCCAAATGTTCAATTTGTTGGTCAAAATTGGGCAATTAGAAGATTACAAAGTTTCTTAAAAGAACATGATGAATACGAGTTGAATAAAAATCATGAAAATGGGGAGGAGAAAAAATGATAACTTGTACATAATATAAATCATTTCAATCATTTATTCATTTTATTCATCAATTATTTCGTATTTCCCCGAGTTTATCAATTCTTCAAACCTTTGACGCTCATCAGGGGTCATCAGTTTCAACAATTGTTCAGGCGTGGCATTCTCAATCAATTGTTTCAACTCAACTTCTTCTTCAATTGTCAATTCTCGATCTTTATCATCTAAATCTTTCCTCTCTAATTGTAATCCTTGTTCCACTTTATTATAATCCAAAGGTGCCTCATATTTCCAATCACTCCCCTCACCACCATACTTATCCAGTATCCCAATCAACTTTAATTTATCCTCATCATTACTCGTTTGAGGTAACGACTCTTTAACTTGTCGTTCATAAAACCCTTCTGAGCATGATTGATGAATTACACTTTTAAAACACTCCAAAGAGCAATATCTCCTGCTGCAACGAGGGCATATGTATTTATACTCTGTCTCAACACAGAACTCACATTTAATCCCTTTCAAATCAGTTTCTAGACTCATTTCATTATGAATTCTCCAATTAAAAAGTTGGTTTAAATTTTTTATAGTTATTTTTTTCTGTAAAACGAGTTCGCGAGTTCGCGAAATCTCGGATTTTTTGGTGTTTTTTTTATGGGGTTGAAATCGTTGAATCAATTAAAGGCAAAAACATTTGAATTAAAGAAAGAAAGAACGAAAGAAAGTGCTGATGTTTGGTTTGAGACGGTGCTGTTTTGGTGGTGGTAATGCTGTGCTGGTGGCGAGAGGAAGACTGCTGAGAACCGCTGGCCCAATTGGAATCAGAAGTTATGGCTGGAACCCATTTGTAAAGAGATCCAAGGTGGTGATTGACGAATCAGAACAGAACTCTCCTGAGACCAAAGAGGTGGTGCTGAGAGCTAAGCAAGAATTGAGACAGCAGTTGCAACAGGACCAACTACGCTCGTTGCTGCTGGACCTCGTGGATTCACCCCCAAATAAGGACTCTTTCATCTTGATTAATGAGATTCTAAGGAAACTAGAACATGATCAATTCAAATCTAAAACACCAATAAACAGTCAATCTACACCCGCAATCTCAACAGATGACGCTTATAGATTATTCAAAATAGTTATAGACCATATCAACACAACAAATTTCAAAGCTGCAAGATTCATTCCAAGATTATATCTACAATTAATTCAAGTGGCTCAAATTGAACAAAATAAATTGTTATCATTACAAGTTTTCAATGACTTCACAAGATATTTAATCACTTTAGGTTATGAAGATCAATTATTGAAGATTACAAACTCTTTCATCTCTGAAAATCCAACATTAAGTGACGCTGCATTAGATGGAATCCTAAACACTTTGAAAAACCATCACCCAACACCTTCATTAACCCTAGGTTTATCTGAATTATTTCAAAATGATAATCAATTCAAAAAAATTAATCAACTTGTTATACAATCCATTGATTATTACCTTTCCAAAAGAAACAAACTATACTCAATTGATCAACATAATCTTGATTCAATTCAACAATATATTGAAAAATCTTTGGAAACCAATACAGATTTTGAAAACTTCCATCATTTACTGAAATTTTGCCAAAAAACTGAATCTTTAACAAATCAAGAAACTTTGATCCTAACTAAATCAATCAATTATTTATTAAACAATAAAGATTATATCTGTGAAGATTATCAGATTTTGAACATTTTCATTGATTCATTCATTCAAAATAATGTTATATCATACCAAGAACGGAAAATTGCTGGTGAAATCATGTTGAAATCTTTCAAAAAAACTAATGAAAATTTCGAACTATCCAAAAATGTTTTCGATTTATTTGTTAAATGGGATGTTTTCCAAAATACTTCATTAACAAAATCAACTGAAAATTTTATACTAGATCATCAAGATTTTGTTGATAATATCACTTTTAAAGGAACTATAAAATCAATGTCATTTTCCCCAATGAATAATTTCAATGATTCAATTGCATCAATTTATGAATTTTTCCAGACTAATTTCCCAAATCTTGATAAAACAATTGATATTTATTCATTATTATTACAAAGAGGTATTCGATTAAATGATTCCAAATTTTTAACTCAAACATTCATAGAAAGTCTAAATGATGGTATTTTATGGGAATCAAACCCTAAAATTCTTTATGATTTCATATACACTTTAGCAATCCAACCTAATGCAAATGTTAAACAAGTTTTCCATTGGTATGAAAAAATTAAAATATCTGTTAAACATTTAGATTCAAAATCTTATAATTCTTTAATGACATTATTTTTACAAAATGAATTAATTGGTGATGCAATTGAATCTTTAAAAAGAGAATTACCACCATTATTAGATAAAGATACCAAGTATAGTGTTGATCAATATCCTGAATTATTTCAATCAATGTATGATTGGATCTTGGAATTTAATGGAGATCCAGAAGTTTCATGGACTCTTTATTGTGAATTACAAAAATATTTCCATGTCCCATTTGATACTTATTTCCCATTAATGCAAAAATTTGCAAATTTGAAAAGACCAGACGCTTCATTTATGATTTTCCAAAAATTGAAAAAAATTCATAGAACAACAGGTTCAATCCCTCCACCAACTCCAGAAATGTATTGTTTCTTATTCAACACTTTTGGTAAAGAGTTATATGAAGATGGTGTTAAAAATTTACATATCATTATGAAATTAGATTTACAATTAAACACTGATATTGATGTTATGAATTCTTTATTAGGTGCTTATTGTAATTTACAAGAATATTTTAGAACTCAAGAAATTTTTGATTCAATTATATCAATGCCCAAGGGGAAAGGTTTAAATAATGAAACAATTTCAATAATGTTAAAATCTTATACTTACGTTTCATTAAGTCATGTTAAATCATTTTGGGATAATATTTATGAATATGACATCTTACCAAATGAAGATAATTTTAAACAATACATTATTGCACATTGTTATCATGAACAATATGATATGGCTTTACAAATAACTATGGATTTGGAAAAAGATTTTGATTTATTAATTACTCCAAATATTTTGAAAAGTCTTTATAATTGGACTCAAGGTGAAGAAAATAAATTGAAAATTGCAAAATGGGCTTCAAAAGAACATAAATTAATTTGGAATAATATCGAAAAAAAACAAGGTTTAGTTGAGAAACCACATACAGAATCAAGTCATAGTAATTCTGATGTTCGTGAAATTGAAACAAAATTGATTCATGAGAGTGCAATTTGAGATCACTATTTATTTTTATTTATTCAAAAACTCATTATTTATTCGTCATTTATATTTATTTATTTATTTCATAAAGTATTTTTTTTGGCAGTTCCAATTTTGGTACTATTAACTTTTGTAGCAAATCTTAGTGAGTTTATAGTTTCATTAAAATGTTGTTTAAAAGGTGATATATTAACAAACATTAAAGTTTTGGAATTCCCCATCAATGAATATTGTAAAAGATAAGTTAATTTTGAATTTCTAAAAGGTACATGTTTTGAATTTTCACAGCCTAATGAATAAATAACATCTCCAAGACAACTCAAACTTTTATTAATTGATTGAGTTTCTTTTAAACGATCACCACTTGCTTGTGAATGACTTAATCTTTCAGAACCTGCTAAATCAATTAAATTTAAAACACCTTCACTTTTTTCATTTGTATTTGGATTAAAACCATGAATTCTTATGGTGAAAACACTATGAGATCTTGAAGATCTTTCATTGGCTTTTGTTGCAGCTATTGATCTGTTTTTCAAAGCTCTTGATAAAATCTCATTAACCATCTTGGGATTTTCCAATTCAACACTTGTCAAATCATTAACAAAAGTTTTCTGTAATATTGTGTCATGTTTGATTTCTAATTTTAATTTATCAATATTATTTGGATTCCCTAATAAATCATTAATGTTTTCATTATAAATTTCTAAAAATTCACCAAAAATTTTAAATTCCCAACCTGATTGTGCACTTAATTTTTCAGCAGTTTGGAAAATTTGTTCCACAGCTTTTGGAATCATACCATCATTTTCATTTGACATTGTAAATGTTTTACCAGAACCTGTTTGACCATAAGCAAATATACAAACATTAAACCCATCCAATGCACTTTGAACTAATTGAGAAATCTCTTCAAAAATTTCTTGATTTGTTGAATCCATTTGGAAAACTCTATCAAATTGGAAATTATAAATTTTTTTGGTTTGTGAGTTACCATTAAATGAACCAGCACTAATTGGTTTAGGATCCTTTAATACAATCTCTTGTTCTTCTTCGTCATTATCTGGAACTTGAACTTCAACAACATCTTCAATTTCTGGTCCTAGTGGTGGTCTTATACGACAGAAAACTCTAATATTTCCTTTTAATTCTTGCATTTTATTATGAAGTTTCCTTCTCATGACTTCTTCATGGATTAATTGTTGTTCAAAATGTTGCTTTTCAGATAATTTCCATTGAATATCTGCTTGAGTATCTTGAATTTTAAATTTTTTCTCCTTTAACGATTGTTCCAAAGTTTCCAAGGTTTCTTGAAGTTGTTTTAAATGTAATTCAGCATCCCTTGTTGAGTTTTCAGTTTCTTCAAGTTTCTTGAGTTGATCTTGTTTTGCTTTTGTTTCACCTTGTAGTTCTTTTTCAGTTTCCATTAATTCAATTTCAAGTTCTTTATGTTTATTATCAAGGTCCTTGCACTCATCTTCTAATGTAATTCTTGTTTCCAAAAGTAATTTATTCAGTTCAACTTGCTTTGTATAATATTGTTTCCGCAATGAATTTAAATTATCTTGGAAATTGACTTCATTATTTTGAATATCATTATTCAAACTAGATATTTTATCACGTAATTGAGTTTTCTGTAATTGAATCTCTGAAACTTTGAGTGATAATAATTTTTCAATCTCATTTTTATATTTTTTTTCAATTTCATACATGCAAGATTCATTTTCAACTTTTAATTGTTTCAATTGTAATTCATAACTTCTTTTGATATCAATTTGAACTTCATCTTTCTTTGAAGCTAAATTATCAATTTTGTTGGATTTGATCTTTAAATCTTTGTTTAGTGCAGACAATTTCTCCTCTAGCACTTGATTATCGAATTCCAATTGCTGTTTTGAAGTTTTAAGTGACAATATTGAATTTTTCAACTCTGTAAAGTCTTTCTCCTTGATATCAATCTGTTCTTTTAAACTCTCCAACTCTTTTCTACTATAATTTGAGTTTGATAAAAACTTTCCTTCTTTCTTGATGGTTGGATTCTTATTGAATGATAAAGGCTCAGAGACTGGTTTAAGATTTGATGATGTTTGATTAGGTGTTCCTGGCTTGGACCTTGCTGGACTAGAAGGAGATTTGTAGCCATAGGGAGTAAGGTATGAGGATGTCTTTGTAGGTGTCGTATTTGGTCTTGGGATACCAGATGGTTTGGGTAAACTTGATATGTTTTTCTTATTCTCTTCACCAACAGCACCTTCGTTATTATTCATGGCGACATTGATGCCCATGCTTGTTCTCTTTGTGGGCAGCAGCGTGGATGGTTGTTTGATTAACGACTGGCGATTGGAACTCATTATCAACAAACTGAAAAGAAAAGGAAAAATCCAGTTGAAACCACTTTGAAACGGTTTTTTGGTATCAAATTGTGATAAAATTTCGAAAACGTAAACAAATAAACATAAAACAAATTCCGACAAGATTTTTCACGTGACTGGATTTTTAGGCCTCGGAATTGGATCTTAGCTCATCTCAAAAAAAAAATTTATAGGCAAAATAAATTCAGATGAAATAAATCTTGAGAGCTCCAAGTGATAATAAATATAGTATTAGAAGATGTCCAAGAAGAGAGTGTCAGTGCAGCTTCCTGCTAAAAGTGCCAGTGTGACTGGTGAAAAAAGAAAGAGAGCTGAAAAGCCGGAAAGTGAGTAAACTATCATTCTTTGGAAAGACATAAAGACTAACTTGGGATAGAAAAAGAAGAAGAATCATCATCACAAGAAGATAGTGAGAGTGAAGACCTTGATTCAGATGCTGATGTTGATGCTGAAGATGATGAACTAGATCTTGGAGAAGTCAGTAGTGATGAGGAAGAAGATAGTGATGACGATGATGATGAAAACTTACCAAAATTAAAGAAAAGAAAGAAGGCTAAAGATGATGGATCAGAATCATTTGCCAATGCTGTTAATGCCATCTTGGGATCTAAATTAAAAGCTTATGATAGAAAAGATCCAATACTGGCGAGATCTAAACAAACAATTAAAAAAGCGGAAAGTGATAAATTGGAAGCAAAAGCTCGTAGAGAGTTATTGGCAGAAAAGAAGAAAGTTTATGATCAAGATAGAATTAAAGATTTATTACCAACTGATGATTCAAAAGCTAGAGAAGTTTTAGAACATGAAAGAAAATTGAAAAAAATTGCACAAAGAGGTGTTGTTAGATTATTTAATGTTGTTATGTCTACTCAAACAAGAACTTCAACTGAAGTTAACAAGACTAAAGTTTTAGGTCAAGAACAAAAAGATAAATTAATTACAGAAATTTCTAAAGAGAAGTTTTTTGATTTAGTTAAAGCTGCAGGTGAATCATAAGTTGGGTCATTGAATGAAAAGAAAGTGTATATTAGGATTGGGTAAATTAAAGGTTTTTATTCTACATTCGAATAAAGTAGAGATAACTTAAACTTGAGAGTCCACATCTAAAGAATCAAAAAGTAATAAAAATATAAAAAAAGAGCATCATCAACCTTTATCAAATCAATTGAAAAGTAGCAGTAACCTATTTCTTAGCATTGTTTGAGCCACTGTAGTTGTAACCATCATTCTTGAAGCGAATTTGAAAGCATCGTTAACACTATCGAATTTTTTGTGGACATTGTTGGAGTACCCGTTGGTTTGAGCTTTAGCTTGATCCCATGATGAGTAAATACCTTTACCATCTCTACCGTTTTGGACAGCGTAAAACCCTTCTTTAGCCATTATTGAAATTGAATTAGTTGTTGAATTGAATTGAATTGAGTCAATTGCTCGATGAAACAAGAAAATAAGGGGCTACGTGTAGAATTCCAGAAACTCCCAATCTTTTATACTTCTTTTTCCAAGTTTAAACACCAAAAATTGACCTGTCGCGAAAACTGACATCTGATTGTGATTAGGTAATCCACACCCCATGATGAAACACGGGAAATAAGGTGGAATAGGAGGTGATAAACAATAAAAAAATATCCCATGATAATCTACAACTCAATTATACTCCAAAATATAAGGTTATAGCTTATTCTGGGGCAAAAAAATGGCAAAAAATAATATTGAAGGATGCGAGGTTCGAACTCGCGCGGACAAACGTCCAGTAGATCTTAAGTCTACCGCCTTAGACCACTCGGCCAACCCTCCTGAAGGACGAGTTGTTGATGCCTCTGAAGAACCCGACTGTACCTGAGTGTAAATGTTTTTTGCTCCAAAATAGAGCTATAGAGCCATAAAAACATGGAAATTAAATAAATATGATCCCAATAATTTGTTTGGACTTATTACGGTTTCTATTGGATGACTCTTCGCTGAGTTATTTGCATTTCCATGTTGTTCAAAATCTTTACGAAATTCTGAAATCGAGAAATGAATCAAAGAAAAAAACAGATCAACAACAAATTAACAAACAACTTCACCAAACAACAACGAGGAATTCACTCTAATCAATCGTCGCTTAAGCAGAAACTATAATAGAAATGGCAGCCACTACTCCAGAATCATCAATTGAAAAATTCAGCGACACTTTGAACAACAATCAAGAAACCATTCCCTCTCATGAAACAGGTGGTCAAAGTATCCCATCAGCTATTCAAGATGAATCTACTGCAACTCAACCTCAATCTGGAAATGACGACTCAATTGTTGCTCAGCAAGCTACAATTCCTGAAACTACTATTACTGCCCCTGCTGCTGCTGCTACTACTTCAGATGAAGAAATGAAACCATTCTCAAAGTATGAACAAGCTGTTCAATTAAGAGATAAATTAGATTCATTAATCAGAAGAACAGTTCAAACCAAAAAGAAATGTGACAAGCTGGACCATGATAACAAATATCTACAAGAATATGTTGGGAATTTGATGAATAGTGGTGATTTTTTATCTAAAAAGGTTTGAAATGTGTTTGTGTACTATTCTTCATAAACAGCCAAGGAAACCAACCAATAATAAAAAGCACTTCATAACGCTATTTTCACTTTATTTTCCAGATCCTATTATTGCTTTAAGTTTTTGCTTTTGCAACTCTTTTTGTTTGGTTTTTTTTGGGGAGGTTTTGGCTTTGTGTAACACTGTATTATCATGCACCACAATTACAAAGAAATAAAAAAAGTCAGTTTTGCTTAATTGGAGAAAATACTGCTAAAGAACAAAAATTGAAACTTGACTAAATAAGTCATACCAGGTCAAACCAAATTTGGAACTGCAAAATGTCATTGAACGGTTCTGAAAATCTAGATCCAAGATTTAACCATCATTACGGTTCAGCAGATGAAAATGATCCAAATAACCATCCTCATCATGTTCCTTCATTCAAAGAATATACTAAATCAATTTCAAAACCACCTTCAACTTCATTCTATTCAAAACCAACTTCAAATATATCATCTAGAAATGGTTCAATTCCTTCCAAAAATAGAGTCCCAGTTGTTACCTCTTTCAATAAGAATGACACAAAAGATGCAGTTCAAAAGCTACTCATTAATGACGCTAGAAGACATGAAAATGGTGTTTTGAAACAATTGAATAATTTCCATTCCAATACTTCAAATATTAGAGTTCCAACTTCCTCAATTATTCCTTACCATAATGTTCAAATTGTTGATGAACAAGAGACAAAGCTTATCCCTCCAACCGCTTCTGATAGTGATTATGATGAGGCTCCTTTATTAGATTTATATAAAGCTGATGAATTGGAGAGTAAAATAGATCCAGGTTCTACTGCTATTTTGAACTCGGGTATAACTTATGAACAAATAACATCAGCAACAAAGACTTTAACCTCCCAAGAGTATGACCCGATTTTGCAAACTTTAGATGATTCAAGAATTTCATTTTTAAATCCACATCAAGCATATGTTAAAGTTAATTATCCACAGTATACAAAACCTTTAGCTAAGAATGGAACCCCATTGGATTTATCTCAAGTTCCTAAAAACAGACTTGCACCTCCTTTTTTGGATTATGAAGAACCAAAATTATCACAAGATGAAACAAAATTGTTACAAGTTTTAGATCATGATTTAAAATTAGAATCGTATGGTGATGATAATCAATTTGAATTTGAGGATGTAAATGCTGTGGAAAATATTGGTGGGTTCGTTTCATTTTTACAAAAACTTTTCAAAACTGGACCATTTTCAAAAGAGGCAAAATATTACAAGAAGTTCCCATGGGCTAAGATTTTCCATAATATTGATCAAGAATCTGATCTTGAGAACCAACTGACCAAATATGAAAAGACTAATAATGGGGACTCTGTTTTATTTGAAAGAAACAATACTGATATGTTTCCTATTAATGGAGTTATTTCATCACCTTTACCATTATAAGGGATGACACAAACCACTGAAGCTTTAAGATCGTCAAAGAAGAAGGCTAGAGCTAATAAATAACTTGATTAGAGATTTTTCACTTATCGTTGTAGATTTATTGGCCCGTGAAGAAATGGCAGATCATTCCTAAATGGACTAAATGAAAGGCATTCTCTATTGGAAAAAATATGAATATGATCAAAATATTCTGATAATCCCAAATATTTGGTTTCTACTACCTGTCACCATACAAAAACCTGATGTTATTTGAACTTTTCTTTGTTTTTTCGTTTTCTTTGTCTTGGTTTTTCCAATCAACCAAAAAAAAACTGATAAAGGCGACCCATAATTAATATCTTAACCATAATCACAACCATCTCAGCACAACAAAATAAAAAATGGCCAACGAATCAAGATCAATAGCATGCACATTCTGCAGAAAGAGAAAGAGAAAGTGTGATGGCCAAACACCGTGTTCCATCTGTCGCAGATACAACAAGACTGGTGCTTGTGAATATCCAACTGATAAAGATAAAAGAAAATGGAAATATGATTCAACTTATGTGGATTATTTGGAATTGAAAGCTGATATACTACAACAGTTTGCTAATGAATTGATAAGAAGTGACCATTCAAAGGCGAAAACCATCAATCGTGACTTGATTTCTAGCATAATGAGTCATAATACTATGCCAAAAGCTCAATCTTCAAATACTTCAGCTGAGACTTTATTGAAAGGGTTAGCTGATGAAAATGCTATAGATGAATTGGTATCTACAACTTGGAGAGTTAGACAAGATCATAAAGGTCATACTGAGTTCTATGGTCCAATTTCAGGGAGACAACAAGTTATCGAAGATTCAGAAGAAGAGTTAGAAAATATATCACCAAATAAAAACATTGATTTTGTTCAATCTTCAAAAGAATTTAGACATTCATTATTAGAAATCTTCAAAACAAATTTTGCACAATTTTTCTATATATCATTATTAGATAATGAAGATTTGAAAAATTGGGATTATCCATCTTCTGACATTTCAAAACAATTTTTATTATGTGCAATTTTCACATATAGTTCATTATTCACAAATCATAGAGACCTTTCATTTAGTTTCTTACAAGAAGCTGAAGTGTTGTGTATGAAGGCATGTCGAAATGTTAATGAGTATGTTTTACAAGGTTTACTGATCCTTTCATGTTTTGAATTAGGAATGGGTTTAGATTCAAATTCTTGGGCATTTAATGCAATGACTTCAGCATTTACACAATATATGAAGTTACATTTAGAGGAGGTCCCTACTCCAGGAAATAACAATGATAACAACAACTCTTTAATTTCATTATCTCCTAGGAAAACTTCAATGTTTTGGTCAATAATTTTGCAAGATCGTATAATTACAAGTGTTTTGGGACGTGGTTGTCGTATTCAATATTTTAGAATAAAAACACCTTTTTATTCACCACTTTTAACAGATAAATCAAACGAACATTATTTAACTGAATTATCATTTGCCTATCATTCAAAATTATGGTATATTCATGATCGTTCAATTGGACAAATTTATTCATTCAAAGCTGATTATTTACACAATTCACATAGATCCATATTAATGAATCAAGGAATGGAGGCATTAGATGAATGGAAAGCTTCATTACCATTAGATTTAAAATTAACCTCGGAAACAATAGATACAAGGATTTTAATTGTTCATTTATCATTTTCAGTTGTTTATTTGTTATTACATCGTGCTTATCTAAAGCAAATCCCATTAAAAGTTATTCAAGTTACAATTGAACAATGTACAATTGCTTCCAATATAATTCAAAGGATATCAAATAATAATTTAATCTTTAAAGATTCTCCACGTCCATATTTTGTTTCATATTTGATCTTAACATGTGCAACATTTGATTTATTTTTACTTTCAAATAAAGATGAATCTTTAAAACCTAGTGCATTAAATAGAATTCAGATTTATATTGATTCTCTTTTAGATTTTGGGAAAATTTGGAGAAGAGGTAATAAAGATATTCAAGTTTTAGGTGCTTTAGCTAAAAGATGGAAATTGAAAATACCATATTTAGATCAAGCTTTATTAATGGTTCAAGATACTGATAAAATGTTTATGAATGAATCATTCGATTATGGTTATATTAATGAAGATTATACAATTCATGCAAATAATTTTTTCAATCAATTTCAATCAGAATCAGAGCCTATGAGTATGGATAGTTAAAAATTGATGTTTGGTAATTCTGGGAATTTAGCATCATGTATAAATTCTTCATCTAATGGTGCAATGTCATTACTACTTTGAGGACTTGATTGTGGTTGCTGTTGTGTTGGAAATGTTGGGAAGTCTTGATATGGATTGTAAACTGGTTGTGGCTGCTGTTGTTGATGATATTGCACCTGTGGAGGCATAAATTGTGGATCCATCATCCCTGTGGATTGTTGGAAACTGTTCAATTCTTGATTGTAATCTATTGGTTGGAAATTTTCCTCTTGATTCAATCCAAACATTGGGAATTGTACTTCAAATAGCTGAAATGGATTTAATCCATTGTTATTATTATTATTATTGGTAATGTTATTTGGAATATTATTCATACTTGAATTTGAAGTTGTAGTTGACTCTTTAACGAATTGTTCATCTAATAAATCGTTATTGATTTGTTCTAAAGCTGATTGAATTGAATTTGTTAATGGTGAAGAAGATCTTGAACTTGTTGGACTTTGGAAGTTTTTATTTAGATTATATTTCTCAGCCAATTTTTGTAAATGATTTAAATGTAATTCTGCACTTGGCCAATTTGTTGCAAATTTAGTTAAAATTTCAATACAATCTTGATATAATTCCAAAATGTTTTTTTCACTCTTCAATCTTGATAAGTTTCTTGAATGATGACCAGCTGTTAAAATAAACAACAATACTAATGAAACTGAATGAACAAGATATCCAAAATTATAAGGTAATTTATCCACTGGGAATTCATCTTTATTTAAAATTGATAAAACATTTGCAGCTTTAATAGCAGCTTCCACTGTAGCTGTTCTTGTTAAGTTGGGATTTTCTTTGACAAATATTTTATTCAATTGTAAAACTGCCACATAATAATTGAAATTGAAAATTAAGATAAACAAATTTTGTTGATTGAAAGAACCTTTAGTTTCCAAATTTAATGATTTCAATCTTAATTGAATTGGTAAAGAAGTTAACAACTCTTTTAAAGTTTTCAATGCCATGATTAAAACTTTTTCTCTGTTATTTGTATCACCAACATCAAAATTAGTTGAAAAAATTTGATCTGTATAACGATCGTAAATATACCATAATCTTGAAAGGTAAGCAAATGATAGATCGGAAATGTGTAACTTATTTCCTGAATTTGTAGAAATTTTGTAAAAAGGTGAAATAATTCTTTTAAAATGAATGACACAGGGTACTTGAATTAAACTTGTTATTAATCTATCATGAAGGCAGATTGACCACAAGATTGAACATTTCAAAGGTGAAGATCTTGGAGCAAAAGTTGCATGGAAATCATCATCATAAGCTATATGTAACCCCATTTGTTGAGCCAATGAACAAGCCATAGCATTCATTAAATAAGATTGATGTAAATTCCCTTGACCTAATTCATAATTTGATAATAAGTAAAGACTTAGGATGATATAAATGTCCACTTTACATTTACAAGTGATGCTCATTAATGAATCTCTAGCCATTGCAGTGAAATATTCTTCATGGTTTTTCTTATTTGGGTGAGTTGCAAAAATTGAACCAATACCATAAACACAAGTCATGAATAATCTTAGGGTTGGTTGGTTGATATAATTGAAATTTTTCTCTTTTATCAAAGGTATCAGATGTATTAAAGCCATTGAATGTATAGCAAAATTTTGTTCAAATAAGTCAATCAAATAACAAGAATATGATAAATCTCTGAAAACTAAATTTAGTCCAATAAGGGAGATTGGTGACGAAGTTGACGTTATTCCATTGTCATCCTCATTATCCTTATTTATCAAATCTTGTAATTCAGTGGTGTATTGACTCTTTTGCCCTTGATCATCTTGTTCGTCTTGATCAATTCTTAATTGTTCAGTAGCAGTCAACAAGTCATCTATTAATTCTTCATGAGCAGGGTCCAAATCATCCACTGGGGTGGTTGTTCTTGTTGATGGGTCAGAGCCTTTGGGTATTTCATCTTCAAATTTGGACAAGTTTTTCAGTTTCTCATTCATAACTTGATGTAATTCTGGGTCATCCTTGATGAACTCTTTGATGAATTTCTCTATAGCAGACACCTTCACCTCCAGGAAGTCCACGTAGTCCGTGTGGTACTTTCTCCTTCTTCTGTCACTGTTTGTTGTGTAGGAGCAGTTTTGCTTGAACTTGATGCAGTTGGAGCAAGGGTTCTTGCCATTACACTGCTCATCTGTTAGTACTATAATCATTATGACTCAAGAACCGTTACGCACTTTCCTCTTCTTGTCACGGCATCCCACGCAGGACGAGCCTGTGGTTGCACTGCCATTAGCTGCTGCAGTTCTAGCGTCCTCCATCAGTCTCTTTTATCTCTTTCTCCCTGTTCTTTCTGCTTACAATTTGGTGCTCTTTGTATGGACAAGGCGACCCATAATTATTATTACCAAGACAGGAATTCGCGAATTGGATAATTGGTCATGTGACAGTCACGTGAATATCCTTAATATAAAGATAACTAGGGAAAACCACTTAAGAAACCACAAAATGAATAGATAAAATAACTTATAATCACTTCATCAACACTATAACTATTTTTCACCTTACCTTCTCTATATATTTCCACCACTTGTCTAACAAAACCCACTAAAATCCATATGTGTCGTGTACCGTGATGAAAAAAAGGCTGAAACAGTGTGGAAATGGTCAAGTTACTAACTATTAAACGAAGGGCAAAAGAACGAGTTTTTGATATATATAAAGAGCATTAAAGAGGCTCACATGCGGAAGAACTTTTATAGTGCAGTGAGTGCAAGGATTCAAACCATGGCCAAGGACAACCTCATACTAACCTTTTGCAAGCTCGGTGCATTACTAGGAATATCTGTATTCCGCAAAGTTTACAATGAACTGATATTCTTAACCAATGGTGATTTATCCCATTCAAAGTACTTTATAAACACTATATCAACTTTTTTTTCATGGAGGTTTTTCATTAATTTTGGCTTATTAAATTTCTTGCTGATTTGTGTCTTGCTAATACCCAAATTTTTAAGATGGTTAGCATTTGGTACTTTAAATGATTATGAAATTAAAAGCATCAAAGAAAAATTCAACTATACGTTATTTGAATTCATAATGGGGTTGATATTACTTAAGCATATTGAATCAGAATCTTTAACAATCAAGGGTTTTGCTAAATATGCTTCAATCTCAATCTGTGTGGTGTTATTGAAAAGTTTCCATTATTTATCAGCAATTAGAGTAAAGACATTTATCAATAATAATAATAGTCATGGTCATGGAAGTGGTACTTTATTCAAAAAGCAAAGCATAAAACTAATATTAGGGATGTTGATGTTAACATTGATTGATTCCCTATTAATTTACAAATTTTCAAATGAATATAATTTTAACACGTTATCAATAATTTTCGGTTATGAACTTTTAAACCTTTTCCCTTTGATTCTATTGAATTTATTCAACTTCACAACTTCTATTGTTTGCTTAGGATCTAAGAAATCAATAATAAAATCCAAAATAATATTGGATTTTTTAGTCAATTTAGCAAGATTTTCATTATTTGTTATTTATTCATGGTATTTCAACTTATATTTCACTTTCCCTGTTCATATAATTCCCTCAAGCTATAAATGTTTTAGACTACTTTTAACTAAAACCAAAAAATTGATTGCTTATAAAAGAAATAGTCTAAGGTTTAAATTATACAGTCAGTCTTTACAAAAAGTGAAATTAGATGAAATTGAATTGATAGCTGATCGTTGTTTCTGTTTGGAAGATTTGAGGTACGAGGGTAATGATGCTGATTTAAGGATGTTGTGTTGTAAACATGTTTTCCATTATGAATGTTTGAAATGGTGGTTGATAAAGTCTAGAACATGTCCAATATGTAGAGAACATGTTCATTTGCATAAACAAAAAGTTGCATAGGGGGAAGAAGAAAGGTAAAGTTTAGTATAAACTTAGTTGAGGGTTTGGTGTTGCTCTACAGTTGCATACAATGATACAAGTGATTGGGTAGGATCTGGAGAGGTTTTTTAATGATTGGTTTATTTATGAATATTGGAGTTTTTTGGGGGTAAATCTAGGTGCTTTAATGAGACAGCTTTTAACTATGTAGAGTCTCTTTTTGGTGTAAATTTCAGGGATTAGATATCATTGTGATAATGAATATCAATTCGATTACCAGTGTAATAAAAGATGTGAAACAAAAGGCATATCTAAACTGAGCCTCTTCTAAAACCCTTTATACTGCTTAACTAAAATGGGTATAATTGTTACAAACTTAATATTCTACACTTGTAACAATAGGCTTTTGCTTTAGGCTCTGAAACTCCAACGGAATTGTAGAATTCGGTTCAGCTTTAATCTAATTTAGTCATAGATCCCCTGCTAATCAAACACTGTACAATTGCAATTACCTTTAAACTTTCGTCTATTTCGCCTAAAGTTGATTGCCGTAGACTAGCGAAAAGGAAAGAAAAAGAACACAAATGGAACTTCTCTATTCCAGTTAAATTAGAATAAAGAATAAGAACAAATCACCTATTTCCAATTAAAAAAACTTTCATTAAAAAAACATTTGAAATTTTGAATTTAATTTATGTTATTACCATTTATAGTAATTTCCTATTTGGGATGTTTTGAATGTTTTTTCCCTTTTTTTGCCATACGAAAAAACAAAAAAAAACAGAAACGAGTATTAAACAATAACAATAACAATAACAGTAACGAGAAACAAAAAGAAGAACTGGATTATTTTCATTTGCTGAGAAGTTTGTGCTGCTGCTTATGGTGTGTTGCTTGATTGCTGTTTTGCTGCTGTAATGGATTATTTAACTACAAATTTCAATACAGAGCTGATGGATATCAACTTTACAGCTCCATTCAGATTGATGAATTTACCTTTGGAAATTATTATCAAGATACTCATATTCTTGGATATTCCAGACTTGGTTAGTCTATCAAGGACTTGTACATTGTTGAAAAGATTGGCTAATGATAATTTCATATCAAGTTCAAGATTTCTTTATACAAGGGATAAAATTGGTATTTCAATTCAAAATAGACCTACAGTGGATTCACTATATTCAAGACATATAATACCCATTAGATCACCTAGTTTCAATCCAAACCAATTGTTGATTGTGTCAATGCTGACTAAATCTATTGTTAAAGATAATTTGAAAAAAAATTTACAAAAAAGACCAAGTTTAAAAGAATTAAAAGATAAAAACATTGTCAAGGGACAAACTACTGAATTTGTTCAATCTAAAATTAAAGAATTTAAGAAGCAGAATCTATCAAGTATGTTGACAGTATATGTTAATTCTTATAAATTTCAAAAAAAAACCAATTCTTCAACTTCAATTATGAATGAAGAAGAATATAGTTCAATTTTAGGTAAATTTTATTCAAATTTAAAAAAAATTCCATCAACATTGAAGAAAGCAAAATCTCAAGATTCAATAACAACATCAATTGATAATAATACAAGTACGAAATTTTTAAATCATTTTGAAAATAAAGATGTTTCCAATAATAAACATTCTAAAAGATCAATTTCATTAGATTCAAAAGTTTTTTCCAAAAAGCAATATTTTGAAAACTTGATTCAAAAAAATGAACACCATGAAAATGTTGATAATGATGAATCAATAACTAGTTTGAAGAAGTCGAAACCACCTAGTGCAATTAGAAAACCTTCAAGAACATTATTGAGGGCTTCTATTGTTAATGATTGTAAGATAAGTTATGAAAAGGTGTTTTGAAAGGACTTTTTTTGCTTTGGTGAATGTTTTTTAATGTGTGTTTATAATGAGTTTGGTGTTTTTTTGGTTTAATTTGTTTTAACGAATAATTTATGAATAATTTTGGGTTGTTGGAAACCTCTATACAAATGTGTGATAATTAATATAATGTGATGTACTTAACATAGGATTTGAAAGAGTCCATGCTTGCTCGTATGTCTGAAACTAAATATTTAATACCGTGATGATGATGATGATGATGATGATGATGATGATACAGCCGGTGTTTCATGATGTTGTTTATAAGGGCCCACCAATATCCAGAAGGGTATTATGAACCTTCACGCTATGATTTGGAAAAGTACTCCTCAGTATGAATATTTTTACTCATACATTGGTCATTATCAAGCCGGCTATTTACATCCACCTATATTAGTACTCTTGATGATGAGAATTTCAGATCACTAAATGTCAAATGCACGAGATACAATAAATCACACTCTTATCATGCTTCTATAATTGAAATTTGGAAATAAAAAATCAGTTCATAGATAGAACAAAAGGGCTTTTGATGGATCTGTGGTTTGTGCTTTGAATTTTAGTGTATTTTATGGGCTATTCATGTGAGATGCAGGCTACTAGGTCCGTAAGAATGGTTTCATCTTGTACAATTCATTTAGCACTCCTTACATCAAGTGCAATGCCCCACCAACCTGTCTCGGTTGACTCCTAGTATAAATTACGTGTACCTAGTGATAAAATTCCTGTCAGATGAAGTTGAATTTAACCCATTCTACATGGAGATGAGTTTCCTTCAATTTTACTAGAAATTTGAGGTACATCAACTGTCAGGTTGAAGCATTCCGTGTGAAGATTATGAATAATACGTGCTACAGTATTAGAATCAATTACATTCAAGTACTCTCCATATGTATTGATTGTAGTTGATTGTACGATTATCTTTTGATGTGTAACTTTCTTCGTAAATAATTTCTAGATGTATTACAAAAGCTCTCTACAATAGAAAAAATGCATTACTCCCATAACATTATGGTATCATTATTATAAGCTCATTTACACAAAGAATATCAACTGAATCAAAGGTCACCAATCGATACCGACCTCGAACTATACGAGCATCTTCAGCCGTTCGCGACTTAGCTGTCATTCGGTGTTCAAGTGTTAAGCGAGGACTCTAGGCTCCAAATGAGCTTGACTCCAATCAGTGCTGTATAATTCTTCTCGGCTATTGTGTTGTCTAAAATTGACCAGTTTATTACGAGTTTGACGACGTGGGTGTTTGTATAGTGTGCTTACACTCTGTGGTGTGTAGAAAATATTGCATTCGTATTAATTAGTGTTCATCATTAGGACAGATTAACCGAGAAATTGTATGGAAAGAGCTTGATTTTATTGAGGATTTGAATTCTAGAAATTTCAATACTGTTCTACGTTGAAAAGCTTGTTTTTAGTAAAGATTTATAAATGTTTTTTAGCGGGCTACTTTTAGGAAGCTGAACATATAAGGGAAGATGGTTCAAGCACAGAGTGCTACAAGATCAAGAAAGTGTACCTTTTTCATGTCAAAATCTCTGGTCACGCTAAATAATATTACTAAAAAAGACTCCATAGAGATCTAGAAGATCTCGAGGGTGTTTGTGCTAAAGTCCATGTTGTAAAGTGAAGACTTGAACTTCAAAACTCTTCAGAAAAAAAACCGTTAAACGTCAACGTCAAACTACAACTGAGCATCACACACTTGAATACAGATGAACCCTTTGCTGTTCATGGAAACTTCCCAAATAGTCGCTTGAAAAGGGTATCGAATGTTTTCAAAAGGGAAGCCAGCGACGAGCGTTCACAGCAAGAGAAAGTCCGTCTTAAAAGAGTCGGCTTTCCACTGTTTTCGTCGAGGAATAAGTTTCTTGATGCAAGTATGAGAAATGAACTTGTCTGGTTCCCTTCGTAAAGAAGAACGTATACAAACTTGAAAGTGTTTTATAACCTACCTAGTACCCACTCGTGGCTTATGGCTTATGGCACCTTTTGTGTCTGGTTATTCACTGCTTAAAGCGGACTTGGTGTTTTAAACACTCATGCTAAAGAAGTTGTGTTCAAATGTCATTTGGCATATCTTTTGAAGTTGATGAGCTTCATGATGATCCAATACTAGGGGAATCATGAATATTCTTGGGATGAACGAGTGGGTGAAGGTGAATATCTTCAGATTTCCAAAGAAACCCCTTCTAGTTTGGGATAGCTCAAGTATCAAATTGGGATTTGTGTTTGAGAAGCTGAATACTTCTGGATCCTGTCACAAATTTTAGTGTGTGCCAAATCGCGAAGGTACTTCGAATTGCAGACATTGTTCAGTTGTGAAATAAAATAGGGCTACAGAGAAGTGTTAGGTATTTAAACTGGGATCTTTAATTTTGTGCTTGTTTTCCTGTTGAGCTTGACCACGATTTTAAGTGGACATCTTGCAATTGGGAGCTCATTGTTCGGCGTAGACCTCAATTCAGATCTGGAAATAATAATTTTGGAGGACGTGAGACGAAAGAGAAGTGAGATCTGGCTGGGAATAATTTACTAATTGGCTGAGGACTGAAAGTTCCCTTGTTGGGAAGCCAAAATTCAAAGTGGAAAAGCATTGTTTCAGTTCAAGTGGCTCACTACCATCAGGTCATTTTCATGTGTGCCAACATTTGGGCAGCTCTACTACTTGCAACAGTTTTAACGGGTCCAAGCCGAACCAGCGAGCTCTACGCTGCTACTACGCTGTGGCCTGTGGCTACAATAGCTTCAGGTTGCAACTATCAAATCCTTGTGAACGATTCTTTCGTTCGCCTCAAAAAACTGTCTTCGTGTATGTGATCTTCCCTTCGCTAAACTCTCCTTCAACGTTTCCGCTTGGTGCTCCTTCTGGCTGTAACTAGGCCTCCCCGCCTAGCTCCTCCCTAGTTCTCCCTGGGCTCCTGCCTAGCTCCTGGGCTCCGGGCTGGGCTGGGCAAGGTTTCGGCTAATGTCTGGAAGGAAGAAAACTGTTTTTTACGGTTCATGCATGTCTGACCTTTTTAACTTTGTGCATTTGGGCCCTGGGGCTAGAGTGGTTTTTTAACAAGATACACAACATTGGGATATCACAACAACAAGGATATCTTCAGCTGGGATTACACTCTTGTTAATCATATGATCTTCAGTCAGTAAACTATTTGCTCTTTGGCTGTAAGAATCTATACTTTCTCCCCCTCCAAAGTTTGGAATTCGTCGGTCATATTATGGTTTTAAACGAATAACCTTCATCATAAGAATCAAACCAGATTGCAACTATATATCTTTGATGTAGGGTTAAAATAATCCCTCCTTACAGTGATTCTATTTAAATCTCTTCGTCTATTGTCTATTGTGAATTTCAAATGTATTCAAGACCCTACATCAATACCTTAATCTAATTCATTAACTTCATTACATTATACACAATATGTACACAAAACCCAAAAACAAACAAAATAGTAGAGGATCAATTTCAAATCCAAACACTCCTAAAACAGCACTCCCAAAACAATATATAGAAATAACCCATTGTAACTAAAAACATAACCTTCATCGACACCAAATTAAAACAAATTAATCCAACATCACTTCTTCTTCTTTGTTGTAATATCAACATAACCTGCACAACATTTCTTAGACTTTTCACAGTTCATACATGATGGTTTTCTTTCATCACATTTGATTCTTCTCTTTCTACAAGTCAAACAACCTGTTCTTGTTCTTTTTCTAATTTTTTTAGGTTGAATATGACCAATATGATGAATTGTATGAGCTGAATTTGATGAATTATAATGTTGATGTGGAGCACTCGGTATTTGTTGATTTAACACTTGTAATCCTGGGTGCATGTGTACTTGTTGTTGTTGTGGTTGTTGAATAGGTTGAGATGTTGGTGCAACTAATTCTTGAATTGAAGGTAATCTTAGATTACCAGCATCATAAGATTGTGCTCTTAATGGTTTAATGGATGATTGAGCTTCTAAAGGTGAAACTAATGGTTGTGGTTGTTGATATAGTAAATTGTTCAAGCTTGGTTTATGGGTATTATTGTTTGAATAAACATATTGAGGTTGTGAAGTTAAAGTACGTAATCCACCTTGCTGTATACTTGTTACATGGTGATGTTGTTGATGTTGATGATGATTATCACCACTGTATGAATAATTTGGTGCTGAACTATAGTGTAATAATGGTGGAGCAGTTGAATCACTTGGACTGAAACCTCCAGCAGCAACGCCAGAAGTTGAAGATGTTGGTTTATATTCAAAGTAGTTATCACGTGAAGAAGATATAGATGATGGACTCCCACCAACAACACTATAATGGTGATAATGATTAAAGGCTCTGTTCTCTTTGTTCATCGAGAAAGCTTGTAAGCTCGGTAGTTGATTGATTCCTGGCAGTGTAGTTCCCATCATTGGTGTGGTGTACGTGTTTTCAAATGTTTGGAGAAGTATCACAGATGTTGGGAAAAACTGAGATATGGATTCACTTAAATACAGAGTTTGGAATGATGGTGGAAGAAGAGATGGAAGGGAAAGAAAACACGGTTGGTGGTGGTTAGTTGTAGGTTTTTCGCTCATCAGAACTTTGGCGTATATCTAATCGATTAATCAAAATGGTTCAACTGTGTAGATGGTGCATGCAATAGCATGTATAATGCATGTAAATGTTGGTATTACATGCTGTTTCTCGATGCAACATGTGAAATCTCACAGTACCCAGATGCATTATTGTACATTTGGTTTTGGTTGTTTGTGTAACGGTGCAACCTTTTTCTGGAAATGGAGGACTAGTAGTGTCTCAAGGCCCGAGTCCCCTGTCTACACTACTAATAATCAAGTGCGCCGCAAAGAAAGATTTAACGTGTAGTCATTTAGTCCTCCAATAAAGAGGCCCTAGACCTCCAAGTTAAGCCGAAAGTTGTAGCGACCGGAAAAATTCACACAAGTTGAGTACTTAATTGATAAGTTGTACCTGTTGATTGGCAAGTTATCGAGTACAATTAACATATTTTAACTAGATTTGTCTGTGTATTTTCAACGATCTCTTTGCTGAACATCACAAAGTTTACATGTAGATAGATCAACAACATCTGAATGATTGATTTGAAAAAGTACATACACTACTATGGCTAGTGCTAGACAAATTTCAAACCTAAAGCCATCATGATATTGGAAAGGAGCTTCTGTAGCAGTGAATGAACATGTAGTCAAAGTGGCTGGATTCTAGATTCTTATTGCAACGGAGATGTCTTTCCGCAAGTAATAGATTAATGGAAATTGAGGGAGAGTGGGAAAGGTTACATGAAAATTGAATGGTATTGGTGTACTTCATATAAAAGAGTTTTGACAGATCTTCAGTAAATTTTACATACATCTTCTATTTCGCCTTCTTCGCATCGGTTCGGTATTTCTTTTTGGGAAAAGAAATTCATGATTAAGCACAAACAAAAAACAAAAACAAAAAAAAATACACCATACACTTTGAAACGCGAAAAATTTCCCAACAACAAGTTTATAATACAAAACACAACCACAAGGTGGGGCCAATAAATTGATGGGAAAAAGTGGTCAGTGCTGAGTACTACATATGCTCTTATAACTTTCTTATTGTGCAACTCAAAGAATACGAATGTGCGTGCAACACATCCGCAAATACTAGTTCAAAGTTGAATCTGCGACGCGGATGGATTGAATAATCATAAAACCGATAGAGTCCACGATTTTGAAGAAATGGTTTTATAGTGATGGGCCATGGCTCATTTTTGTCTCAAAGAATGTCAAACACTTTTGTGAGTTGTTAGAGAAGATAAGATGCAAGTGAGTTTTCAAGATGGTCTAAAAGTGTTACAAGTTCGTATAATGTATTCATAGTTGAAAACACATAGGCAGCTTGTATGGTCGAGCTTGGATTCCCGCTTTTCAAAGTACAGTCAAGTGAGCGAAGCTCAACCTGTATTAACAGTTCATCGTGAAGTTGTGAATATTCTTCGAGTATCTTTATAGGACTCCAGACTCAAATTAACCAGCTCTATGGCATACTACCCATAATTAGGTTTGACGTTTTGTATGTATTTCCATCTCGATAAATCTGTTGCATGTAATATGAGATATAGTCAAGAGTCTATGGTGGCCTTTACAATAAGAGTGAGCACAAGTTATCTTGATGAACATCGAGCTTAGATATTACGAAGAAGTTGAGTGTAGCATCAACATGTTAAGGTTACCATCGCCAAAGTTATTTACATGTTAGGGGGTTATCAAATTGGTTATTTTTTCTGCCAGATGAAGCAATAGTTGTAGTTTCATTAAGAATGGTCATGTGTTTCGACAAACACCGTTTTCCAGATTCTTTACAAAATCTAGCCATTTTGAAGTACAGATCGGCTTCAAAGAGATGTACTACTTTCATGAGTATATCGACTTCAGAGATCTGTCGTGTCTTCTTTGAAGGGTACTATTTATCCTGCAACAATGCTCAAGAGTCATCGTTATTATTATTGAAATCTCCAACATCAAAGTTACAAGAGGCGGGCTCGCTTCAAGAGGGTACCAAATCAAATAAGATTCAACAAGACCCAGTATCGATATTATAAGAGCTAGTTGTATGTACAGCTGTCAGTAATAGTCTTGTATATATCTACAAGTTTTATATTCAAAGAAGCTGGATTCTAATAGATATGGGACGATTGACGACCTGAGTGGATAAATAAAGTGCCCTTTTGTAGTACCATTATATTGAGTTACGTTTGAAGCAACTTTAACAAGCAAGTACACGATTATACTAAGAGGATACAATTGGAAGTTGGCTTTTGGTCTGTGGTGTCCAAGCTCATCTTTGACACAAGGGAAACTCGCGATGCAGCAAGCAGCTCTCGCTTAACACAGCGATCAGCCCAGTCGGACGCTGGGCTGGGGGAAATCCGAACGACTCATGGGCTCGTAGGCGGCCGCTCCCTCTGGGGAAGGCTGGGGTCGGTGAGCCTGGCTTTGGGGAGAGGGAATCATCGTGGGCTCGTAAAGCTTGATAATCAAAAGTGAAGAAGATACCAATCTTAAATTGAACTTGATCCAATCCAATTGAAAACACTCAGGCACAATGGCTTCTTTCCCTTCCCCATTTTACTCGAAGTACAACTATTCAGATCCCAGGCCCTTGATTAATTTAATCGAACGATAGTTACAGACTGACATCACCTCTCTCACAGAGACCGGATAAATATGATGGTTTTAGAGTTGAGACAATCTTGATGAAGCGATATTTGGTCAATAACAGGTACACCAGTGGTACAACTGACAAGACGTTGGCAACCTATCCTCTGGTGTTATGTCTTCTTATGAGTTGATCATTCGGGCATTTAAACCAATCTAGATCCACTATCAACATGATCCACTCTCCTTTTCCCTTACTCATCTCTCGAGCTTTTGACATGGTGAACCACTGTTTCATCAAAAATAATATAACCTCGACGGGCTTGAAACTAACCCAATCTCAAAATCCACAACCTTCTACACAGATCGTCTCTGGCTCTGGAACCTCATTTGCATTTGATTCTTGACTCTTGAACCTGTTCAAAGCTACTCTTCACGTCAACCAAGTCCCCCAGCAAAGCGTACACCACACTATCAAAACAAAGCTCCTGCTATGTACAGTTCTTCTATGTGTCGTAAAGACGTATGTACTGATGTCATCACTAACACCCAAGCGAGGTACACGTTTAACACTAGATCAAGCAATATAACCTTTCAAGCTTGAGCAGCCTTATTCTTCCACTATGCTATACTAAATCTCTATTAAGCCACTTGAAACAGGTGAACTCATGTACTCAAACAGGTCTTCTCCGAGATTAGGTTTCTATTCATGCTGAACAATTATTTGCAATTGCTTACTCAATTCCTATAACTCCAATAGAGCATTCAAAGATCAACTTCAATCATTAAAATCATCATTTCCCTTTACCCAATACTAGTATACTTTTAACGATTTAACTTTGAGACAGCTTCGAATACAAAACCTTCGAGCGACTCATAATTAGTACACCTTCTAACACTTATGTATGACATCCCGTTGATCAATTGCAATCCAGGTGACATTTGAACCAAACAAAGTAATCAATTGCTTAAATTTTAGCCTAAAAAAACTGTTGACCTCACCTTTTTCGATCAACTTCAAAAAAAATACACAAGTACCTAACACCCGTTCACGTCCTTTGATAACGTCTCTCGTTACGATTCTACTTCTACATCACCTCCGCAATCTTTAACTTCTCACTCCCTCAGATTCCTAATCTGGTGTCAGATAATACACACACAAGCTAAAAAAAAACTTACACTTGACATGTGATTAATTGACCGATTGAATGATCATGTACCCATGGTGAACATTGAACCTTGATGACAGAATACGGTGAGTTATTCCATGATCAATGAATATGTGCATACTAATGTAAATTGCCTGTAACTAATTGTAAGCTGCCAATTACGACGGTACACGTTAAAATGTACTATATATTTTCGCCTTGAACTCAAATATTGCTAATTATATTCAAATAATACATAAATTCTGAGTATATATTTGATTTACAATATTAAATATGATCAATTTTCTATTATTTAATAAATTTCAGACGTCGTCATACAGCTAGATCACGTCTGAGTCACCTTTAATACATTTTTTACATATTTATGTGATTATTGTACAGATTAATATTGATTATATAAATATGCAATAATACAAAAAACATGATTAAAAAAACAAAAAAAAAAATAGTGTATAACTAAATTATCGAGTCTTACTTAATTAAAAATGCTGGTGATTTTTATATTAATCATTAAATATATTAAAAAACAGCCCGATAAGTTCATGATTATGGTTATATTGATTAATCAGCTCTTACATAAGAATCAAAGTGATTCGCGAAAATTTCGAGCACAGAAAAAAAAACATGAAAACAACAGTCAAATTAACGTTAGTGAAATCAAATCGAAACCAGTCCCACTCCATTCAAATCCTTTCCATCGGCTTGCTGTTGACGTTGTCTGCTTCAATCAGATCAATATGAATACATACAATGGTAACAATGCTCTCGAGATGATGGTTCCAGGTGCTCATACTCACCATACCCAAAGACCTGAACAATATTGGCCAACAATAATAGAAAGACCTAGCAATGATTGGATTTTCTCTATAGAGGATATCAAATTATCTCCATCTGTTCAATCGGGGATGTCCATTGATGATGAACTAATAGCATATCAGAAATGTTTGGATACTTTTGTCAAAGCTTCAAGAAATTTAAAACTTCATAGGTCAAATATATTCTTTGCAATGGTTTACCTATTTAGATTTTATCAAAGATGCTCAATGCAACATTTTAAATGGCTTGAAACTGCACAGGCTTGCTTATACCTAGCCTCAAAGAAGTTGGAAAACCATAGAGGTTCAAAAGCTTTTGCCCTAGCTTTTGCAAGATTTATACGTCCTGATACTGATGAAACTACAAAAGAATATTGGAAATGGAGAGAAGCTTTGGAAAACAACGAGGAGATATTACTGGAAATGATTTGTTTTGATACTTCAATTAAAAACCCATATGAATTTTATGAATTCTTGATTGATTCAAACCCTTCCCATATTGACTTGAGAAATGATGCTATAAGCAAGATTGAAAATTTATCAATTTGTCAAATTTTTTTACTTTATGATATGGAGAAAATTTTCATTACATTATTGGTGTTATGTGCAATTAGAAAAAAAATAAATTTCCCACTAAGGTACTTTGAATTCAATATCAACCCTAATGAAATTTTGGAAATTAAAAAATCTTATGAATCATTAATTAAAAGATATCCGAAAAATGTTGAACAACTGGGTGATTTTCTGGAATTGAATGTCACCCTTGAAGATATTGAAAATCTATCAAATGGATCAACTTCTGAATATTTTGTTGATCATGGGAAATCAACTACAATATCACCATCTCCTGTTCATGAGGAAAATCAAGAAAATAAAGCCCCTCAGGATACCAATGATGAAAATGCTCAACAGCCTATAAAAGTTGCCTTTTCTAAAGAGGAATCAAATGGCGTAATATCATCACATCCAATCACAATACAGAGCAATGAAACTACAGCTAAATTTGAACCACCAGTGATAGAAAATAAGATTGAGGATAAACCATTGAATGAAACTGATCATGGTAACAATGATAAGAATATTAATAATAATGATGATGACAATGATGACAATAAGAAAGAGAAGGTTGATGAAAAAGAAGAGGAACAAAAAGTGGTTACAGAATCTATTGATGAAAATAAAAAGAAAATAGAGGATGACGCATCTGCTGGAATAGACGCTAAATCACCAATTGAATCAAAAGATCAAGATGTTGAGATGAAAGATGCTGAGCCTAAACTGGGATCACCAATTAGAGAACCATCTGTTGAATCTCAAAAGAAGGGTCAAGAAAAAACCAATGACACGAAACCTTCCAGCATTGGCTCCAAACCTAAATCTTCAATTTTCATGAAGAAACCACCAAAACCTGCTCCTAAAAAGATCAAACATTCAACTGAAAGCACACTTCCAGAGAAAAGAGATATTCATGAAGCTGAAATAATAGAAAAGTCTATAGAACAACAGCTCGTTGATATTAAAAGAAGAGCATTCAAGAAACCAACCCCAACCAAGTCATCACCAGAGAGCCCAAAAGTTACAAAACCTACTGAGCCAACTACTCCAACTTCATCACATCTTAAAAAACCTTCATCACAACACCAAACAGCTTCTCCAACAAAAGCACTTCTTTCACCTGGAATCGATGCAAAGCAAAAGAGAAATGCAGTTTTTGCAAGCAGAGTTCCATCCAAATCAACTACGCCTGCACCACCTTCAAGTATAGAATCAACTACAAAAACCACAGATAAACAACCAACAAAGAAGGAAGCTCAAACAGTCAGGAAACAAAGTGGTGATTCAACCAAAAGGCAACAAACAGCAAGATCTAAAAGACCTAATTTACCAATTCATGAGCCAGTCGCTCCTAAAGCTGCAGATATTAGGAAACTGTCCAAAGCTGCACCAAAATCTAAACCAAAGAATACTGGGAAAGTTACAAGAACAAAAGCCCCAACAACTAGACTTTCAAAAAAAGTTACTCCTGTGAATATATCCAACATGGAAAAATTCAAAAAATTATCATCCTACATTGATTCTGATCTTAGTGATGTTGACGATTCGGATAATTGATAGGGCGGTGTGTGGCGCTTGACAAAAGTTTATACTCATCTTTGTGTCACAAAAAAAAAGATACAAAATAAACAAGATTCAACACTGGTTGATCTTTATCATTTCAATGGGTTTATTGTAAAGATCCTCTTTATATCGAGCTTCAAATCAAGATCAAGATGGTTTTAAAAGTCAACATTGTATGATATTTACCTTATTCTATCAATGGATGGACATATAACTAATTTTGATAGTCATCTCCAGAAGAAATTCGTCGTCGTAAGATCTTGAAAAAAGGGATCCAATTCACTTTGTTGGTTTGTGGTGAAGAAGGTACTGGTAAAGCATCATTCATCAACACTTTATGTAATCAAGAGGTTATTTCCAAAACTGAATCCAAAAATTATTATCCACCAAATGCTCATCTTAACCCTGGTTTAAATATTTTGAAAAAACATGTGGATATTATTGAGGAAAATGCAACTCCAATCAGTCTTGAAATTATTTTAACCCCAGGATTTGGTGATAACATTAATAATAATGACTGCACTGGTAAAGTTATTGATTTTTTAGAACAACAATTTGATTCTGTTTTGAGAGAAGAATGTCGTATTAGACGTAATACAAAGTTTGAAGATGGTAGACCTCATGCATGTCTTTACTTCATTAGAGCTACTTCAAAAGGTTTAAGAGAATTAGATGTTGAGGCAATGAAGAATTTGTCAACAAGAGTTAATGTTATCCCTGTGATTTCCAAAAGTGACACTTTAACTGAAGATGAGTTATCTCTTAACAAGGCTTTGATTTTACAAGATATAAGAGCAAATGGAATCTCAGTTTATGATTTTTCTTTGGATATTGATGATGATTCTGAATCAGTTGATGAACAAATGTTTTTGAAAAATGGTTTACCATTTGCAGTTTCTGGTAGCTATGAAACTATTGTTGATGACAATGATGATATTTCTCATATCAGAGAATATCCTTGGGGTACTTTTAGAGTTGAAGATTTGAACCATAGTGATTTCAATTATTTGAAAAATGTTCTTTTCGGGTCTCATTTACAAGAGTTGAAAGAATCAACCCATTCGGTTTTGTATGAAAATTTTAGAAGAATCAGGTTACTTGAAAACACTAAATATAGACCTAGTACAAGAAGTGCTGGAGGTGAGGAAGCAAGTTTATTGGATAGTTATGCATACAGCAATGAACAACCTGTTCAGGAACCAGTTGTTGAACCTCAAGATGATCAGACTTTGAAAGAGTTTTTGGAAAAGAAGAAGGCTGTTGAAACTTATTCAATTGAATTGAAAGCCTTGGAGAAAAAACTCCGTGTTTCAAGTCTTAAAAACTCAAAAATGTATACTGAAAATTCTTGAACTATTTCTTACAACAATAATTGAGAATTGATTATTTGAATTTAGCTATGTGACATAAATGTTTATTTTTTTGAAAAAATCGGTGACCTCATTGGGAATTTGTCCATTGTAGTTTTTATAAGAACTAATCCAGAGATCTATGAATTCATTTGATTTATCAATCCGTTCTCTAACATGACCTTTGACTATTAAAGGCGACGTTTCCTTAACAAATTTCACCATCGTCAATGTGTCATTCTCTCTTACAACAAGGGCACTCGTAGTCAAAAAGATTGTAGTTGAATCATCATCAATCAAATCATAGTTAATATCAAAACCTTTAAGGAAACCTTGTGTACTGACAATATCATTCAAATGAAACCTCATATTCTTGTTTATGGCACTAAACTCTGAAAGATTTTCCAAGTAATTGCCCGTATAAGGACAATCATGTAAATTTGTTTCTAATGTGAAATAATCTTTCAAAAACTTGAAGGCCCATAAGACTTTCACATGAAGACCACCATATAAAACGAAACCTGTTAATACATCTTCATACAATCGCGACAACACACCGTCATCGCTTGACAACAAGTTGATTGCAATGACGAATTTTCTAATCATCTCTTCCAAACAATCTCTCAGTAATTGAAGGTATCCATCATGTGACTCTTCTGAAGACAAAATAGCCCTTTTTTGATAAAGAAGACCCAATGTCAAAAAATAATGATCCAGAGTTCCTGATAAAAGTTCTTTTTGAATAGAAATGTTGGAACTGAGTTCCAAGATAGAAAAAATTCTTTGGCTCAACCCATCAAGTGTAATAACGTTACTGGTGCATCTCATATAAGATCTAGAACATAACAAAGCAACACATCTCATTTCACGTTCTGGTAGTATTTTTCTATATTTTTGTTTCTTACAGAGTGCTGAACAAAACTCCAAGACCCAATTTAAACCTTGAAAGGCTGATTCATATTGAAACTGTAACAGTGCAAGAAAACTTTGCACCACTTTTATCATGATTGCTTGAGAAACCATATCAGTGGTATACTTAGACAAGGAAATTAATGAAACAGCATCCTTTATCTCACTAACAGAACAAACTTCCAACGGTTTCAGGAAGCTGTTTTCAAAAAGGGTCAATAAATACTTTTCATCCTGGACAAGTTCAGCATATGGATCTAAAATTGGAACAAGCATCAAAACCGAAAAATAAGCTTTATCCAAAACTGAGCAAACAATGTTTTCATCAAGGACCGAAAGAGTGATTCTGATATCTTTGACTACTTTGTGCCTTGATGTAACTGTTAGAAGAGAGTACATAAATCAATTGAAATCATACTTACACCTTAAAAATTTTTAATCTTAATGAATTTTTCCTAAGTGGAGTATATAACCCATTGAGCTTTCTTTAGAAATGTTAGTTTAGCTAAATTTGCATTTTTGAAATTTCAAAACTTACTTTGGTACATCAGGCTGTTGATCTGAATTAAAACAGTCCAATGGAATGGTATCAATATCAGGGAGAGTAATGCCTTCAAGAAGGTATAATGATATCTTTTTAAAACCTGCTAGGTCATAACCAAGTGAAAGGAAAAGGCATGATAACGGCCTGGAACAATGTGGTGTAGATTCCAATGCCACTGACAAATGATGAAGTCCAAAACAAGAATTTCCATTTCTAATCATTGAAAGGCCTATGAGAATTCTGTAATTGAGTGGTAGACTTGAGAATGTATAGTTTTTGGAAAGGTAGCTGCATGTTTCCCCATAATTGCCTTCATGGAACAGTTAACGTCTGGTTAAATTGATGACTTTGGGTATGTATAAGCTCACCGTTTGTGTACAACTTGATGGCCTCATCTGGGAAAAGTCTGCTGAAATCCTCCAAAACGAGCTCCTCGAGCTTTAAATACAGCATGAGCCCTCAATTTCAACACCAAAAAACAACCAACACACCGTTTGATAAGCATAGGCCCAATGTCTTTTGAAAGGAAGTTTCAATTTTGTGACAAAATTTCAAACTTGAGCTTTTGATTGGTTGTCCGGGAAACGCCAAAACACGAAAAAAGTTCGCGAATAGTCGCGAACACGCTTTTCTCTCATTTTGAAAGCAAAAGACATAATCAAAAACATCATTGACCATTGATCATTGATTGATTTTGTCCAGATATCTCTGAATTGCTTATGTTATGTCCAAGCAGGGCACTCAAACATCACCAGAAGCTAACACTTCAGACTCTAGACCGAGTCAGGCTAATGGGACGTATAATCAGTTTTTGAATGATGTGAGTATTAATCGTGGAGGATCTTCAAACAACAAATGTACTAATCATAAACAAAAGACTCAAGTCATACCGTTCACGAAACCCGAGAGCCTAATAGGCTCGAACTCTCAACCATCCAGGATCCAAAATTTGAGAGTTTTGAGTGAGAACGAAGACAATAGAATAATAGATAGTTCATGTGATTTCAAAGATTCAATAAGTACACAAGCTTTGCTGGACAAGGAACCTGATACTGTTGTTATCAAAGAAGATATTCCAGTAACTGAAAGAAACGAAGACGAGTCAATACGGCTGTCTACTGCTGAATCTTCTGCTCCCTTCAAGAACTTGAAATTACCAGATGGCGAAAGTCCATGGCTTAGTAGAGTTAAAGATCCTTTCAATGATTCAGAGACTCCATGGCTAAATAAAATTAGGGATCCTTTCAAAGAAACTCCAATTAATGAAAAAGTTTTGGATGCTATGGGAGAAACCCCAAACTCCACCCGAAAGGTGTTGGTAAACTCATTGAATACACCAAGTGCTGCTCACAAAATCTTTCAAAAACTTCGAGAGAAAGGCAACCAGAAAGAGTTGGATTTTGATTCTCAAACTGTCCCAGAATTATTCAAAGATACTCAACCCCCTTCACTTGAAAAAGAACATGAAGGATCCAATAATGATGTCACAATGGACTTGAACCATGAAATTGATTCACCTAGAAAGGATCACTTCACAGACGATGTGCCCACACAAGTTGTAAATGATACATTGATTATAGGTGATCCAAATCAACATAGCGAGCCTCAAGACCCAAAGAGTGATAATACACAAGCTGACATCCAGGTTCCAGGAACTGCTCCAGAAGTTGATCATTCGTTAGTGATAGAAAACGATGAAATCAGTAAGGACCTTGATGCTGGTGAATCATCCCCAATAAATTCTGATGATGAAAAAAACTTTTCACTAGATTATGGAAGAAGATTACATAGCGAGCCTGTTTCAGGTGATTATCTCAATATTTTGGCTGAAGATAGCATTCAAAAATATCACAGAGATTTGACCAAAAGAGGCCTACAGCTTGAAAATCAGTCAAAATCCTTTGCTGGTGACACACAAAGAATAAGTCAATCTAAAAGATTGAACTCTTTACCTCTGAATCTGGATACTGATACCCTTCACCAAGCAAAAATCACCGTCCAAGGCAATAAAAATACTCAAGAACAAGGTGCACCAAAACAAGTTACCAAATCACATTTAACTTCCTCTCCAAATGTTGAAGAATCGTCTCCTGCAATTCGTGAAAAAGCGGACACTTTTGAAATTGAAAAGGCAAAGGCTGATGACAACAATAACATCGAAACAAATACCATCAATACATCCAATAAGAGTTTCCATTCACAGGCTGTTGATTTCAATGCTTTGGCTGAGAACATAACACAAGAATTTTCAGATGTTGATGATGAAAGTAAAGTGGTTGATAATACAATTGAAGAAGAAGCCGATAATCTAAAGTTACAAACAGAATGGAATGAAGGAACTTCAAAAAGCTCAAACCCTGTTATAAGGCCAACCAGAAATTCTAAAAGGAAAAAATCCTCCAAAGCGAATGATTTACAGCTTCAATTCACTAGCTCACCCGATAAAAGTATTAATCACTCTGATTTATCCATAGTTTTAGATGCCAATACTTCTCAAATTGATGATAATGATCATGACATTTCTACAAATGACCAACAAAGTATTTTGACCCCAGAATATGACGTAAATGTCTTACCCAATGGAATATTGAGAGAAGAGACACACAATTTGAGTGAAGAGGATATCAGATTCAAAGATAGCGTTTGGTGCCTAGCTAATACTCGTTATTATCCTGGCTTGATACTGAGCTTGGGTAAAAAGGGACTGGAGGTTAAGTTCTTCGAATCTACAGATGAGGTCAATGGTGGAATTTTCCCATTAGATATTCAAATTGGTGATACAGTTAAAATTGGCAGACTTGTGTATCTTGTTACAGGGTTGGAGTGTGTCATCCAAAATCTTAAGGAGAAAGCCATACGCTGCATGAGAGGCTACG